AGGCACCCCGAGGAAGCTTACTGGAGAGGATCGTGACCATATCTACGATACTATACAAGAAAATCCTTCAATATTGATCGAAGATCTACTTGGAGAGATAGATTATAAGGTCCACCGCCAGTCAATTTGGCGCCTCACCCATGAAATGGGTCTCCGAAAATGGAGGAAAATGCAGCGGCCTTCTTTAACGCCTTTACACGCCGAAAAACGCCTAAATTGGGCTCGAAGATATCAGCATTTTACGTCTACAGATTGGGCCCGTGTCTACTGGTCGGACGAATGTACGGTTGAACGTGGTATCGGACAGCGTTAAGAATGGACCTTTATACGTCCGAAAGACCAGCTTTCTCAGCATTCTGAAGGCCCTCAAGTTCAAATGGTTCCGGCGCGAGGGAAGCAAATTAAGCAGATGTTTTGGGCTGCTTTCTCTGGCCTACCGCGTCGATCAGGTCTAATTCCACTTTTCGGAGATCCTACATCTAGAAGAGGTGGTGTTTCTTCGCGTACAATTGAAGAGCTGTATCGGCGCCTCTTACCTACGCTACTTAATAGCATTAATAATAATGCTATTTTTCAGCAAGATAACGCGCCGGTACACACTGCACATATCGTACGGGACGCCCTTAATGAGATTGAATGTGAAATCATGGAATGGCCACCCTATTCACCTGATTTAAATCCCATTGAGAACCTATGGGCGCTGCTAAAAGCCGAAATATTGAAGCGTTATCCTGAGCTTATGCACCTACCAAACAACGAAGCTACGCTAGAATTACTAGTTAATGCTGCGCAAGAAGCATGGGAAACGCTAGATATTGAGATATTTCAGCATCTCTCCGAGACCATGCCACATAGGGTGGCTGATGTTATTAAGTATGATGGCTGGCATACTAGCTATTAAATTGAATTGAATTCCTGAGGTTTCTGCCAGGCAGTAATAAAAAGTGGGTCCTAGCCCGAAGTACCGGTGGTCAAATACTTTTGTTACACCACTGTATTTCGCCAAGTCAAGGTCTCTAGTTTCCGGCGTCTGAATTTTTGTACTTCACGCCGTGCAGAAACGTCAGCGGTGTGATTTAGAGCTGCGTAGTACCATCTTAATGCCTTATATTCAATCTAGCTATAATCCATGTGAGACTTAATTAGGAACAACTAGGGACACATTCTTTATGGTGCTCAAAATTCGCAGGTGCAGTATAGTTCTTGTGAATGAATGGGGTCTTGTAGTTTGGTGTCGGGATGGCTATGGAAGGCTGAACCTTGGCGAATCTTACCCAATCCCGGAACTCTGCGTTTGGGGATCGACAAGCTGTAAGGGGTCAGCCGCAAGGGATTATCGCCGTCTCACCAACGGCGCGTGGTTTATAATGCCCGTTTTGTACAACCTACATATCTCATTAGTCAATATCGAACAATGCTTGATCCGAGACTAGTAAAAGGGAATTCCAATCGCTCGACTCTACGCAGCCCTTGATCTTGGCTAAAAACAGCTCACAACGGACTGATAAAATTGAACCAATTCTAGAGTGTTTAATGGCGATCAGGCGCCCCGCCGCCAGTATACCCTGGTTGCATACATGATGACTGTGCCAAGGTCAAGAAACGAGGAATGGTAGTACAATGTCGGACTCAGAAAAAGCACCGGTGTGATAGACTTCATCGAGAGTTGTGAGTGAGAGGAAAAGTTATAAATGCAACATTATCTCCTGGTGTAAGAATATATTTCTAATCTCAGCTTCGCCGATCCAATTGAATTCTCATATCGAAAATCCCCGCTTAATCATGAGGTTTATCTCCGTCTCAGTCGCTATTGTCCTCTCGCTCGTTACTTTTGTAGCAGCATCCCCTGCTGCTGCTCCTGCTCCCGCTGAGATCGTCAAGAGGTGTGAGGTTTTCCACTGTCGCGAGGCAAATCCGTCCGCTTGCTGTTCCGACAAGTTCGGATATTGCAACAAGGATACTGCTGAATGCCACTGTGGAAAGGACTGCTTCTAAGAAGTGAAGGTAGGTTGATGAGCTGTATACATATAAGGGACTCTGATAATGACCATGTATCCTCTAGCACCTCAGCTATTCAAGCCGTGAACAATAGATCAGCTTGATACAAATGCCAAGAGACAACTCTTGGACATTGAATGATTTTTCATGATTCTATATTACGCGTGGCTTTGTGGAAATTGGAAATGACTATGTGGTTGGATTAGCAACACACGGTTTCTGAGATCTAGGTTATCGAGAGAGGTAATATCAGACCTGCACGTTTGGTTATTTCCTTTGGCATATATATTCAGCAGTTGACAAGATATACAACTACTTTGATTTTTCATCATCTTTTCGCAGTAAGGTGGACTATTGGATTACAACTAGAATATGAGGACATGTGGGATTGACACCGAAAATGACCGCTTTTGAGGCCAGAAAGGCTGCCTTTCCACCCGTAACTTTGGACGTCTAGCCTCCCCTTGACCGCCCATTACCCTGTAACACCTCTATTCTGCACCCGCCTAGCACTTTTAGTCATCCTCCGGTCCTGATGTTGACGCTCGACTTGCACACTTATTCCCCTCGTTTCCACTGGCGACCAAAACGACGCCGAAAATACATGGGTGGCCATGAGTCTGTTGACACTCAGTCGGACGTCACAGGACCTCGACCGAGAAATTCTTATCTGGACCAAGCTCCAAGTTCCCAAAGACCTGGAACTGGATATCGAATGGGCTGGATTGTTTCTGCCACTGATTCGGGCCCCTGGACACGAGGGGTCTGGATGGGCAAGGTTTCAGAACTCGGACACAATTCTTCTGGTAACAGGCGAGTCATGCATCAAACGCGCAAAACTAAGCTAATTCTTTTCATCAAGAATGGAAGAGAACCTTGGACCAGAGAGAATTCATAGCCTCGCCTTCCGCTCAGGTCTATCATGAGAATCTCAAGAGTAGAGGGATAGTGGATGTGTCCTCTCATGAGACATTTTCTCGCAGATTCGAGTACCTCGACGCTCTACTGAAATCATACGTCCAATTATTCTGTATTTACTTTCCGGCACCTGTGACTGAAACCCAGAAGGCCCAAATTTTGAAGATAAAACCCATTCGTGGACCAGCCGTGTTGAAAAATCTTACGAATGATCCTAACGCGAGTCGTGAAAATCATGTTCCTGCAAAGATGTGGGCCACCCACACAGAATCTGTGGATGGCCAGGAAGCTCAGTTGATGCTGTGGCCACATTTCTGGCGGAATGCAGAACTGGCCGAGATTCGGCACCTTGGGAAATATACCAGGTCTGGTAATCGCATTATCGGTGCCAGAACCCTACAGGAGAGGTTCTGTGACCATCTAGAAGAAGTAGGACCCATAAGCTGGAGGGAAGAGTTTGTAGATTTCAAGCCTATCAACGATGTTTAAATATCTCACTTTTTTGGTTTGAAATTCTAAATTGGAGATTGGAGCTTTTGACGCTATTTATAGATAGTACTTTAAGATATCTCATACATTTAGCCCTCTAACTCTATTGATCATACCAAATCCTGCCGTACAAATATCTACACAATGAAACTAATGTGATGTATACCAAAATTAGCGAGAAAAAATAGTGAGAGATAAGCCACAAACAATGGATTTCATTAGCGCTGTCTATACAGGCGTATATAAGAAAAGAAAGGCAGCAAGGAGTACCGTTGGCGTGAAATTCTAAACGGTCACTATATAGCAGATTTGTCGATTGGGCCCAATAGACAAAATTTCTCCTTTTGTCGTTATCTCATAGTACTTCAAACCTCGAGGCTGCGCCACTCTGGAAACTCCATCGTTTATTCGCGATTTTGTCCCGTTTGGTCTGCTGGAAATACCAGTACCCCACGCTAAAGAAGACATATGTCTCGGGGTTCTGGCGTACGAAGCACATTTGGATATGAAATGCTCCAAAGAAGTTGTAATACATTACCCAAATTTCCAGATTGCACATAGAACTAGGAGGGCAATACTTTCTGCTGATACAAATGGCATAAGCCCTTGTGGGAAAGAGTTAACCGCGGCCAGGCTCTCTTGGAGACGTCAAATGTTACTAGCTTAAGCGACAATCACAGGAAGAGTCTATAGAATCAAACAATATCCTGCTAAACAGGTACTTCATACCGTGTAGAAAGCGTCGACAAGGTTCAGACGGATGTCTGAAAACTGTTACGCATATTAGGAACACTGCCCGTCATACCTTGGACGGTGCCATTTCCTGTCTCCGAAATGTTAAAAGATCTCAAAGTGAACAGTCCATGATGTATATCACTCTACAGCTAACTAAAGCTATCAATATGGTGACTGACCAATGAAGTGACAATTCTCACTGCTAAGTCCGTGCTCCTTTGCCCAAATGTCTTATATCGCTTAACTATGCAAATGCGTATGAACCATAATATCTAAATACTATGAGTGGCTTCGGGGCATATTGCTCCGGATATTCCTCGGTTACTGCTCATGCCTCGAACTTTCCTCGGCTCGAAGACCAACGGTGTAATTCCGCCTCGCAGCTTGGACCTGTGCAATAACACTCTATCGAAGATGGAATCAGATCTCATAGGATAGGCCAAAAATGTGGCACAAAGTTTCCTATGTGTTACCCCCTCTCCTGTATTCCCGGATAACCGAAGAAACGCCATTGAAGTTGAAAATCTGGCCAATATACTGCTCAATACGAGGTGATCAGACTGCTCAAAAATGTGGTTAATCCCGCAAGCTCAGTCAAAGTATGGAACTGCGGAGACCCCAGCGCCGCTTTCCCGTTGTGGGTGTTGGGTCTGGGGGATTTCCGGCCCACTGACATCAATACACTTCCACCCGCGTCCCCACTTATTAGACGATGGCCGAATCAGTTTGGATTACATGAATCAGGCATATATCCGGCAGTAGTGGCGTTCTTGATTGCCAATACGGTCCAAGTAGTCTTGCCAAAGAGTCTCCATTATATGGGCAGTCTCAACGGCATTGGTGGCAAGCTTCCGCCAGCTAATTGCCGAGGAGACCGGCTGAGGGTGATGGAGGGATATAATAAGTACTAAGAACCCCCTAGTTGCAGTTATCGTAGAAGAATTACAGAGAAAAGGAGCCCCGTCAAATTTAATCTCCGGAACAACCTTCCATTCGGCGCCTTCTCATTGTTGCTTTGTCCATACTTGCCCTCAAGTTGGCATAATGTTCTGGCGGCTTTCAAACGTCTTTGGTGCGGACTCCGAGCCCGTCAAGACATCATCCCAGGAGACACAACGGTCGGCTAGTCAAGCCTCACAATGGGTTGTGCAAGATCGGTCTATCGATGAAGCTCGTCCACTGAGAGTAGTCGTCATTGGCGCTGGTATCTCTGGAATTCTTGCATGCATTCGATTCGCTCAAAGGATCCCGAACATCGAGCTCTGCATATATGAGAAAAACGCAGATATTGGAGGCACATGGTTCGAGAACCGATATCCGGGGTGCGCCTGTGGTGAGTGCAATAGAAATGAAGCTCCGTGCAGCTACTTGCATTGTTGGAACACCTTAACTGACAAAGCGCGTGTCATGTAGATATCCCAGCACATACATACCAAGCCACCTTCGAGCCGAATAAGGAATGGTCTACCTTTTATGCCGGAGCCCTCGAGATCCACCAGTACTGGAAGCGCGTTGCCGAGAAGTATGGATGCATGAAATATATCAAGTTAAAACAGCAGATCTCAGAAGCTGAGTGGGATGAAGAACATTCAAAGTGGAATTTGCAGGTAGTGGGATTGTCTCTAGATGCCAGTTTAGATGCTGATTTGATCTCTAGATCCAAGATGTCGATAGCTCGGCCACATATACAGATCGGTGTGATATTTTGATCCAGGCAACGGGTGCATTGAATGCCTGGAAGTGGCCCAGTATTCCCGGTCTTCATGACTTCAAGGGCAAGTTGATGCACAGTGCCACTTGGGATGAGAGCTATGATTACAAGGTATGTGACCCTTCTTATGGCACGCGGGGTCGCTAAGAACTTGCTAGGGTCAACGTGTCGCAGTCGTCGGTAATGGGTCCAGTGGTATCCAAATTGTTCCTGCACTATTGCCTGATGTACCTCACATTGACCATTACGTGCGGAGTCGAACATGGCTCTCGCCAACATTTGCACGAGAAGAAATTGACAAGCGGGGAACGGGCCTGGAGAACTGTAAGATCGACGGATAGACCGTCATAGGTTGGTTCTGACAAGATGCAGTTTCCTTTACCCCCGAAGAGATTGCAACGTTCAAGAAGGATCATCAGGCGTATCAGAAATTCCGCAAAGGTATGCATAAACTTTTGGAGACATGGTATAGGGGCAGGTAGCTAACATTTGGAATAGCCGTCGAACTCGAACTGCAGTCTATTCATGGAGCCACTCTTAATGGAAATCCGATGCAGATCGGCGCGCAAGAGATGTTCGTTCAGAATATGAAGCGGCGTCTGGCCAATAAGCCTGAGCTAGCAGACGAGCTCATCCCTGCTTTCCCGCCGGCGTGCCGTCGTCTTACCCCCGGGCCAGGGTATCTAGAAGCCCTGACAGATGATAAGGTTGACATTGTCACATCAAATATTATCAAGGTAGACGAAACCGGGATAGTGACTGCGGATGGACAACATCGACCGGTTGATATGCTCGTCTGTGCGACAGGATTTGATACCTCCTGTACTCCCCGTTTCACAATCAAAGGCCGGGGAGGTATTACTCTGTCGGAACGGTGGAAGGAAACACCCGAGAACTATCTATCAGTCGCGACCGATGGATTCCCAAATTATTTCATTTCTCTCGGCCCTAATGCGGGCTTAGGCGAGGGAAACCTTCTGGTCGTGATCGAGAAGTCAGTGGATTACTTCACCGAATGCGTGCTCAAGATGCAGAGGGACCATATTCGGGCCATGAGTGTCCGCCGAGAGGCAGTCCAGCGTTTTACCAAGTACTGCGATCAGTATTTTTCGGGCACGGTATTCAGCGGCAAGTGTCGCAGCTGGTATAAAGGGGGTACTGATGATGGTCGGGTGACAGCTCTCTGGCCAGGTACGTGCTCTTCAGCCACCTTGACTGGGCGGGGCTAACTCATTGCAGGTTCATCACTGCACTCGATCCAGGCATTCGCTCACCCCCGATGGGAGGACTTTGAATATGAGTATGTCGATGACAATGCCTCCGCTTGGCTTGGAGATGGCTGGACGGAGAACGAGAAGAACAATATGATCAACGTAGATTACCTGGACGATGAGCAGATCGACTTTCCTCTTCCAGCTGGGGTCCACTCATAGTTTGGGGGCGATAAAGCCAGGATACAGTATAAGAGTCAATGCCACTTATCAAATACTGAATGACGCTTGAAAGTGCAATAAACCACTAACTTGTAGAGAAGGAATAGGTGAACGAGAGGTGAAGAAGTGGTTGATAAGTAGGGAAGTTTGACGGGAAGCGGATATCACGGTCGTGACCATACCATACCATATTGGTAATATTTGCAAGTACCTCCTCGCACCATCTGCAGGCCCACAGGTACCTTGTCCCCAATACCATGACAATACACATACTCGACTTTTCACCTCTCCCCAGACTCCAACCTCTTGCTACCCCGGACTCTTTCCGATGTCCCATCATGAAGCCGACAGACAAGCACTTTCGCTGCAATATCTGTCAGCGAGGCTTTACCAGGATTGATCACCTCAAGCGGCACCATTTGCGCCGTATGTGCCCCGCACTGCAGTTAAGCCTACCGTACTGACCCTCAACAGATTCCGGACAGAAGCCCTACTCCTGCATTTTCTGCAATGACTCGTTCGCACGTTGGTTAGTTAGATTGTCAGGGGACGGACAGCAGGCCCACTAACCTCGGCATTCTAGTGACAATCTTCGCGACCATTACACGGATTGCGCCAGACGCGGGGACCGACAGATCCCCGAAACGGGCCAGAGGGGTAGACGGCGACATGCATGTCAATCGGTGGGTTTACAATCCGATCACACTCAACCCTATTAACTGACTCCTTTGCTTCCATAAGTGTACTTCCATGAAATTACGATGCGACGGACAAAGCCCCTGCGGATCGTGCCAAAAACGAAACCTAGCGTGCAACAATGAGCGAACTGCCGGACCGAGTCTTCCTGAGATCGAGGAGGATACAAGTGTTGCGCCGATGGGGCTGCAACAAGAAACATTTCCGATCCATGCAGGTCCACCAGTGAAACCCCAGATTTATGAAGCACCATCATCGGACCGCGGATCGATTAAGTTCCTACTCAATGGTGGCACGGACAGCTTCACGGAGAACTTTCGACTTCCACCACGCAGCGATCGGGCACGAAGCCTAAACTATCATCATCGCGTCGATATGGAAGAAGCGCAAAGGACTGGGTTTCCATACATTGAGAACGAGCGACCGGAGTATGCTTCTGGATTCGTCAATGCCGACCCTGCCATACCGCTCTCTTTTCCAGATATCTTTCTGGATTTCTTGAACGTTCCCTTCGCGGATGGGGTGAAGCCGACACATGATTCATATAGCGCTGATGGAATCAACTATGAAGGTGTCGTCCCTCCACAAGCAACTTCTGGTCTCGCTCTACAGGGTGATCAACCCCTATTCGAGCCGGAACGACCGTTTGCTACGGCATTGATACAGGCGATATTGGCACGAGCATGGCAGGCTCCACTCGATGCCAAGGCGCAAGCAGAACTCACTGCAAACTTTAACTGTTTCTTGACGACGGCACGCATTCGCAAATGCATCTTCCTCTATTTCAAATACTGGCAGCCGAGCTGTGCGTACGTTCACTCTTCGTTCGACCCGGAGACGGCTCCGTTGCCCTTATTGGCCGGAGTAGTCTTTATGGGTGCTATGTACAGCGACGAGAGGGAGTCCTATATTGCCAAAAGGGTCCTCGACTTCGTGGAGCTTTTTATATTCTCAAGTGATGTCTTCTCGGCAGAGTGCGAGGTGAGCACAGTTTTCTCAGGCAATCGGTGCCACGACGGGGAAACAAACGACTGGACCAAGTTCCAAAATTTCCTGGCCGGTGTCATTATTCTCACCGTCCAGTATTGGGCGGGAAATCGGGAAGCGCGATATCGCGCATTGGAAACCCGATTCACCGAAGTTGTTAAAGTTGCTCGTCGAATGGAGTTGACGAAGACCCGACATGATCCGGCCGATCAAGTCGCAGAACATTTATGGATTCAGAAAGAGTGCCGCATTCGGTTCGTATCCCTGCCGCCCAGGGCCACGGGGGCTACATGTACTTCCCTTACTAAAACCTCTTAGGACTATCTGCATCATCGCACTTCTCGATTCTGCCTTCTTCTTTTACCAGAACTATCCTTGTCGCATCACGCACACCGAGATGGAATGCGACTTACCCTGTCATGAACCTCTCTTTCGCTCTGAGCATCCATTTACGGCGCCAGACTTTCGCTTTTCCCGTGAACTTACCCTGCTTGGTGCTTTCCAAAGTTTGTTCCAAGGGACAACTTACGGTACAGCCCATCAGTACATGTCTCCCCAAGAGACGTCCCAAGATCAATCTCGATCGCACCAATTGAGCATCCCGGATCTCAGTGTTTTAGACATGTTTTTATTAATACATAGTATGTCATTGCATCCATCAACTCCGTTTGAGATTTCACTTGCTGACTTGTCCCTAGTGCTTTACTCTTTCATCAACACGCACATGACACTCTTAGGGCCCTTTATACGAATGGGCCATGTCAAGAAGTCTACACAGGATACCACTTTGAGCCCTCGTGACAACAGTCCGATCCCGGAAGATTCCATCCTCACAGCTATCCGGGCCGCCCTTAGTCGGTGGCACGAACACTGGGTTGTACTTACCAACCGGGTCTCGCCTGAGGAATGGGCTTTGATGGGCTTTTACAAAAACGCTTACAATTTCTGGCTGGTATCACAGATGCTGATCACTAAAAAGGATGCCGTGGATGTGGTTATGCAAATGGAAGTCAATTGTGAGGATAAGTTGGAGAAGCTGAAGGTTTTGCTGCGCGACGACCAAGACGAAGTATAGTGGTAGGTGGTTTCTTTCAAAGAAATGTATACATGATAGACATGGATGCACAGGTTGGAGGCGTTCTTTTATTGCATTTACGATGGTGGCTTATTTGGATTGGATTGGTATGGACGCAGCGTTGATATATCCTGGGGCGTTCGTGTTCTTAGGTTTCATATGGGTTTCTTTCTGACTTAGTTACTATATAATTTGAAACTACAAGGTCTGGGGCGTCAGTCAATAATATCATTTTGTATTTATGCCCGAATACTACGGCTCTTCTATAAAATCCTCATGCATATCCCAAGCTAGAAAACATAGCGATATTCTTCCCAGTATCCTCATCCACATACGCCGGTGGCTCTGCAAAAGTAACATGATCCCCATGTAACTCAGCCACTCGACCCGTCAGCGATGTATCTGCTACAAATTGAGCAACGGCATTCGTGGCCGTCGACATCGGTGTCAGAATCATGGACTTGAACAGGGCACTGTCTGGTGCGATGTTCGTTTCTGCTGCTGTCAGTACATTTCACTGTCCTCATATTTTGTGTCCAAACATACCAATAACAGCCGGTGCCAGTGCATTAATTTGGATTTTCTCCAATTCTAGAGGCTTTGCGAGGGATCTCACTAGCCCTATAACACCTGACTTTGTTGCTGCGTACATCGGCGCCATTGCAAATGGGTATAAACCGGCATTCGAGGCTGTGCAAACAATCAGCCCTTTAGATTTGGTTGCGGTGTCGGTATTGCGAGACATGTAGTGTGTCGCGAGCTTGATAGCTATTAGCGTTTGTTAGCATTAATATATTAATACCTTTGGGGTGAGGGTTTACACACAATATAAAACCCCAACAAGATTCACATTCAATGTGGACAAGTCTGGTTTACAAGGGCCCTGATTTGCGTCTCCGTGCTTCTCGGGTAGCAATGTCCCCTTTTCTGTTATACCGGCATTGGCGAATACAATATCGATCCGGCCTTGTTGGGCAAAGACCTTCTGGAATACTTCAGCTTGGCTTTCCCAGGATGAGACATCACATTGCTCGAATGAGATATTGGCAGATGTAAATTCTGCGCGAAGGTCCTCGAGCGTCTGTGCGCCAGTTGTGGGGTTGATATCGAGAATTGTTATGTGCGTATTTGGCTCTGTGATAAAGTGCTTGGTTATACCTAGGCCAATTCCCGAGGCACCGCCTAATTGCTGTATTAGTCGAGGGTTTTGGTGTTTAATGACTGTGTTATGGCTATCATGCTACTTACCGGTGACAATAATGCTTCTGCTGGGTGTCATATTGTACGAAATCAATCTTCGGGCTACAGTTTCAGGCAAAGACCTGATGACCTGTACCTTATGCAGATACTCAATACCCGAAATCCTTTGAGTTTCCCTACTTACCCCTCGCATTCCCCACATTGTGGGGAGCCGGGGGATTTCCGGCCGGCTTAATCCAGGATTACGCACTTACAAATGTACCTATGAGAGATACACTCCGAGTCCTCGTATCGAAGGGTTGATCCTTTTACTAATGATTACCAACGTCCCTCGGCCGGATTTCTTGCTTTAGTGCTGCATCAACCCCGCATGCAGGCCAAAATCGCGGAATTAGAGATCCTGCATATTCAACGCTCGGAATATGAGGAGCGGACTTGTGGATTGCATCTTTCTGTTCTTTGGAAACGCATCTCTATCTAGAGCTTGAGCTGCATCGGACTATACAAAAAGAGTAGTTTACAGTCCATTGCAGGAAACCTTGGCCTATTCTTTTCAGTAATCATCCGAATAGCTTGCTCTCGGCTGAGGAATATCATGTCCTCATGCCGAAGGCCTATTTTCGGTTCGGTCCAACTGCCGTTTATCAGGCCAAGGCTCGTAAGAAGTATGGATCAACCTTCCATTGCCATTCGCTGGCCATTGAATAAACTTATTCGCTGTTGAGTAACCCGAGGCTTTTCAATCAGGCTAATCCTGCAATATGACAGCACAATGCGTCAATCATGTCACCTCTATCTCCTGGGACTGATGACAAAATTATTGCAGAGATTAACTTAATGTAATCTCAAGGCCGCTTTGCCCAACGTGGGTTCAGACAGCTTTCTGGACACAAAAAGCCGACCACGCTTGCCACGCATCCAGCAAGTGGGCTCAACCATCGACCCGATTACATTCGGAAAAGCCCCGTGGGGAACCCCGGATTTCAAGCGGAGTCTGCATGATGGGGCAAGCCCCATCTTGGATTGCAGCTCTTTCATTCCGTGTCTGCAAGTTACTAGTCCACCCAAGAGAAAGTCTGATAAGTTATAACGACCATTGATCGTCCTTTATTTGCCATCATTTGCCTGCGCTTTGGAAAGGCGATTCAGTACTGAACTCATACACATCTTTCTTCTTTCCGCGTCTCAATCTCAGGCAAGATTGTACCTACAGAACTGTAATCTCATTCTCAAAATGCCGCTTGGCATCCTTGACGATGGCAAACTGGAGCATGTCCCCGGAACAGCTCCATTAAACGATCTCCAAGGCTCCACGAATTACCCAGGCATCCATCCCAGTCTCCTCAAACATGACCCAACTGGCCAAATTGTACTTGTGCCTCAACCCTCCGACTCGTCAAAAGACCCATACAACTGGCCTCGGAAAAAGAAAGAGTTGTTCACAATTACCTATGGGTGGAGTTGTGGTTGTGTTGGAGGTAGGACACAGGGACCATTTACTTTGTTTGCTATACGTCCAAAACTAATACTCCCACTATGTAGCCGTTGGCCCCCTTCTGGGAGCTGCATTTGTTCCCCTTGCTAAAGAATTTGATGTCCCGTTGACAACATTCGTGTCTGGTGTCCAAGGCGGAACGATTGCCGCTGTCGCAATCGGCAGTCTTCTGTTCAACTCTCTCGCCGTCAAATATGGCAAGCGACCAGTCTACCTCGGTACCACAATCGGCCTTATGGTTTCCTGTTTCTGGGCTGCTGAGGCGAAGAGCTTTCCGTCTCTTGTTGCAGCTCGGGTTGTTTGTGGTTTATGTATGGCACCAATGGAGGCATTGATTCCTGCTTCAATTGCAGACATCTGGTAAGGGTACACCCGGTATGATCTGGTGCCGCGTACCTAATGGTTTGTTAGGTTTGTGCACGAACGAGGCTTCCGAACAGCCATTTTTAACCTTGGTGTTCTGGGTGGAATCAATCTTGCTGTCCCGATTGGTGAGGGGTCTCCATGGTTCAATATTGCTTCTACATTGACTGATATGGAACCAAAAAGCTGGAGGTATTATCGAGTACGGCTCATATCGCATTGCTCTACATGCGATGGGCGGTGCGTTCGGGCTGGCGTTTATCATGATCTTTTTCTGGATGCCAGAGTCGGCATATGCAGGAAGAAATGCTTTGAATATTGACACTGGCAATGAGACTGTAAGTTCCCACGTTTTCGGGCATTGCATCTCATTAATTGGGAGTTTCAGGTTACAATCGAGGGCAAGGAGAACATTGAACAACTTGAGCACGTATCCGGACCCGACTCTACGCAAGAATCCGAGCCCAGCACCCCCTGGTCTGAAGAGCTTCTCCCCTATAGCGGCTACATAAACCCAATTTCATTTTGGAATACCCTTGTCAGGCCATTCTATCTGCTGGCTTCTCCTGCCGTACTCTGGGCAACGATTCTATTCACGATTTGTATTTCATGGCTCGTTGCCATTTCTCTCACTCTATCACAGATATTTTCTGCGCCTCCATACAACTTCTCCGTTGGGGCTGTGGGAGCAACAAACATGGCCTCCTTTGTTGCGTCCGTTCTGGGAACGATTGTGGCAGGTCGACTTATTGATGGCGTAGTTACCAGGATGTCGAAAATGAATAGGGGCATATTTGGTATGTGTTTTGCTTCCTGCGCTTTACATTGACTGAGATATTGTTAAATTAGAACCTGAGTTCCGTCTCCCTATTATGGTGACATATCTCTTATTTACGTCAACAGGCTTCTTTGCATGGGGTCAATCCGCATACGCTCAAGATCCATGGGCAGTGCCTGTTATAGTATGTCTCGGGCTGATCAACTTCGGTGTTCAGCTTGGGACTACTGGTGTTGTTACATACATCGTGGACTGCCACAGAGAAAAAGCCGGAGAAGCATTTGCTGTGATGAACTTTGTCAAGAATCTGTTCGCATTTGGGTTATCTTTCTATATCAATGACTGGCTTGGCCAACAAGGTATTAGGAACTGCTTCTTTACTATCGGTGGAATCACTATGGGTGTCACGCTTTTTACCATACCCATGTAAGTTTGACGTTCGGCCTTTTTTTGAGGATGGTGTCTACCATATGTGCTGCTGATGCTCATGATTTGGCTGCAGGTATATCTACGGGAAACGTGCTCGAAGCTGGGTCCACCGACATGGATTTGCGGATAGGTTGTGAGAGGAAACCACACTGGTATTTGTAGAAACTTGTTTGCTCTCTTAGGCAGTACACTACACCAATATATATCTCCCTTGACGAGTACATATACTATGGGGTAATTTAGACCTTAGCACGTCTTCTTGGCAATCCTATCTAACAGTAATCCAATCAAGATTATATTCATCAAAGTCTCTAAGAGGAAGTAGCACAGTTCACATCCAATAAGCTATCATCGACCTGTAAGAAGAAGATTGTCAGCAAGCTTTTATGGGCAGTTATAGATTAATGGAAAACATACATTTGTGCATGTAAACTGGTCATCCCCATCAGGGCTAGTAACATCGATGTTGGTTGCCTTGATATCCGAGCAAACCTGTAGAAAGTCAGATACTGGAATGTATAGCTGGGGATGGAAGATGCTCACATTCGGGCTCGAGCAGACAATAGTTCCCACTTTAGGGTCATATTTACCCGAGGTCACGCCATTGAAGTTGGTGAAGAGGATATCTTCGATGACGAGGCTGCTCTATATGGAGTAGTTATTTGTCAGTTACCGCAGTGTAGAAAAGGCACGATCTAGGGAATACGTACGGGGAACTCATTGCAAAGAGTGAGGTTCTTCTGGCCATAGCATTGAGTCACCTCAATCGCATAGTCGACGTTGTCGATGGTCATTCCGTCGTAGGTAATGTTCTTCACGATACCTGATCCACCGCCGCCTTGGAGATCGGTTGAGAGCGCAGAGGCAGTTCCAGGCCAGACTTTGATGCGAGCACCATCCTACGCAAGAAATTAGACATTATTGCTGATGGTGGTTTCAGAGATTGAACTTACCGATGCGTTGAACATGGAAATGTTGTAGACGAGCACATTCTGCACAATATCAACCTCGCCCTCGTATTGACCGAGAGATCCGACGGAAATGCCGTGAGAACCGTTGCAATGAAGGTTCTGAACTAGAATCTCGGTACTGTTGGGCTTGAAAGAGACGCAGTCTTCGAAATGGTTAGTCCAAGTTGGCAATGAATAGTGGGAAAGGCTGAACATACCATCTCCATTGTTAATAACAGAGTTCTGAATGACAATATTCGACGAGCGGTAAAGATCCCTAATGACAGCTATTAATAAAACCCAAGGAACTAGAATTTCCAACTTGACATACCATCCATCTGTATTCTTAGCCACATTCTTACTGCTGCTAAATCCCGTGATATCAATTCCATCAAAAAGCACATCAGTGGAATTGGCCACGAAGTGGTACCACTGAGGCGAATAGCGAAGCTTGAGAGGACCAATGGTGCCACCCTTCAATCCGATGATGCCCATCAGAATTGGACGCAAGATGAGAGCATCCTTTGCATACAGATCATACCAGACCTGACCATTTCCATCGAGGGTACCATCGCCATACATATTGACATCCTCGCCGCCGAGTTGGAAGAACGTCGTGGCGTTCTGGTAGATCTGCTTGAAAGCATTTGCTTGCCAGTAATCCGTGTCATTGGTGAATTGAACATGTCCCTGGATTTCTATTTGGCCTTCTGTCAGCCGAGGGCCATCAAATATAAGCTATGAGGGTCCGCGTGTAGTACATACCCAGATCAACATGCTTGAGGAAAGTCATGTCAAGCGCTTTTCCAATGGTATAAGTCTTGTCCGCGTCAAAAATAACCTTTCCGCCATTGTTGCATTTCTTCAATGCGGCGAGAACATTGGCAGAATCGTCCTTTCCATGTCCATGATTGGCTACATGACAGGTCTTAGTTCTGGCATTGCTAGCGGGGAGAGGCTTGAATGGGTGATTTGGGTGGCATGCATCAGTTCGAGAGTGACTGTGGTCCTTTGCATCTACTATTGAACCGAGAGAGCTGAGCACGCCAATGGCCTGTACCAAGGCATTTGTGACCTTCATATTGATGAAATGAAAGCCAGGTATAGTATGGGATAGACAAGCGTATCAATTGCGTACCAGGAGCTACCGGGGGTTGGTCCCCAAGGAATATTAATACTACCTCAAACACCAAATATTTCCTGACGTCCTCTGCCCTAACTCTACGGAAAACGCTAAACAACCCCCCTGCGGCGTTGTGGTGGGGTAACTTCGTACCGGATGCTTTAGTCCGGGGAAACAAGCAGCGAGTTGATTCTATGTGGGGAAAAAGGAGATTGAAGCTAGCATGTGTGGTCACTTGACGTCTCTTTAATGGATTAGTTGGGAATTATGGGACTGTGCATTGCGTGGATGCAGCGACTATGCAGATCTGATAGGAGGAACATTTGGCGCCATTTCCCCGATTGGGAGGAAAATCTCGGGTAAATACTGGGGACCCCAGGTCCGAGGTGGATTCTATAGGTTTAGCTTGATGCTGTTCATCTTGCAAACGAGATCATAGAATGTTTCACAGAGGAAGGGCAAATGACTACTTGGAAATGCGCAGTCTCGCAACTTCCCGCCGTTCAATCAGATTCAGAACCAATCACCTTAAAATGCTTTATATGTACAATTGGCTACAATAGAGAGACCAGGTGTCAGCCCAGAGGCAAACCAACAGTCATCCCAAGCGAGCTAGCTCGATCACAAGATGCGCCCAAAGCTTCCTTCGGCGAGCCAAGAATCTCTATAGATACCGATCTAAGTGCAATCAGGCACACCTCTCCAAACTCTCACACTGCAACACGAAATCCAGTGCATATTTAAGTGGACTTCTCAACCTTGTCGACAACCTTCTTAGCGGCACCCTCAGCCTGGTCGGCGACAGCCTTGACGGAGGCAACGGCCTCCTGCTCGAGCTCCTTGGCGGCCTCAGCGGAAGAGCCGTCTTGGCTGCGCTGCCACAGGAAGATACGGGTAACCTGAACAGCACCAACACATCCGAGGAAGAAGTTGACGGCGGCAAGCCTGTCGAGTTATGTTGGATTAGCATTTGTACCAAATGATTCCGTTGTCGGGACAAACATACAGAACGTTGCGGGGCTTGATGATCATGCACCAGCGAGTCCAGATGGCACCGGTACCCATGAGGGCGGCATTCTGGGTGAGGGAGAGCTTCTCAGCGGGACGGGCGAAGTCGGAGATACCGGCGATGACGAGGCACCACTATTCGAGATGTCAGCGACGGCGATCGATAAAGCATAGCCAAATTCTCAATGATATGAGTTATTTTCCGGAGACATAGTATCTGTGGGAGGTATTGGGAGGAAAGAGGCGGCATATCAGATAGCAAAGCGAGTCATCGTACCTTCATAACGGGAGCCCTGCGATAACAACGTTAGCATCCATTCGTAGCCCAAAACATAGACCAAAGCTTCGCTGGTGCTATCCACTTACCAGAAATGCACAGTCTTCACACCGACAGGGCTGTTCCAAATGCGCTGGAAGGTGCTCTGCTGCTCTGCGGCACCGGCTTCGGAGCTCGAGAAGCGGAAGCCCTGGGCACCCGGCCGGCGGAATGGCCCGGACGCATTGCGGAAAGCAAAGCGAGTGTTGTTGAGGAAGCGGAGGCCCACACGAGAAGACATGGTGATATGTGTGATGTGATCCGGGTTGTGAGAGGGAAGAAGGATGGACGTCCGTAATCGGTGGAAGGGGGAGTTTTCCGTCGGAGATCGCAGATGGAGGAAGTCACCACCACAACAGCCAAGAGTATAGACAGGACAGTAGACGGAAGTTCTTCAAACTTCTCCTAAGCAATTGACCGAGAGTAATTAATTATCTCTTCTTTGCTGCTGCGATGACGCTGAGAGGTTCTGCTTATGTAACCAGATACCACTAGCCCAATGCAGACTAGCGGGATACGTCTCTGCGCAGCGAATCACCGCTGTCGTGAATAATGCACCGCATCAGTTCCTCCCTCACCTCATACCCTTGACTCTCGCACTTGACAACCCACCATGTCTGGCAAGTACGTCTTCACCCAGGGCCTGAAGGAGCTCCGCTTCCTCTTCTGCCAAACCTCCGAGGCCAGCGCTGCCACAAGGTGCGTACCATCCCGACCGAAGCGAATGGCTCTCGAGTCCATTGATTGACCCCGTGCCGATAGATCTTTCCTGAACCGCGCCTACCCGACCATGAAGAAGCATAACCCCAACACTCCCATCATGATGCGCGAGGCTGCCGGCACCCAGCCTCGGGTGTTTGCTCGATACGGTATGCCAAAACCTCTACGCCTGCGTGAAGGCGATGTAGGCATTCAATTACGGAAGAATTGAGCTAATTGGACCATTTGTTCCTCACAGCCCTCGGAAAGGAGAAGCAAGAAGCCCTGTCCGGTACGTACCGTGCCCCCGCCAAAAACTGCAATGTCAGAATCGGGACTCGGATCCAGAACCAAATACTGACAAGCACCCCATAGGCCTCACGGACGCGCAGATCGAAGATCGCATCACGCAATTGGTGAAGCAGTCGTCATAGCTTTTTTTCCATACCGATTTATCTTATGCCCCGACCGCGTTCCTACCGTTTTACACCATCTTCTGTACCTATAGATGAAATCGAACCCTCACATTCAAAACAAGTCAATTCCTCCAATCCGGAGACTATCTAACATTCTATGCTATTCAATTTCTCGAACTATCGAATCACTCTCATAATGAACTAGCATTCTCAACCTCCCCAAACCGGTACTGTGCCCAGCTCATACTACCCTCAGGATAAGTCCACAGCCTCTTACCCAGATCCTCACCAGCAGCACCAGCTCCAATATGAATAGGAAGCAAATGCTCAAAAGAGGGATGAGCCTGGCGCGCATCAGGTCGTTTCAGCAACTCCGCCATAGCCTTCTGCCGCTTATCCGGCGCGGTCGTCACAGCGTCCTTGGTCGCCTCATCAAAGCTAACAGCGTATGGCATCGGCTTTGAGTTTCCAAATGTAAACCGCAGGTCGCGCAGATTGTGCACTGCCATTCCGGATACGATGATCAGGATGTTTTCCTCGCGCAGGCGGGCGACTGCTTGGCCTAGGCGGTAGTGCTGGTCTGGGTCTTCGGTGTTGAAGAGGGAGACTTGCACGAGGGGGACGTTGAGGGGGTTTGTATCTGGATCGAAGGCTGTACATTGTTCTTGTTAGTATTTCCATTGCATCCCACTCATTTGACATGCACCCTGCGTAGGGAAATGGAATACATACCACACCTGAAACCAACCCAAACACCATGATCAAGTCCACGCTTCACACCCTCCGCTTTAATGCCCGCATCCTTGAGCGAATCGAGTACTTTATCCGCGACTTCCTTGCTACCGAAATTGGGATATTTCTCCTTGTAGTAATGACTCGGGAATCCGTAGAAACTAAACCCCAGTCAGATCAGCAAACAATCCCAATAACACAATCGACATCTTGTCAGAAAATACAAGTACATACTCATATATCAAATCCGTGGTCTCGGCTGTATTAACCTGGATGGTATCCTTACCAGCCTGCCAATGCGCTGAGAAAACAACCACAGCGCGTGGCTTGACCTTGGTGGTGATTTCACGTCCGATTTCGGCTAGTTTTCGGTAGGCTGGGTGTTCGACCTCGTACATTACGTTTGGCTGGATGGGATGTTAGCACATATATGTTTCTTGGGTTTGAAGTTTGGACATGGGGTGTTGTACTCACCCCGCCATGGCTAAGGAAATAAACTGGAGTCTTCAATGAAGACATTGTATCAGATGTTGAGACCTTAGCTGTCGCCGTAGTAGTTACAGATGCCGAACTCGAACCCGGAGCTGCAGCTGCAGCTGAAGAAGAGAAGAATCGTCGTATGCCGAACAGATTGGCGGTATCACCCCAGAATAGGGGGGCAAGCACAGCAGCGAAGATAGTCAGGAGAGAGATGAGAACGAGTTTGCGTCCGCTGATTGCATTCAATGTATCTCGAGCCACTGGTGTACTTGTATTTGATTGTTGTTGGTTGGCTTCGGAAGACATATACGTCCAGCTTGTCGCACCTGTAAACCTTTTAAGGGTTTCAAATGGGTGTTATAAATGCAGAAATGAAATCGGCTGACGCCATTGGAATTTACTGGAAATGTTGCTTAGATATGTCGGAACTGCATAGAGCCGATGGCATAAGCCGTTCTGATTTCAGTGTGTCAGCGCGGAATCTACCCGCCACGGATGTACGGAATTACGGATGTGGGATATGGAGGATTTTTGGATCAATTGGTCAACAATCTATTAATGTATGCAAATTGCTGGATTTCAGCGGGATATTGGCTCCGTCGTGTCCGTTCCTGTCATGCACGTCCCATTCATAAACAAAAGTAGTAGTAGAAGAAAAAGGGGAAGAGAAAAGAAGAGAATAAGGGAAGGAGAACGAGAGGGCAAAAAGAGGAGACAAGAGCTAAACTCAGAACAAGAGTGCTTCTTGGCAGGAAGAAGAGAAAGGAAGAAAGAAAAAGAAAAGATTCATGCAGCCCAAAGCCGAAGAGAAACCCTAATCTTTGACTGGGGTAATGCACTCGAGCGCCAGTGATCATGCGGAACATACATGCATGCAAGCCATGTGAGAGTATAGTAAGGAAATGAAACAAAAAGAAAGTGGAACAACGCCATTGTATTACATGAGGATGCAATCACCGTCACTCTGCTTGTTAACAGCCGAGCGAGAGAGACGGGTCTTTTGCATCCTGCTTCCGCCCTTCTTGAGATCCTCAAGACGTTCACGAGCCTTGGGGAATCCTTGGGCTAAACAGAAAAAGAACAGTTAGTTAGAGTAAAAACAGTGAAGGGAAGAGATATCAACTTACCAGCTGCACGCCAGTACCACCGCTTTGCATCGTCCAGATTGGCAGTAGCGCCGATTCCTACCTCGGTGAAGTATCCCATCGCATACTCTGCCTTTGCGAGACCGGCGGTGGCGGCTTTGCGAGCCCATAGGTAGGCCTCGGTGTCATTTTGTGACAGGATGCCTTCGGATCCGGTGAGGTACCAGCCACTGAGAGCAAGCTCACTTTGGTGTTCGCCTTGGGCGGCGGCACGGGTGTACCAGATGATACTCGTGCGATTATCAACGGGACATCCCATGAGTCCGTATTCGTACGCATTGCCGAGACGGAACTGGGAGAACTTGTAGCCCAATTCAGCAGCTTGGTGGAAGAGCTGGCTGGCGTACTGCTCGTCGCGGACGATTATATCGTTGCCGCCAGCGTTGAGGTACATGAGAGCGAGCTCGTGAAGAGCATGTGGGTTTTCCTCGTCTGCGCGGTCTGCTGCCCGCTTGAGCCAGGAGACACCCTCCCGAGGGTTGCGGGCTTGACCGAGCAATCCCTTAAGATTGATCATACCCATTTTGTACATCGCGGGTGTGTCGCCTAGGGCAGCGGCGCGCTTGTACCATTGGACGGCTTTGAACGGGTCGCGCTTGGTACCGCCGCCTTCTTCTTGGCCAATTTCGCAACAGACTGCTACACGGTATGCAGACTGAGCGTGGCCTTGCTTCGCAGCGGAGTGGTAGAGCGAGAACGCTTCTTTAGGGTCGACTTCCAGGCCCAGAAGGCCCTCACCATAGCAATCAGCCAAAAAGAATTGTGCTTCAGAGTATCCAGCTGCAACAAGCTTCTTCACGATTTTGTGGGCATCAAGGATGTACTTCTCCTTAGCCTTGGCCTTGGTTTTCGGATCGAGGCGGCTGTTGTTTTCAACGAGAACTGTGGCTGCTTCAACCAACTTCTTGGCGAGGAGAAGCTGCGTCTTTTGGTCCGAAGGATTTCCTCGCGCCTGTTGTTGCAGCCGCTGCAGCTCTTCCTGCGTGACTGGCGTTGGGACACTTGCAGCTGGCACAATGGGCTGTGGCACAGACTGGGGAGGAGCAGCTTCGGGGGCGCTATACTGGCGAAGCGGTGCAGGTTTCGAGGCCGCATCATGACCGGGACGGAATGGGGCTGGGTGGTGAGGCAGAGCATCGGGACTTTGCTGGGGGTCTGACAGATCAGGCTGCTCTGGGGGATAGGCCGGTTGGTTCATCCGAACCGGCGCAGGGCCGCGGGAGTAATCGCCATGACCTCCGTAGCCATTGGGCCCATAACCAGGGTCTTGGTGGTCCATAGCACGAGGCTCTTCTCCCGGAATATCGAACTGAAATCCCGCATTCTCGAACTGGTTCACCTCGACCTGTCGGAGATTGGGGTGGGATTGAGAGCGCTGAGCATCTGCGCCTGGAGAGTATGAAGAGTACTCTCCACCGGGAGAAGAATTTGGACCAGGGCCGGGTCTCCGACCTGTTGGTGTGTCCAATCCCATCTCATCAATGGGTCCATGCTGCTTAGCATCTGGAATAGCATCGAAATTAGGCATATCGGGTTCGTCGCCACCACCAGACTCGTAGTAACTATCCAGGAAGTCCTTGGGCGCGTACGAAACGCGATTGGCGGGTTCCGGAGGAATCATCAATCCAGAGTCTATATCGTTGGGCGCCCGGGATCGCGGAGGTCGCATACTTCCAGCGGTATTGGGACGCATGGGAGGTTCGACAATGGGACTTGCTGGGTAATCGGATTCTTGGTAGGTCGATTGCCCCGGGTACATCGGAGCGATTGGAGGTCCCATTGGAGAACCTGGCGCAAGCGGCATCGTTGCACTTCGTCCTGGCGGATGCATCGGCGGGCCCATAGGATCGATATAAGGGCGGTCCGGTCTACCAGAGCTGGCAGCTCGCACTGGGCCCATCGGGTATCCGCCTCGGCCTCTGACAGGGGGAGGTCCGCGCGGAGGCGGTCCTCGCATATCCGGGCGTCGCCCATTAGAATTTGAAGTGTGCGGCCGGGGAGGAGGGCCTCTGCCATTGATGTCCATCGCAGCCATGCCATTCTCAATGCCTCGAGGCGGACCGCGGCGGTCTCTCGGATCTCTGGGGGGTCTTCGGTCTCGTGGGTCTCCTCTAGGATCTCCTCTTGGGTCACCTGGGGGAAAGGAAGGAAAGGGATTGTCAAAGCTAGCGCCTGGGGGTGGTCGTCCGCCAGCTGCGCGATTGTTAGTCGTAGATTTGAGAGACCTTATATCTGATTTACGTACGGGTTCTTGATCGTTGTTGTGGTGGTGGTCTTCCTCCGGGACCAGGAGGGTAGCCTCGCCGGTCATCGGGGCCGGGTGGTCGTCCGTATCCAGGGCCTGGAGGGCCTGGTGGGCGCATCGACCGTGGCTGTGACTGCGGGGGTGCATATGGTCGCGAAGCCGAAGAATTAGACCGGTAACTATACGCTGCATCGTCGTAGCCTGGATCCGCGTTGTGATAGTCCGTACTGCTCATGCCGCCATCACCATAGCCTGCATAGGGGCCATCTTGCGAGTATCCCCCCGGCAATGCCACCGAGGGCGGAGGGGCGTTGTTATATTGTCGCAGAGGCGGCGGCCTCTGCGCGGGAGATTGCTGAGGGTATGACATGGCGCCAAGGGACCGAAGAGCGTACTATACAAGGTGTCGAGATTCAAGTGGTCTCCGAGGGGCGCGGTGTGAATCTTCCCAGGCGATCGCATGCAAGGAGGGGTTTACTGCAACTTCCGGTTAGCCTGTCCATGTCACGATATTCAAAGCCAGTTAGGCAGTGTCCACATAACGGCGCATTGTTCATACCCAGATCACAATGCCACTCAGCACGTGCGCTCGCGATTTGAGCACCTGAGAGAGTCAGAGGCCACAGTAGGGCGGACTGAAGGGATATCAAAAGAGACCAATACGAATACGTTAGGAGGGCAGAACGGTTTAGGGGCGGTGGCAGGTGACTTTAAATCAAAAAACCAAGTGACCCACTCCCTGCCGGTATTTCAATCTTCAAATCTCTTCAGCCGTTATCCATACCTTAATGCTCTTTGGTGTTCTATATATTTTTTGGGACTTCTGATGGTTTTGCTCACACCATTAATATGCCATTTAATATGAAGATTTATATGCACTCTACATCATCGTAATGTCAGGGCCATATATTAGATAGCCGTCAGTGCCTGACGATCGGGGGACCTGCAGACTTTGTCTTCCCGTCACGTTCTACCTGTATTTCGGAGTTTGCATTGCAGGGAGTATGGAACTCGGAGATTTGACTGGATACTGGGCCCTTGAAATGCAAACCCACTTGCAGGGGACTGTGACAACATCTGGTCCACTGTTCCCTAGGGCAAATGGGGCATCTGAAACGAAATTACCATGCTGATCCAACCAAAATGAGATCCAGTTCCCACCAGGGCAAGGCTGGCGCATTGTCGGATATTCGGATGATTCAAATGATTCAAATGTGTTTATAGAAGTTCCCATGGTAGATATAAGAATAGAGACAAGGTCCACGTTGTCTCGGACAATTAACGAACATGTTGCAAGTTCAACGTCACTTGAATGTGGGGAGAAAGGAACACCTGCTCAAAAGGGACTAGCGTTGTATATGCGCCACACTAGCCTGAACTAGCCTCAACTGCGCCACGGTGCTCGGGAACAAATGAGATCCGCGATGATGTTGATGATCTCGGCATCTCACGACTTTCAATCCGAATTCCGGTACCTATCTCGGAACAGGCAACCAACTATCGCGCTTCCAGTTACCCACAATGTCTCGCGCTGTGTTATGGACCAAGGTTGTCGCCGGGTCAGTGATGCCCTGCACCGTCACAGAAACTTGCGCTAACATCCGCCTCTCAATGCAGTGGCCTGCTCATGGTTGTCGGAGGCCCCGCTTTCGTTGAATACATCCGACCCTCCGATGAAGAACTTAGGAAGCGATACAATCCGGATCTGCAGAAGCGCAGTGCCGAACAGGGGGAGCGCCGCGCCCAGGAATTCGACGACTACGTGAACAAGCTGAAGCACTGGTCCAAGTCGGATAAGTCCAGTATGTGACCCTCTCCTCGGTGGTAGCGGCATGCCTCTAAAGAAGTCCCGACTAATGACATATCTTTAATTCTAGTCTGGTACGCTGCACAGGAAGAACTCGACAACAAGCGGGCAGCGATCGAGGCTCAACGCGCACAGGCAAAGGAGGAAACGAGGACACAACGGGAGGAGATGCGCAAGGAGATGCTGGGTGAAAAATGATCGCGAGTCCATTGCGGCTCTGCCTGTCTCAATGACGCTGTAATCTTGATCCTTCTCTGATACCAACCCTCCGCCACTCCTGCCGTTGATCCGATTGCTCCGCGGCTGTCTTTCTGCTTTGTTTGTGGCGATAGTTCGAACCTCCCACGCTATCCGGTACACAGCCTTGGATAGGTCTGCTGTATGTCATGATCTTATTGGGTGTATGATAAGTTTTTGCCTCTTCCCTCATCTTTGCATCTTCCTCGTAATGGGGCCATATCTGTACAATTACCGACGTTTGAGCTGTGTCTCTTAAATATCTTATAATCGAAAAGCGAACCTGGCTCTATCAATCTATTCACATATTCACATATTCAATCTGGATCTGTCCTGGGACTAAGCCCCAAATTACTGCTTTTATATCATTCAGGATTCCTCTCATCACCCGCAGCCTGCACAGCAACCCTCACAACCTCCTCCGGCATCGAAACCCAGGGACTATGATGAGTATCAAACTCCTCAACCCTAACAACACCACCCTCCCCCCGAACCCTCTCCAACATAATATCCTGCGCGGCAACAGGAACCGCAAAATCCCCAAGCGTCTTCACAAAAGTAACAGGAACCCTCCTCCAAGCATCACCCGTAGCACCCTCCCTCAAAGCCTTGACGGGAAATCTCACAAGCGTCGAAACGACCTCCTCAACAAACACACTCTCCTCAAGTCCACTAAAAAACAACATTCCAGGATCAAGCGGGAAGAAAGTTCCATCCTCGTCCTCGTCAACGAGCTGCGCCCACATCTTGTCAGCGCCTGTTTCTTCCACAATACTCCACATTGTAGCTCCGGGCATGAGCATATATGCGCATAGATATAGTAGGTGGATTACGCCGCCTGGTTGGCCGGCCGCTTTGCGGGTGGGGAGGTCTAGCTCTTGGACTGCGGATATGCCGACTAGACCGCCGTACGAGTGCATTATCATTATCACGCGCTTGTTGGCTTCGACTAGATCTTGGATCACACTACGGACGTGGCGGACGTCTTCTGGGAGTGTCGCTGTTGGGGGTCGGGTGCCATTGCAGCTTGGGAGGTGTGGGGTGTGCACTGTGAAGCCTGCTTTTTTTAGGTCGGTTGTGTAGCTTGTGTAGTTTGTTGGTGTATGCCAGGCGCCGTGGATGAGGACGATTTCTGGGAGGGGTGCCATAGTACAGTTTGTCGTTGAGGTTTGGGTGTGAGTTGAAGTCTGGTTATTGACATGGTTTATAAACAATGGGCCAATTTGGGGCTGCTTATGCTTCAATCTAACTTAGGTAAACAAATCACGTCAGACAGCATAAGTTGCCCAGGCCCCCAAGATGTCAGTTGATGAGGCTGTGAATCATTTCCCCGCTTTCAGGTCTGTGTGAACAATGAGCCTCAATTGCTACTGTTCAATTGTATCATTACCGGCGAGAAAGAAGAAGGATAAGGCATTCACTACGTCAAAAACTGAGACTAAGCATATCGAGAACCGGGACTCTAATCTGGACTGGCTATCTGAGGCTTACCCTCTACGACATTCCTTCCCAATGTACCTGTCCGCCGTATAACGATGTACTAAGTTGCCTTCCAAGGTCATCGGCAAACAACATTACAGGATCGCCCTGTCTCACCTCTCTGAGCAATCTAGGTTCAATGCTGAACTCTATCACAAGCACACCTCTATGCTTTCTCTGTACCAACGCATGGTCCAGTGGGGGGCCGGGTACGGTTATGTTGATTAATCGGTGCAATTTGCGATATCGCAGTATCCTTTCTATTAATTTCTTCCATGAGTTGAGAGATGCTGTAAAAGAGGAAGAAAAATGATGGATCCGCTACGTTGAGAACTAAGTAAGAAGTAGGTCGACTATTTAAGGCTTCAAGTTCAAGACATCACTCTTCCAGTGCATGCCATGACAAACAAATATCTTTTTGGTTGCATTTTTCTAATTACACGCTTTTTCTGAACGTAAGCAACATGTGGCAAGATTCGTCGCTTCTGCTTGTCGCCAACAATCTAAGATATATGTACTCAATACAAGCTATACCATGCAAACGACCAAGACTCGTGACAAAAACGAACTGAATATATGTACAAACGGCATGCTTCAAGCACAATCTAATCATCGAATAAAATTTTAACAACTGGCTATGACCATATGATTATAAAAGCAGCACCCCCAAGAGGCAGCAAAACAGCCAACGCAGCAACAATACCAGCACCAGCTTTATCAGCAGTCGTAATCTCCCTCGTCCGAATATCCTCCCTCCCTCCAGATCCAGACCCAGATCCCTTCTCTCCGCCAGAGTTGCCTTTACTAGTCCCGCCAGTCTTACCTGTCACAGGCGCCTTGACAGTATGCACCAAATTCGCCTTGAAGATCTCCAGTGCAGCCATCTGCTCACCGATCCCAGTAGAACCATCATACTTGGTATGTTCAGTCCATCTCAGCCCACAAGCGTTATCAGGTCCATTGCATTGCTCCGCCGCAGCCTTGGAAGATTCTTGGATCTTGTACCACAATGTTTCATTGGTGAATGGGGCCAGTGGGATAGTTGCAGCCATGAAACGCGCCAGATAGGACTTGAAAGACCTCGAGTTTAGATCACATTGGCCTCTTTCGCATGGTTCGACCATTATGCCCTTGCCATTTGGGAAAAAGGTTGACAGTCCTTTGACTATGCCTTCTATGCGCGTTTTCCAGATTTCCGAGCCGTTGGTCTGGGAGTATCCAGTAAGCAGGAAAATCTCCTGTAAGTACCACGGGGACCAACTCACAATATTATACATGTTCGCAGCCCCATGCAGATAAACCGCAGGCAGATACGCGTGTTGCAGGGAATTAATCTCAGAACAATTCCCAGCACTATCCGCACCATCATGAATAAGATAATCCTCACTAATCAACCCCAAAGCCTCACTCCAATCCCAAACTTTGTCCGCCCATTCAACGAGCGTCTCATTCCCGGTATACCGCGCCAACCGCGCAGCAACATTAAAGAACCCACCATTCGAAATCGTATTCTTATACGAATACCCACCATTATACTCAAAAGCCTGCCAATGCAATCCACCCCCACAGGTAGCCGTGTCCCAACGCGTAGCCTGCGAATTGAAGGTATTCTCTGCGAGTTCCAGCCACTGCGGTTGATCAGCGGGTGGATCGGGATATTTCAGTTCGGCGGCGGACATGGCGGCGAAGCCCCAGAATATTTGATCGTCGTTTCCAAGGGAGAGGGTTTGGTTTTGGGGCATGAAATTGTTTTCGTCGCCTACTTGCCAGAGAAGGGCTTGGGTTGTTATTTCGTTCCATTTTGCGTCGCCGGTGTAGTACCAGTATTCCACCATTGCGCCGAACATTGCGCCTGCTTCCCACCAGTAGTAGGGGTCTGGGATGTTGCCTGGTACGTCGCCTGGTTGGTTGCCCGTGTAGTATTTCAGCATGCCGGCTGCGGCGGTTTTGGCGGCGGCTTTTATGGAGTCTTGGTTTGGTGGTGGAGTTAGATGCTGGATATAGTTGGATGTGTAATTTGGTAGGAGCGTTGTGGTTTGATATACCTTCATCATTTAAGTCGAGGTTGATTGACGCCTGCGTCACTTGTGGCCCCAGTGTGGAAATGAGAAAGAATAAAGAGCCGCATGGTAGATATCTCATGGCGATAGCCAATATTGAAATATGCGACTATTGAAATATGCGAAAATTGAGCTCATAAATAACCGAGTAGATGCAAACTGATTCAAGTGCGAACGAGATCTTAAAATGAAATTGATTGCAAAAGATGAGCTGCAAAACGCCGAGAGCCAAGGAGGAGGAATGGGGCCAGAGGGGTTCTTGGAAGCTGGGCAGTGTTCATGCGTAATGAAATGAACAGGGTTCTCCCAATCGGGCAAAATACGGGGGGAAGCGTGGACTAATAAAAGACTCGCGGATCCTGTTTGGGGCCGAGAACTGGGGTCATGTCTGCTGTCAGATTACACATGTAAATGAGTGGTCGAGTTGGCCAGCTTGAGCCAAAAAGGTCGACAGAAGGATGAAACGGGGTGCTCTCTAGCCTGATCTCAGATTTGGCATTTATTTTTGCCTAGGTGAGTGTAGCCCGTGAGGTGTACATGTAGTTGCATACTGTATGTAAATCGGAAGAGACCAGCCTTGTGAGCGGTCCGGAAGCTTTGGGGCTCCAGGAACACCCGAAATTGCCGCGGCGGGTCCACGATTGGACATTGCTATCGAATCGAAGAAGGAATTGGTCCTAGATTTGGTGTTTTCGGTTGGGAGACTGCCATAAGAAAATGCATGATTTTGTATATATTATTTTCGAACGGTAAGAAATAATCTCCATGAACTTATGCTGGAGGATATACTATCGCAAGTCTTGCTGTATATAGACAGTAGGATTTAAAGTAGTCGTTGGTCTTAGCGAATAGAAATGGCTAGCACCGAGGCTGTGGTGTTATTGGAATCCTAGGAGACGATACATGAAGGGGCCATGTTCATTGATTGATCTGTCCCCGCTTGGAGGGATCGGCAGATGGGTTACTGTAAAGATAACTTGGGTCATCGGGGCTGTAAGCTGGCAGGTGAAAATTGTACTTTATATAACAATGAGACGGTGAGTGAGAAATCTAAAACTGCCCCCTTACTGCCACCTTCGTCTCTAGTTGGCCATTGCCATGCGTAGACCGCGGCACGATCCTCAGGAGTCCACGGTTAACCTAACCTTAGACCTAGGTGGTGAACCCCTAAACCTCGCAAGGTTAACCTTGTGGTTATAGAGGTTTATTAAACAGTACAAATAGATATTTGCCTTACATTTATATATTAAGAAAATCACTTTTAGTAGAAGGATTGGAGTATTAAGAATCCTATTGCTATTTAAAATCTATATATAGGTTAAATTATCCTATTCTAGTTTAAATACTTTTAGTAATTTTGTTAGCTTCCTAATCCTCTAGCTAACATATATATGTTGAAAACAGATAGCATCGAGTAGCTTTACTGTAGCAATCTATGAGTGTGTGGCTCAGCGTCTTGAATAACGTCACGAATAAGCTCGAGCTGCTATGGTTCCATTTTGGCGCCATTTCTGTTCCCCCCTAGCTGCAGAAAGGAATGCGGTGGAAGGTAGCCGCATGAGTTTTACAATATCTCCGGTTGGGCCAAGAGCTTGCACTATAACCCGTGTTACGTGCCCTGCGCTCCTTTTACCCAAGCGACTCTCGCCAATCACACGTGATGTCTCATATTGCCCCGCTGCTGTCCCAGCACAGGGCTAGGCTTTTGCGGCCGGCGATGGGGGGGTCTACAGTATTTTGTTTACCACAGTATGTAGTTTCTTCGAGCTATGGTGTACAACCTATCAATCTCTGCTACTGTCTTTTTGGAATCTCCTTGATCTTATTATCTGACGAACAACTTGTTTTCTTGACTGGACAAGATCGTAAACATCCTTGTCCCGCTAAGATCCTGTGTGAACGGATGTTATTTGGCCGTCCTGCGGCGTAAACAGTACAAATCGATCACCAATGACGCAGGGAGTAAATGCAGGGGGGTATATGGTGTACGCGACGGGATGCAATGGACGTGATAAAAATGCTTGGCGGCATTAGTTTGTAAAAAGCCTGACCAGGTACAGTACAGTCGGTCATAATGGCATTCTACTGACTCGTGTTTGTGTCTGTTTGGCTGATCGCTCCCCTAAACGCACTAGGCTGGCGCTTAAGTGCTGCGCCTCTTCGGTCCCGATGCTGATAGATATGCTGATAGATAACTACAAGGCTATTTATGGTCGCATTCGAGTCATGTAATTGATTTTATTAGTTACTTAAGGCATCATTTCACCCACCTCCGCCTGTCGAAAACATTTTGATTCCGACGACCAAGGATCTGCGACCACGACCCTTCCCCTTAAACCTCCCTTGATGAGGTGCGACGACTATGCATCCGAGCATGCCGCTAAAATGTTTGAGCCGCGATTCCTATCGGGTGGGATGGATCTGTCCGTTGGAGGTGGAACAAATCGCGGCAATGGAGATGCTAGACGAGGAGCACGAAGCTGTACCGCAACTAAGCGGGGACACAAACATTTACAACCTCGGCAGCATCAACAACCATAACGTCGTTATCGCCGGTCTTCCTCGGACAGGGAATTGCTCTGCAGCCACTGTCGTTACCCAAATGAGGTTGACATTTCCAAACATCAAATACGCCCTGTTAGTAGGGATTGGGGGTGGTGTGCCGGTTAAGACAGATCATGGGATGATCCGTCTAGGACATGTAGTGGTTAGTGAACCTACAGGCACACACTCTGGAGCAGTACAATACGACCATGGAAAGGCGGCGTCTCACTTTGAACGCAAAGGTTACCTCCCACCTCCGCCAACAGCCCTCCTTAACGCTGCACGAGAGGTAGCTGTCCGGCGTCAACGGATGAGTTATGATCCAATTTGGATGAATGTGAAGAGAATCCAAACTGAGCGTCGGTCACTCCGTCGCTTCAAGTTTCCTGGCATTGCAAATGATTATCTCTATCTACCAGGCTATAAACATCAGCAGGAAGGGCTATCATGCCAAGACGGTGGTTGTGACAAGAATCAGCGGATCGAGCGACAGATAGACGAAGACGACTCGTTTGTCGTCGTACACAGGGGTACGGTAGCATCAGGGGAACTGGTGATAAAGGATGCTCAGATGAGAGATAAATTGGCGGAGGAGCATAGGGTGCTATGCTTTGAGATGGAAGCCGTTGGGGCCCTAATTGATTTCCCATGTTTGGTTATCCGAGGGATCTCCGACTATTGTGACTCACATAAGAACGACGAGTGGCATGGTTACGCGGCAGCAGTAGCGGCAGCCTATGCGAGGCAATTGTTTTTCTCTATGTCTATTGAAGAGACACAACGGTAAGTTTCTTACTGTTTTGATATAGAGAAGAAACAAGGTCGCGTTTATAGCTTATTGATGTATCGCTTAGAAATCCGAACCCAACTCCTACCACCTTCGAGCTCCCGTTCGATATATCCGAGATATCCGAAGTAAGCCAGTTTGTTGCAAGAAAAGATGAGCTCAAAAAAATGCAAGAGCTCCTTATAGGAACTGTTAGACGCCGCACCGCTATCGTACGTGGCATAGGGGGCATTGGCAAGACGCAGCTAGCAATCGCGTACATCAAGCGACATGGTTCCGACTACTCAGCGGCAATATGGATGAATGCGAAGGATGAAACAGCGCTAAAACAAAGCTACGCTCGCGCAGCTGAGTGGATTCTACGCTATCACCCGTCTATAACATACATTGTGGGTGCCGTGCAGAGCCGGGACCTAGACGAGATAGTGAAAGTTGTCAAACGATGGCTAGAAGAGCCGACGAACAGTCGCTGGTTGGTCGTCTATGACAATTATGATAATCCGTTGTCAGGTAACCATAAGGGGAACAGCACAAGCTACAGTATCGAGGCAAGTCTATGTGGCGATAAAGGTGAAAATCTTATGAGGGCTTTTGATCTTCACAATTTTCTGCCTAAGACCGACCATGGTGCTATTGTTGTGACCACGCGGTCATCCATGGTAAAGCTAGGACAGGTTGTTCCCCTAAGCAAGTTGGAGAATATCAATGATAGTCTCGAAATCCTGGCTTCTGTCTCTGGACGTGATATCTCAAAGCAAGGTGAGTATTGCTGGATATTATTGATTGCAGATGACTAAGATAGAGCAGACAAGGCAGCTGTGAACCTTGCAAAAGAGCTTGATGGGCTTCCCTTAGCCCTTGCGACTGCTGGCGCATATCTAGAGCAAGTTTCGGTATCCTATACGGAGTATCTCCAGCTGTACCGTGAATCATGGCGGCAATTACATGAAGCGACTCCGCAACTAAAGACATATGATCAAACGTTATACTCGACATGGAATGTCTCGTACCAGTACATTCAGCAGCAGAGTTCAATTGCAGCTATGCTTCTCCGACAATGGGCTTACTTCGCCAACGAAGACTTATGGTATGAGCTACTAGATAGCGGCTCAGAAAAGCCGGAATGGCTAGAAAAATTAACGAAGAATAAGCTCGCATTCCATGAAACGTTGCGACTTTTGTGCAGTCATGGGCTTGTAGAAGCTGATCTGGCTACTATATCGCCGGCTGTGGAGTCCCGAGGGTATAGTGTGCACGGATGCGTCCATTCGTGGATGATTACTATGCTGAACCAGGCGGTTGATAGAGAGATGGCCCGGACAGCTATCAAATGTGTGGCAGCGCGTGTGCCGAAGCCAGACGAACGCGAGTTCTGGCTGATACAGCGGCGGCTTATTGCCCATGCAGAGAGATGCCTAAGAATATTGAGAGATATTGATGTTGGCGATGAAGCTGTGGGAGTTCTACATTCGTTAGGCCTCCTCTACGCGGATCTAGGCCGGCACCAAGAGGCGGGTGCGATATACGAACGAGCACTAGAAGGCTACGAGCAGGCGTTCGGACGAGAGCACTCGTCCACGCTAAATACCGTCAACAACCTCGGAAACCTCTATAAGAACCAGGGCCGGCTCCAGGAGGCGGGGGCAATGTACGAACGAGCACTAAAAGGCTACGAGCAGGTGCTAGGACGAGAGCACGCGACAACGCTAAATACTGTTAATAACCTCGGCGTCCTCTACATGGATCAAGGCCGGCTCCAGGAGGCAGAGGCGATGTACAAACGAGCACTAGAAGGCAAGGAGGAGGCGTGTGGACCAAAGCACATGTCGACGCTCGATACCGTGAACAACCTTGGCCTCCTCTATAACAACCAGGGTCGGTTTAAAGATGCAGAGGCGAAATACAAACGAGCACTAGAAGGCTACGAGCAGGAGTTAGGACCAAAGCATATATCGACGCTTAATACTGTCAACAACCTCGGCGCCCTCTACGCGGACCAAGGCCGGCTCCAAGACGCAGAGGCGATGTACAAACGAGCACTGGAAGGCAAGGAGGAGGCTTGGGGACGAGAGCACACATTGACGCTCGATACCGTTAACAACCTCGGAAACCTCTACGCGGATCAAGGTCGGCCCCAAGACGCACAAGCGATGTACCAACGGGCACTAGAAGGCTACGAGGAGGCGTTCGGACGAGAGCACGCGTCCACGCTAAATACCGTCAACAACCTCGGAAGCCTCTATAAGAACCAGGGCCGGCTCCAAGAAGCGGAGGAAATGTACGAACGAGCACTTCAAGGCAAAGAGAAAGCGTGGGGAGTAGAGCACACATCAACGCTCGATACCGTCAACAACCTCGGCCTCCTCTACGTAGATCAAGGTCGGCTCGAAGAGGCGGAGGCGATATACGAACGAGCACTAGAAGGCAAGGAGAAGGTGTTAGGTCGTGAGCACGCGTCAACGTTAAATACCGTCAACAACCTCGGAAACCTCTACCAGAACCAAGGTCGGCTCCAAGAGGCAGAGAAGGCATACGAACGAGCACTGAGGGGCTACGAAAAGGTCTTCGGGCCCATTTTAGTTGCGACGTATATTCCTGCTTTGAACACACTTGAAAACTTTGGCCTTCTAAACGTGGAGCTGGGAAGGGTTGATGATGCTCTGCTTTTTTATCAGCGGGCATTGAACGGCGCTGCGGCCGTTTTTGGGCGAAATAGCCCAGTGTGTTCACGCATATCCAGCAGAATAAGCTCTGTGCAGTGTGACACGTGCGGAGTCTCCGAAGGACAGTCGTCCATTCTAACGTTTTGGGAGAAGGTGAGAGCGAAGATCTTGATTAGATAAAATCCTAGATAAGCCGTGCAATGTAGGTATTTGAATCTGTTGTATCTTGCAAATCAAGCACCCGAAGTCTTCAACTAGTATTAACTTGGCTGCGGCCGCCTCAATCGGCAGGGCACACCTCAATCGGCAAGGCACATATCCAACCGATTTGGAATGTCTCGCGCGGGGGACAAGGCATATCTATGGTCTAGTTTATTCAATATTGGTAGGAAGTAAAGAATTGGGGAGCCGTTTCTGGCCTCCCGCTCACTGTGTCCTCGTATACTTCGATGCCTTGACTTTATATTGAACCTCAGCAACGGTAGAAAGGGTCCGCGGTCCGGAACATCTTCCCCAATGGGGCATTCCAAAAATAGCTCAGTTCCTCGAGCAACTCACTATCGACTCTTAACATCAATAGGCAGCCACATAATCAATAGACGATGGACCATGAGAAGGCACCCGTTTTTAAGTTCTGAGCCCTTGAAGAGTGAAATATCGTCCGTAATAGTTGAGAGATTCTCAGTCTACGTGGCTGTTTACGGTAGATTAGTCTCATTTCCCCTGACCAGTCAACAGGAATATCACACGGAACTGAATTAAATTTAACATCGTATGGGTCTAAAAGAACAATAACTGTAGACGGAAGACATATGCCACACTGTGAATTCCCCCGGAAGCCGACGCTTTGTGAGACGCCACACCACGTGACTCTGGGCATTGAGCGGCAACTCTCCCATCTCCAGGTCAGCTTCATTCCAGACTACACTTTCTTCCCTCGCCGCTTCACTACATCTCAATATTCATCGACTCGCAATAGCATTCATCTGCTACCACTTTTCTACGTCTATTCCTATCCTCTAGGCACTCTCTGCTCCGCTCGCTCGTCGACCAAAACAGCCCCTGCTCCTCCCGCGAGTCCGTCTGGACATCTCGACATCTCGCATACCTGAGACTTTCTCAACCCATTTTACGACTCTCATCATGGCCGCCGCTGAACAACCCTATGACCCTTATATCCCCGCTGGCTCTGCCGGAGCCGCTGGTGTCTCATCGAAGGATGGCAACCAGCGAACAGCCGCATTGCAAGCAGTGAGTCCATTCCCCGAAAACCGTCGACCTTTTGCGACATATAAGGCTTGGGACGATCACATATGTGTTCTGTTGTTGGTGGTGCATGTGTTTTTTTTTCCCAAAATGCGAAGGCTGGGTCGATCGATTTCCAGATTGAGACTGACGATGTTTGTCTGTAGCAAATCGATGATACCGTGGGTGTGATGCGCGAAAACATCAACAAGGTCTCCCAGCGTGGTGAGAACTTGGACTCTCTTCAGGACAAAACCGACAACCTTGCCGTGTCAGCCCAGGGCTTCCGCCGAGGCGCCAATCGCGTGCGCAAGGATATGTGGTGGAAGGACATGAAGATGCGTGTTTGTCTGATCATTTGCGTGATTGTGCTCCTCATCGTCATCATCGTGCCATCTGGTAAGCGCTCAATGGAGAAGATGGGAAAGCTCGAGCTCGACGTTAACATATTTCATAGTGGTCGTCGGTGGACACAAGAACTAAGCCACACAATACGCGCTCCTGACGATTTCTCTTTGGACATGGGATCTTGATTTTACTGGGTTTATGTTGCTAGGGCCGTGGGCCTTTTCGTTTTCACAGCCGCTAATACCTCCTGCTGTTTTTTTTTTTCTCTTTTTCTGGGCCTGTTTTGAATGACCACATCCTCTTGACTTTCTCTGTGCTGATCCGACGGGTTGGTATGCGACCCGGTCAACGGGTGAAGATGTAAATGATACTTGATGCCGTGTTTAAGTATGTCTATCACATTGCGATTCGGCTGTTTCTAGCTGCAATGAATATTCGTTAGCGTGATGTTATGTTTATCGACTGGATGGGGAGAAAAGAGATGTAGATCTAGGATAGTAGAGTGTGTACTCCGTAATCAGTTAGGCTATATGGGAGAGCAAATACAGGCCGAATGTGGAGAATACGAGGCTATGCATTTGACTGTCACTAAACAGCTTCAGGGATTTCCACGTGGCCGTTCTCCAATTCTCCAATTCTTCATGCAAGGGCATCGTTACCGTTTCAGTCTCCCTACAGTGCCTTTATAGGATGGTTTACAGTACAGGTAGTTACCGTACCCACACAGCAACATTTTTCCAGCCTGATGGTTTTAATACACCAAATGTTGAGCAGTCGTACTCTTCGGAGAGCCCATAGCCGACGTTGGGCAAAAAGAATCAGATAATACGACTGTAGACCTTGGCATGAGACATCAGTGTCCACCTTCCCTCAACAAAGACCACTGAGAGTCAGCCTCGTAACTGTGCCGTCGGAAAGAAGCGCAGATAGACAGAGACTAGAACCAGACAGAGTGGAGGAGGTGGATAGCATGGCTCAACGCAACGAGTGGGAAGAAGGGAGAGGATCAGATAACTTAGACTAAACCGAAGCCGGATGACGTTTCACGATCGCAGTAGGTTGGTAAAGTGGGCTTTTTCGGAGACTCGCTTGCGAAGACATTGATATCCAGGGAATTGCTGTGAGGATTTAGAATTTTCGCTTCGGCTATGGCGCCACTACATGTACATAGGATGTTCATCTGCAACGTAGCCATTGAATAGAACAATATATGCGCCTTTAATGTAATTAGTGCAATATTTAACGCAAAAGAAATACCAATAGCCAACGTAAGAGTGTGATAAATGGGAAGATAAATCGCTCGCTAGTACTGCTAGTAGAGGGGCCCACCGCCTTCTCCGTCCTATCTCGCTCCGAGGCCCGGCCGATCTTCGAAAATCTCGCTTGACTCACTTCACTCATTTACCACCTCTCTACTCCTAACGATTATATTTGGGGCCTCACCCTGGGACCGATTGTGAGACCATTGAGGCTGCCGCATGTGGGTTGCCCAAGATGATGTCCCTTCGCTCCGCTGTGCGGAGAGCTTCTACTAAGCCCCTCCGTTCCCTCTCCGCATCGACTGCCTCTCCTCTCCGAGCTGGCATCACTGGTGTCAAGGCTTCGACCATTCGCCAGACTCGCAACTACTCCCGCGCAACTGACCCCCACCTTACTTCCACCCGCAGCACTGTCGTGCAGCTGCTGAGCAACATTGGCTCCAAGCGTGAGGTCCAGCAATACCTGTCCCACTTCACCTCCGTTTCCTCGCAGCAATTCGCCGTCATCAAGGTCGGTGGTGCCATTATTACCGAGCACCTCCAGACTCTGTCCTCCGCTCTCGCTTTCCTCAACCATGTCGGCCTCTACCCGATCGTCGTCCACGGCGCTGGCCCGCAGCTCAACCGCATGCTGGAGGCTGCCGGTGTTGAGCCCCAGTTCGAGGATGGTATCCGGGTGACTGATGGTAAGACTTTAGCCCTGGCTCGCAAGCTCTTCCTGGAGGAGAACATGAAGCTGGTTGAGGAGCTCGAGCGCATTGGTATCCGTGCTCGTCCCATCACGGCGGGCGTTTTCTCCGCTGATTACCTCGACAAGCCCAAGTACAACCTGGTCGGTAAGATCAATGGCGTTGACAAGAAACCCATTGAGTCTGCTATTGCCGCTGGCTGCCTGCCCATCCTCACCTCCATGGCTGAGACCCCCGACGGCCAGGTGCTGAACGTCAACGCGGATGTGGCTGCGGGTGAGCTTGCTCGCTCTCTGCAGCCCCTTAAGATCGTCTACCTCGCTGAGAAGGGCGGTCTCTTCAACGGTGACACCGGTGAGAAGATTTCTGCCATCAACCTCGATGAGGAGTACGACCACCTGATGAACCAGTGGTGGGTGCGCCACGGTACTCGCCTGAAGATTAAGGAGATGAAGGATCTCCTCAGCGATCTGCCTCGTTCTTCCAGCGTTGCCATTATTCACCCCGCCGATCTCCAGAAGGAGCTCTTCACCGACTCCGGTGCCGGTACCCTGATCCGCCGCGGTAACAAGATTCACGTCAAAACCTCTTTGTCCGAGTTTGAGGACCTGGAGGCTCTCAAGGACGTGCTGGTCCGTGACCGCGAGGGTCTCGATGCCCGCGCCGTTGTTGACCGCTACGTTGAGGGTATGAAAGAGAAGGACTTCAAGATCTACTCCGATGAGCCCATGGAGGCTCTCGGTGTTGTCCTCCCCCCTCAGCCCGGCTCCCAGTTGGCCCACCTTGCCACTTTCACCATTACCAAGTCCGGTTGGCTGACCAACGTTGCCGACAACGTCTTCGCCAGCATCAAGAAGGATTTCCCCAAGCTGGCCTGGACTGTCAAGGAGGACGACGAGAACCTGACCTGGTTCTTCGACAAGGCTGACGGCAGCCTGAGCCGCGATGGCCAGGTTCTGTTCTGGTACGGTGCCGAGAACGGCGAGGAGGTCAAGCACCTCGTCCAGGAGTTCAACCAACACGGTCGCCAGATGTTCGGTGACATCAACCTCGAGTCGCGTCTCCACCGCGCTGCTCAGGCTGCCACCCACATTGGCAAGGGCTTCGGCGCTAGCGGTGCTTCTGTTGAGCAGAAGCGTGCTTTCTCCACCACCACCAACGCTCTGCGCATGTCTCGTGCTAAACGCCCCGCTGTTGCTGTTAACGCTATCCGCACTTACGCCACCACCAATCCCAACCCTCCCCTCGGAGAGAAGAACATCTCCAACACCCAGCCCGCCAAGGTCGCTCTCATTGGTGCCCGTGGTTATACCGGCCAGGCTCTGATCAACCTGCTCAACGCCCACCCCAACATGGATCTTCGCCACGTCTCTTCTCGCGAGCTCGCTGGCAAGAAGCTCCAGGGTTACGAGAAGCGCGAGATCATCTACGAGAACCTCAGCCCCGATGATGTCCGCAAGATGTCCGCCAACGGCGACATTGACTGCTGGGTCATGGCTCTTCCCAACGGTATCTGCAAGCCTTTCGTCGACGCTGTCGATGAGGGCTCCGAGAAGGGCAATGTTATTGTTGACCTGAGCGCCGACTACCGATTCGATCCCAAGTGGACCTACGGTCTCCCTGAGCTGGTTGAGCGTTCTAAGATCGCCCGTGCCACCCGCATTGCCAACCCCGGCTGCTATGCCACTGCCGCCCAGCTTGGTATTGCTCCTCTCGTTCCGTTCCTTGGCGGCCAGCCCACCACCTTCGGTGTCTCTGGTTACTCCGGCGCCGGTACCAAGCCGAGCCCCAAGAACGACGTGCAGTACCTGACCAACAACCTCATCCCCTACAGTCTGACTGACCACATCCATGAGCGTGAGATCAGCTCGCAGCTGGGCACCAGCATTGCGTTCATCCCTCACGTTGCTGTGTGGTTCCAGGGCATCTCCGTAAGTTTTGACAAATCGCCTGCCGCCGGCTGAACCGAGTAATAGCTAATACTTTGCATAGCACACCATCAGCATCCCGCTGAAGCAGAAGATGACCTCCCGTGACATCCGCAACCTCTACCAAGAACGCTATGCCGGAGAGAAGCTCGTCAAGATCGTTGGCGAGGCCCCTCTGGTCAAGGACATTGCTGGCCGTCACGGTGTCGAGATCGGTGGATTCGCCGTCCACTCCAGCGGCGAGCGCGTCGTTGTCTGTGCCACCATCGACAACTTGCTGAAGGGTGCCGCTACCCAGTGCTTGCGTATGTTTCCCTGTCACCCTTCTATCAAACATGACACTAACCTCCTATCAGAAAACATGAACCTGGCTCTGGGCTACTCCGAGTACGAGGGTATTCCCCTCGACTAAGTCCCTCCAAAACTAGGCCCGAGTTAGCTACCACTGTAGTTTGTGTGTTGTCCTTGTCTTTTGTCTCATACCCCGCGTACATCTCATACATCGCTCTGGGTTGGACTTTTTGGATGCTTCTTATTTATCTTCGAATCTATTCTATAGTGGATTTTGTTCCGTTTATACTTGCGCTGAAAGAGTTTGGTTTCTTGTTACCCCGTCTTCGATTCGTCTCTCCTTCCCTAGACTTCTCAGATGCCTCCCCTGTCGGATGGTCTCGTTTGTGTTTGGCTTGAAGTGGTGCCTGTGCCTCAAGAAAAAAAGTAAGGTGTTTGTATCTTATTTCGTTGCCGTTTCTCTCTGGGGGTCTCCTTGCGTACCATATCCTACCTCTCCCTGTCAGGTTATGGATATAGAAGCTGTTGGATGGTGTATGGGCTGCGAAATACGAAATCAGCAGATCGATTCGATCAGATGCTGTTCATTTAATGTTAAGAGGTTGGCTTCAGTACATTCGTGTTGTAAATCAAGGGTGTAGGGGTGCGCTGCGTGCCATCTCTCAAGTCTGCCCTCGATTTGGGGCTTGCACACCCTTCTCATCCATCGACCTTCCATCCCACTCTATGCCAATCCTCGTAGCCCAACATCACTATCACTCATTAACATCGAGGCTACTCTTCTTCTCATATCCATTTTCGTCCATGCTGCACCTCGGCAGCCTTGCCCATCCACTCTCTGACCTGCACGTTCGAACTCGACGCCGAGCTCAAGCGATACCTTTCACTTCGATCTGATCTTCACAGAAAGGATCTTTCGTCCCAAAGGGCGAGACAATCTCTGTCGTCCTTGAAATCCAACAACCAATACCCCCAGTCGCACCCGACTCGAAGACAGAGGTCTATCGAGCCCAACTTACCGCGCAACCATGTTTTACAGCCATGAAAGTAAGATATCTCCTCCATTGAATTTCCCAGGAATGGGTATGATCCTGGGACGGGGCCGAACCACTGACACCTGGTCCTTCCTTAGTCCTCACATCGCCCGAACATGGCGTTGCCACAATCTGGTACGTGTACAAGAGACTCACCCCGGCTTGCATACAATTATGACCATGGCCATGACTGATAAAATCTCCACCCAGGCTCGTTGCGACTCTGGGCTCACGCTCTATCGCCAGAAGACTGAACCGAAAGGCCATTCTGGAAGTGGATGTCCCCAATGCTTGCAAGGTTATCACTAACCCCGATGCACCAATGGCATTACGACTGCAGGGAAGCTTGCTGTAAGATCATCTGTCCCATACTGAGGCTCATCTGTCTGTATTCTAACTAATGACACTTACAGATACGGCGTCTCACGAGTCTACAGCCAACAATGCGGCTACACCCTTCTCGACACGCAAACAATGCACGACAACATGATTTCGAAGCTGAAGATCATAGCAGGAAGCGGACTCGATCCTACAGCCGGCCAGACAAAGTGAGTGATCCCTGCTGGAATATCATCAGTGTTGATAAAATACTAAGAAATCCAAGACCGAGCAACCTCATCCTCCCCTATGACCCAGCGTTTCTCCCTGAAACGGGGCTCCCAGGTCTAGATATCGACCTTTCAATCCTAAACGGCGCATTCGAAGACCCTTCAACCCAGCTCAGTGGTCTGTGGCTGAAATCGCCGAATAATAGCTCCTCGGGTGTTTCGCCTATGGGAAGTTTGCAGATTGAAATGCCGTCTGATGACATGCTCGGAGAGGGGACGCTTATGGGCCTCGATGATATCTACGGCTCTGGGCAGAAGAAGGGTGTTTTCGGTCAGATTACTGGATTGGGGCTGGGAAATGAAGAGGGTGGTCTCCTTCAAGCTGATTTTGAGTTTGATGAGGATGGAAATCTCGTTGAGCTTGGTTCTCCCAAACCAGGTCGGAAATCTTCTGTCGGTCCCCTGGGAGGTGATGGTCCTGGCCAAGGACAGGGCTGGGATGGAGATCAGGTGAGTATAGCCTTGTGGGCGTGAGAAGGTTAGGCAATGATGCTGACTTTTCGTTTCCAGATGCAACTTGATACCGAGATGCCGGTGTTAGCCGGAGACAACAATATGGTTAAGCTCGATACTCAGACCAGAAAATTAAATATTATACAGGAAGGGAAAGATCAGGATCAGACCGAGGAGATTGATGTCCCAGCCGTGGGAGCTCGACAGGTTCGACGCCCGAAAGATATCATCATCGATGAAAACACAGCGCTTCGTAATGCGACAATGGCGGAGTGGAACAACGAATACGTCTTGAACATGGCTCGAGCCATGAAGCAAAAGATGCAGAACAAGCTACCAACACTAGCCAAGAAGAACGCCGCGTTCTGGGTCTTCGGCCAGGGAATAGGTTCCGTGGGTGTCAGACTAGGAATGTGGAACGAACTGCATCCTCTCAGTCTGTACTCCGGCGAAGACCTCTTCGACGCCATCGGCGGTTACCCGCAACAGAACGGACATAAGCGCGCCCATGAATACGAGGAAGATGAGCAGGGACGTCGAGTCCGCGCCAGGGAAGATGAAGAGGCGAAGCATCTCAGCCGTGAGAATATCGACCGTCTCAACATGGACGTTGAAATGGGTCGTGATGCGCCTTCCAGTCTATTCGATGATCATTCATCCCACATGCCATGGAACATCACCGCCTCCATCCAGAGCTCCCGCCACGGACACCAATACGGCAGTGTCAGTGAGCTCTCATCTCGAAACCGCAATGGCTCCATCGGTCCAAGAGCCAGAGGACAAAACCGTCTCACCAGTGCTAGTCCCCTCGCCGGACATGGCTACCGCACCGGACATGAACGACTCAGCAGCATGGAACTCCTGGGTGATTTCGGCGACGATCTTGACCTCACCCGGTATCTGGAAGGCGAGCTTGCAACAGACCGCGAGACTATCGAGAGTATCTCTTCGCGTCGAAACACAGCCCTGGAGCGTGTCGCGTTGACGCTTGATCGCGAAAGCTTGAATTTCTTTCATTTCATCAAGAGTAAGCTGGAGGGTTCTGCTGATGATGATGAAGGAAGCGTCGGAGGAAGTCCCGGTAGTATTTTGTCTGGTACTATCTCGAACAAGACTGGACAGACTACATTTGCAACTCTCCTTCCTCTTGCCAGCACGACGCGCGCTGTCGCGACTCAGGGATTGATGAATGTACTCACACTTGCTACGAAGGGTGTGGTCGATGTACACCAGGGCCCCTATGTCGATGAGAGCACTGACGGACTGGGAGTGCGCTACCGCTATGGCGAGATTCTCCTGCGCCTATCTGGAATGTGAGCCGTTGAGCAGTGCGCTCGAGGACCAAACGAATGAAGATCATGATGAATGATAATAACGATAACATGGTCGACGAGAACGATTTATGAAATACTGAGATGAATCATGTTTCAAGGAAGGTATGGTATCTGGCTATTTTACTATTTTTACGCGCCTTTGATGGTCATAACACGGACGAGTGAATCGGCGCAGATCTGTCATTGAACATCACTGACGCGATCTGAGGGCCATGACATCACTGCTACTCCGGAATGAGAGGAATATTTTTATCGGGGTTTGCAGGGAGAGTGGGGGATAGGTAGAGGTGAAGCTATTGATATCATAACGGAAAATATGAATGAAAGATCTTTTATACTTCTGAATGTTACCAGGGACACATGTGGTGTGGTGTATCGCGTACTGGATACGCGATATACAGAGTACGGAGTACGAGTGTACTTCCGCGTACCTTCAGTAACAGTAACAATACTCGCGAACCCTGGAACTGAACAGGACAGAACAGATACAGAACTATAGCCAAATATCGCATGTTTACATATAACGTTATATATCTACCCTCTCCTCAAATGCGCCAGATCCTTTGTCTCACGGGTTTCTCTCCCCCTAATCCAATCACAGCTGTTTCCAAACCGAGTGTGCCTTATGTGCCCTGAATTCTCCGGCTGGGCGTAGATAGGCTTACCGCGGGTGTTTTGGGTGATATGCTAGGAAATAATAGACGGAAGTTAGAATTTGGCATCTGGAGGGATTTTTGGAGATATTTACATTATGACTGCTGCCTGTTAGATATCTATTTATATGTTGATTCGTATGTTCCTAGGCATGTTCCGACCGCGTCTACCGTGACCGTTCCAATCCGATAGTTAGGAGTGACCGTTAAATGTTAGAAACAATAAAAACACTAGACGTCTGAACGTTTTCTAAGAGTCGATTTGAGGTACCTTTGGGAACATGTTGCGGTTAGTTCGCATACAAAAACGCGCAAGATACATCTAACATTTTGGAAGTACTCTTGGGAAAGCTTTGGGGTCACTTCCAGCTAAGAAACGCGCAATATACCTAAGATTAATATTATAACGTTAGTCCTATTAGTCCTATTATTATATACTCATATAGTTAATAGACAAACAGTTAAACAGATTGCATGGCATATGTATTGAATGGATACCCGTAAGCAGTGCTCCAAATTACGCAGGGCGCGTAACCCTCGTATTCTCCCGTCTTCGTCTTTCACTTTCTTTTTCTTCCTTCAACCCCTCCAACTTTACCCGTACGCGCCTTTACACCATCCCCTTCATCTCGTCTTTTATTTATTTTTGTTTCAGTGAATCTGGAGATTCTTAGTCCCCTCATCATGGGTCGCACTGTCGACCAGGAGGTGCACGCCGCGTTTGTCGAGTTTCGCGCCAAGGAAGATGACAAGGTGCGTATTTCGTAATATTTCAACACAGTCACTAACATACGAAAACCCGTTTTGGGTGTTTGCGTCTGTATAGTGTCTCTCCGTGCAGTGTATCTACTGCCAACAAATTCGCGCAAAGAACACCTCGCGCCAGAAACAACATCTTCTCGAGTGTCCCGGTCTGCGCGGTCACCCCAACGCGCCTCAACCTTCCCAGCCCGCCCAGCCAGCCCCTAACGGAATCGGTTCTACCAATGGCTACCCCGGCACCCCCAATGGCGCAACGGCCACCGCGACTGGCCCAGCTGGTCCTGGTGCCATCCCAACTCCTAACGGCACTCTGATGACCAACGGTGTCAATCCCCATGCTACTCCGCTGCAAACCCCGCTGCAAACCCCACTGCAGACCTTGCAGAATCGCACCGCGATGCCGACCCCAGGTCCCCCGACTGGTCCTCCCTCTGCTCCTTCTAGCGCTGCGCCTTCTCGCCCGACCCCCAAGCCCAAGTCTAAGAGCTCGACTTCGGCTTTGCCCGCGCCGCCACTGGACGATGTGCACGCTGCTTTCGTGGAGTTCCGCGCCAAGGAAGAAGACAAGGTAGGATAGCTTGGCAAAGCTACGAATGTGTATGAATGCTAACAATGGATAGTGTCTTTCCGTGCAATGTATCTACTGCCAGCAAGTCCGCGCAAAGAACACCAGTCGCCAGCGCCAACATTTGCTTGAATGCCCTACCTACCTCAGTGTAATGAAGGACTCGATCCCTGCCAACAACTTGCTTCACACATTCCCCGAAGGCGATGTCGCCCGGTCATTGCAAATCCCCGCACCAACGCTGGAGCTGGACTTCCGCATGAGCATTAAGATGAACCCCAAGGTCTCTGTCGGCCCCGGCGTCTGGGGTCAGAGAGAGTGGATCTCGTTTGTCGGTGGTCAATGGGCCGGCCGATGGGGCAAGGGAATTGTCTTGGTAAGTTTGACATTGCTGTACGCGGTCACTTCATATATCATATGTCTAACCATTGAATACAGCCCGGCGGTCAAGATACCCAGATCGTTACCAAGGACTCGACTACCAACCTGCGCGCCAGTTATATTCTCCAAACCGTCGATGAGCCACCAGCGTTCATCATCGTTCGCACGGAAGGATGGCTGACCGGTGCCAAGGATGTTCTCGAGAAGGTCATTGATTCCAACATGGCGGACGGTGTTAACCCCGGCAGCTACAAGTACCGCGTCAACCTTTCTATGGAAACTGGTGATGAGCGGTACACATTCTTGAACACTTTGATGTGGATCGGTAGCGGTTGCCGCAGAGGTCACGAAGGTACGTTTCTCTTTTTGATACGCTCTCTGGTATTTTATCCTGACGTGTATCGCAGTCATCTTTGACTCGTTCAGGGTTAACTAAACGCTCGATCGAAACTTCCGTCAATCGATGTCTTGTCCGTACTTCAGCGATTGTTTGTTTCAACTTGATGGGAAAATGGTGTTTCTTTTGTTCAATTCTTGATCTGCGGCGCAATCCTTCTTTCTTGTTTGTTCTTCTTTCTTCAGGCTGTTTACTTCTTGCTTCTATGATTGATTGGTGTATGCTGCACCCCAACTCCTCTGCTCATGACCCCAATTGGCAGATCGAATTCATTTCGACTCGCCGTGCCTTTGCTCTGTTCTTTGTCTTCTTGCTTTTCAATTCTCTTCTGATGTAATTCTTTGTTGCGTCGATAATCTCGACCCTGTAGGGTACTGCTTGTTACGGCCTGTTAGCTTTACCTCTCTGTGTAACTTTTTCTCGGTGCATTTTCTATGTTGTTTCTTTTAACAGTTAGGGCGGATTTTACGACGAAGTTACGCTTTCAGTTCTCTTGATATTGTGATTATCTACCAATAAGAATGTTCTGAGCCTGTGTTACATGTTTCCATTTTGGAGGGATTGGTAATCGTATATTAACACATGAAATCATGGTAAGTAATAAGAGTATTTCGACTGTAGATAAGCCCATGTCCCTACCGTATGGTAACCCTCTTGACGGGTACGGTTACAGTACGGCTTCGGGATGTGGTACCGCATCCCCCGATGTCAGGGTACCGGTATACTGCCCGTCATAACATTCTCTCCCCATAAGTATTTAAACACTTGGAAACCAATGAGTAGATCTTTGGGGTTCCAGGCATGGTTTTGCTTTTTGTAATTATTGAAGAGAGGTGCAAATAGTATCAAATGCTAAAGTTAGAGACGCCGCCGCTTTTACTAGGGAGCTCAGAGTCAGGCTGAGTAGATTTGGGTTTTAGACTGAGTGAGCTGTTCAGCTAAATCCCAGTATAAGCCAGCAAGGTTCAACGGCCTTGGGTGTTCACTGACTACCCGGAGATTTTATCAGAGGTATCTATTGAGCACGTAGTCCACGCCTCGTCCATTCCCGAAGATTCGCTTTGTCCTATACTACTGTGCATCATGAGACCTTTTTTTTCGAAGACCATTGTTCCTATTTGTTAAGGTGTCAGGTGTTCTAATTTCATTTTTCTATCCATTTTCTATCCGAAGACATCTCACTACAGCATGATGACGCGCGAATGGAAGGCGCCCTCGCCTCGAAGCCGCTGCCATTGTCAAGCTGGACGACCGAGGTACTGACTCAGCCTTCCTCTACAGCCCGTACTGGATTGATTTGCTGATACATATCTCGGGATTCGTCATGAATGGCAACGGGACCCTGGATCATGCTGGGGTCTATATTACCGACGGATGGGAGACACTGCGGCTTGCAGGGGCGCTAGATTCAAATCAGAGGTACCAGACGTACGTTAGGATGCTTCCTGATGGGAAGAATATAGTAGCTTGAAATGTTTCGATCCTCTGCGATGGTGCGGTTGTGGGTTTGTTTGAGGGTGTCCAGTTCCAGCATATTCCGCGGGCTGTTCGCGACGAGGGAGTCGACCTGTCCAATGACTTCTTTCGCGACAATCACACAATGAATGTTATATCGAATACGATACCGGGTAATCGATCCCAGTCCACTAAGCAACCTGTGTACGAGGTGCCGAAAATTGCTATCCCAGTCTGTCATGAACCATGTGAGGCCAAGCTGTTACTGATCTTGAGACGTGCCAATGCCAATCCCTCTGGTAGCCAGACGATTTACTTCTTCCCAGCTGGCTCGTGGTCGCCGGGCTTGTTTTTGAGGTTGCAGCCGATTCATCCCGCCTTTGACTTCTACGGACTGGTCTGTCCGTTCATCGACTCTCCGAAAACTATACCTGTAGCTTTGTGGAGAGGGTTCAGCTCTATTTGAGGGCGGTTTGAAAGCATCAGCCGCACTGCCCGTATCATTTTGATGGAATGTCGATCGGTGTCTTTCTGGCATACGAAGCAGCCAAACAGTTGATTGAGGCAGGCGAAGAAGTGGCATCGGGATTGACGCTGGATTTCCCTTGTCCGGTTATGCTTCCACCCATGCCTCCTCCTCTAATTGATTAACTGGACCTCATTTTCTTCGGGACGGATACGATGAGCCCCAGAGAAAGGATCAAGTCTCTACCGTGCATCGCTACAAGAACGTCGAGAAACTGGCTGCGTACAAGCCTGTGCCATTTCCCGCTGCTGCCAATGCACCGCAGACTCTCATTGTTTGGGCGCAAGACGGGCTCGGATCTGGAGAAGGACACCGAGCCTGACTCTACCTACTCGCAAGATGATCCTAGAAGTATCGAACGATGGATCCTGGTTCCTCGGACTGATTTGGTCCTTATGGACGGGACACACTGCTTCCCATTGATGAAATGGTGTTGAAGAGACCATCCGCCATATGTAAGTTTTCTTCCTCATGGTTCAGTAATCATGATCAGTATGGCTAATACTTGTGTTCTGCAGGATGTGACCTTATCGAGGTACATACAGGAGTTTATGTCTCGATTTTAACGCGAATCATAAGGGCCATGATCACCAATTTCTATTCAGCTAAAATTGACTTCCACTTACCAGGAAATGTTGCGCGAGGCGGAAAAGGTGCCTAGTGAGTGAAGTGCCATGAAGTGTCAGAGGAAATCCAGTACGGAGGTAATTTTAGACGATTTCATGTCCACTAATGAACCTCATACAAAACATCATAGAATTGAGGTTTCAAAAGAATCATATCTACTACATGGGTTGCTCTATCAGTTGGTGTGCCAAGAAGAATGCCTCTGTATCTAGGGTTGTTTGTTGTTCCTTGATCCATGACGCGTTAGGAACATGTGTCGAAGCTAGAAATAAATAAGCATAAGAAATGATCCCCTTCCGCCAAAGAAGCGCTACGTGGGTATAAATACCTAAGTGTGCTCGAAAGATACAACCATTTCTTTCTTGGCACCACGTTCCGTGATATGAAACCAGTATAGTTACGGGCAACACGGTACAATGGACGTATATACACGTACGTACCGAGACCCCAAATATTTCAGCACGGCAATAACATTTCACTTTGCATGGCGAGCAAAAGATCTGTAATTCTTTATACTATCTCGCTTGTACGTTGCTAATACGCAAACGCCACACCAAAAACACCCAGCATAAAACATTGGTATAATATATCCCACTATTCAAACACCGACGAACCACCATACGTCAGAAATATATCATTATCTGACATACCCAGCATATCTGTATAACTGCCTCCTCCAGTCAACATATAAGGGTTGAAGAAAGGATCATTCGCACCCCATGGTAGCGAAAACGGACTGCCAACGGGCAAGGGCGGAGGGCTATCCACGCGACGTTCTGGACGAATTCTTTGCAGCGCACCCCGATCCTCGCCAAAAAATTCTTGAGAAAGACCGAGGAATTTCTGGAAAAGATTGCGCAGTTGCACAAGGGGATAACTGATTCCATTTTGCGTGAGGCAGTCGGCGATGGCTTTCATTAGGTTGAAATCGCCGATGTCGGATGTTGCGACTACGTTGCAGAATAGGACTAGGTATGCCGTCGCTGGGTAGAGGAGGATTGTCCTAGGAAAATTAATGAGATGGGTACTCCTATAGTAAGGTTCGTGGGAGTACATATAGGACTTACCAGTTCAAAAAGCTCACTGCGGCTTGTTTCTCTGCTGTGTAGCACATCGATACGAGAGCTGATAGTTCCTGGCGGGCAGATTGAAGATAGCTTTCCGTTGAACGGGGTGGTAGACCTTGGTCTACTTGAAGAAGGTAGAGGATTGCGGTCATTATTGATTGGTAGGCAAATTTGAGGGCTGACATTTCGGTTTCGCAGTCGAGTCCTCTCCAATTCGGGGAAGATGAAGCCATCTGTAAGGGAGTTTAGTATGTGAGATTCAATTATGGGACTGGGCTGTTAAGGTTACCCGGTTCATTCGTCCCTGTATGGATTGCATCGCCCGCAGCATGCTCTCTCCCGTCAAAAGTGGGTTCATAGACTGTTTGGCTGCCAATGAATGATTTGGATACGACACGACTGCATCCTGCACCCTAGCAAGGTCCACGTAGATCAAGAAGAGTTCAGACATTAGGGGGTAATGAGAATATAGATCGTAGAAATTGGATGGCAGCTGGACGTCGAGGAGACACCGGGAGCTTCGGACTTTAAATGCATGGTTCCTATCCAGGGTGTAGCACCATAGGAAACAGAAGAGTTCTTCCTCGGTTGCTTCTCCCTTCATAGCGGTGGTGTGTAGATCCAAGTCGATGCATGTTTTACAAGCGGCCTTGGTAAGATCACCGCTCGTATTCACGTCCCCAGACCCTTGATGAAGAAAGACCTAGATTTAGGTTAGCTGTAAATTGGTACTGATAAGATAAAGTACAAGCATACACCACAGAGGATTGCCTGGAGAAGGCCAAGCGAGGATGGTATTAATAGAGGGATCTGCTTTAAGGCAGCTTGGGCTGTTGCTCGATACTCTCCAGCGTTTTTCCTTAGCTCAAGGGCAAGGTCGGCGTCGGTTTCAAGGTTGATAGTTGTGGTTAGAAATTTATATGCAGCAGCATTCACACAGACGGTATATATTATGGTATCAAGAGGCGACGATCCGTTGCGAAGAAGTGAGAGTCCCATCTGCTTTAGCTTTGACGTTGATAGATGACGGAAGTAATCGGCGACAAATGGTCCAAATCTATCGGAATGGATATCTTGCAGATGCTTGATCAGTTAACAGCTCATGGAATAGTAGAGTGTTCAATCTAATATACCTTTCAACATCCAACTAAGGAACTCGACAGATGGATATTTCGATGAAATCTCGGCACTGGCACTACCATGACTGCCGTGGACAAGGTCTCTCGAGTTGCCAGACAATAGGCCTATGACATTTAAGGCTGATTCAAGAACCCTGCGTCTATCCAAAGTGAGATTTTGGAGATGTCTCAGTTGACGCTCTATAGTTATTTGGGCATCATGGATTGGGTCATATGTGATCCCAGTCACAGGCCACTGGATTTCCTCTGTATCAGCGCAGGAAATTGAGCCAGCGACCGGAGGAATCTCTATCGGACTACCAGTTTCCGATGCAGTGAGTTCTGCTTCAAATACTTCATCGGGTATTGCCTGGAGTCGAGAGACAGGGTTTTTGCTTCTGTGACGGCGAGTTGTCGTATGTCGGCGCTTCACAGTTCGACCACGGCTACACGACACTTCTGCATCCTGACAGTTTCCACATGGGTCCTGTCTATCGCACCGGACCTGCAGATATAATCAACATGGTTCAATATGAACTTCAAGTTGATTTGCTTTTTCTTACCTTGCGAGAATGGCACAGGTCACACTGCAGATGATATTAATACCGGGGTTTCTGATTGTTGTATTGGAAACATACCACTGGTTGAGTCTGCCCTCTTGGTTCAAGTGAAACACTAGTTGGCATATTGAGACACAACCTAGACTCCAAATGAGCGAACACTGATCTATATAAAATGGAGGCTGAGATGGGAAGAATAGAGAAGGTGGCACGGGGCCTTAAAAATAAAATTTCATGATCCCGAAAATTGGGTGTCTGCCAAGAAACCGACAAATAGGCAGTGCAAGTCACCTTAGACGGGGTCTTTCTCAAGCTTCTTGGCATCCAATTATCTCCATAAGTTAAAGTAATTATTTGTTTCAATAGTATGAGCCATTGCCCCGGTGTTAGCTTCGGTTAACTTCAGGGAGTTGTAGAGGCGTCATACTTGCCAATGTTTTACACAGCACTCTATACTTAGTTATGTTACAGCCTCACTGAGTTGAAACAATGAAAGCTGAAAATAGTTCTAGATGCACTGATTTAGGTTGCAAGATTCTATGAGTGATACTTGGGTTGGTTGTTTAACCCGGTATCTCCTATCTTACTCTCTACTCCGTACGTATTCTCAACCTCATTGGAGAAATGACAGATGCCTTTTCCCTAAAGATTGGTCGTAACCTCCATCTGTATCTCCTGATGGATCGTATAGATACATCATTGCAGAGTTAGCTAATCGTCTATTGCCCCATGAGAGTCCGATAGGAATCTGGCGTTGCTCTCTTCTCCGCAAATGACAGTCTCCATTTGAAACCCCCGAGAAAGATGTTCACACACATTTATACCGAGCAGCAACACAGCAGAGAGATTCTGCCTCGCACTTTGAAAGAAGCTAAGAGCGATCTGCGACCAGTCAACCCCCAACTACAAGAATGGAATCGATTTTAGCTGGTGCTACGCGGCCCCCTCGCTACGCTAGTATGCAAACCTTGTTTGCGCTCTTTATTAGCAATATGAGCCCCCGATTGACCAGGCCTGAGGCACAGGTGCAACCTTCAATTCACCTCGTGGATTTCAATGAATGTATCTTTTACAATCTTGAGCATGGGGTATTCTCCCAGGAAAAAGCCCTATGTGAACAGGCAACCTTTTAAAATTTCGTCCCAGATGATCACCTACAAGCAGTAGTCGGCCTCCGCGGAACCCGCGGGGCCCACTTCCATTGTGCTAAGCGGGTCGACCCATTTGGGCACCTGCAGACACCGGCGAGTCCGATGCCAATGTCACAGCATTTGTCCCAGGCTTAAGGCTTGGGTGCCTAATGGGTAACTCTTACTGCATACCCAGATCACGACTGGGTTTCTCGAACCCAGTATGTCCAACTCTTCTGTGATCAATGATTGTAAAGTAAATTCCACAGTAGCATAGGTGGTAGGCAACTCCTAAAGCTAGAAGCTAGCTCTTGGCGGTTACATCCGCCATTTCGAGCTATATTTGATACTAGGATTAGCGAACATGTCTCGTGTAAGATCCCATGCCTCTAAGCGCTTAGGGCGAATACAGCCTTGCATTGGAAATTATATGAACTGTGTAATCGACATGCATGTGAACAGGTCATTCACATTGGGCCATTTGGACAGTGTGATGCTACATCAGCTCACAGTGGTAGAAGAAGGAAACGCAATTGATTATTAGGAAGAAATCTCAGACTATATCTTGTCTTAAAACAGATACGGAGATACTGGGCTTCAATATACTATCTAAGCCAAAAGCCCCTCCCTTAATCGAAATTTATCTTGGATTAACGCCTGGAGAAACAACATAAGACCCCGGTCTTTGCTAGGAAGTAAAGAGCCCCAAAGAAACGGAAAATCGAGAGACCAGAAGTACCCCACAGAATGACTTTGAAATACCACGCTGTGCGAGCTGTAGATGCATTCTAGTTCGTCGTGTCAATATAAATGAACGCAATGGGAACTTGATATCTAACATACCGTCAAACAGAGTCTATCAATACTCGAGTTGTTGATGCAGAGTGCCAGCAACCCATTGCTGAAAGTCCACAGGAGGACCAGGTTTGTTCGGAAAGCTTTGTAAGAGTCGTCAAGAGCCATTCCCTCGTTATCACTCGGCTCCTGCCATGGCGTCAAGGCTCGCTTGACGGTGGCCGCAAATTGCTCATCAATATCAATCTGAGGTTTTTCCAACTCTTCAACGAAAGCTGTTTCTTCCTCTGTCTTGGTTTGTGCCGATGGAAGCTTGTCTGGAGCATCGGACCCCTTAGTGCCCCACGAGACATCGTGCCAATTGCAAAATGCGTAGACCATGAGAACATTAATTGACGAGGGCATACCAAGGAAATACGCCCATGATGAGGTTAGCATGTGCCAAGGGTCCGCGTACAGAATACTCGCAAGGAAGTAGATTCCGTAGGTTGAGACCAGAGCGACGAGAACAATGCCACCAGTGGAGCCGATGAAGCCCGATACCAACCCCGAGAATCCGTGATCAAAGTCAAAGACGAGATTCTCGGGAGTCAATGCCTGTGCGACGAGGTAGAAGGAAAGCACAAGTAAGTAGGCTTGAATCACTGAAAAGTAGACGAAGGAGACCGTGTATAGAAACTTTGACCTGGTTGACACAACTTTAGCGGAAGACAAATAATGGTCATATAAAAGCCCTGTACATACCCTTTTGGGCGGTTTCCAAGAGCCAGGATAAACTGGAGCATGAGGAATGCCAGATAGCCAATCTTTAGCATATTATTGACAATCGGTGTAACATCATTGCCGAAGGGCCACCCCTTGAACTTGTTCGTCGAACTTGGAGTTCCCACAATGTCGAGGATAACTGAACTGGTCAACCAGTAGGAAGCTGATCAAAGTCGGTCAGTCAATCTATCTTGGTATCACCATTGCTCCCGGAGCCCTTCGCTGACGTACCAAGTGAGAGCCATGTCATGATAAGTTGGCAAATATTATAAACCAATTGAACGTGAAGCACAAACAGGCGAAGTATCCCATGGCCGCTCTTATAGATGCGATTGAAATGCATGATCGAATAGAGTGATGCCGCAAAAGAGCCATTAAGCCATCGCCGCCGTTGGCTCAGGAACTCTGCCGGTCGTTCAGGAACATCTGTCTCTCCTTTCGAAGATTTGACGTATGTGAGCCGCCACTGGCTACCGGCCTTAGCCACTAGTTCAAAGCACAGAATGCGATCCTCTGCAAGGAACATATTCTTTTTGAAAATGTTCATCCCGTCAATGCCTTTTTTACCGAGCTGTTGAGCGAGTGTATGATCACCATGAAAGTATTGCTCTAGCGGCCGACCCATGATAGCCCTATACCTATAGGCTGAAAATGCTCCTGGTAAAACACTGACATACCCAAAGCTACTTTCCAAGGGCTTATCGAGAATGTTCGAAATCTTATACTCGAAGTTTTGGGCTGCAACCAACGGATTGACGAGCTTTTTCCATCGGTGGCCAAGAAGGGCGTGAATTTCACCACAGGCTCCACCGAGGTTCTTGTCATTGTAGAATGCTTGCCAAAGAGCAAGTAAGGACCGAGGTCCTGGTTTGGTACCTGCGTCGATCAAAATGCAGACCTCGGGATTCAAAATGCGCCCGAAAGCATTGAATAACCAGCGATGTGAGTTGATCTTTTTCGCATTTTTCTGCTTGAGGCAAAACATCATTTGGACTGGCGGTAGATTCATGGGGTTGTCTTTGTATGGGCGAACGAGCTCTTGCTTGGGAGTAATTGATAGCTGGGTGGTATATTCAAACTGCTAGTGATTAGAAAGATTCAACCAGACATGTACCGGGTCCCAAAGCACTCGAAGAGCAGGTAACTCACAATATGAGCGACGGTCTCTCTTCCGTCAACATCCTGTTTCATAACCCCGTCTTGAAAAACTCCAATAGTCGCCAAAGCATCGAGTGTATTCTTGTCGCATGGGTCCATTCCGTCGAACACAAGGCAAACAACGATCTTCTGCCACGCGGGGCCTCCCCTATTCCAAAACTCTGTCTTTTTCAGGTTGACGATATCCCGAACATTTTGCATTACTCCATGCAAGGTCCTAGCGGTGAGAACCTTGTCTTCATTGTAATAAGTGATCGCGATCAGGAGTTCTGTGTGTCTATTGTACATTGATGGACGGAGATTATAGCCGTTTCGGAGCGTGAACTCATCAGGATCACATGTCGCAGCAGTATCTATTGACAGGAAAAGGTGACATGTTAGCATGTAGATGTCGACGTAGCCTGTAGTCCATGGACTCACATCTCATCTGCGTGAATTCTTCAGAAAGTTCTCCCTCTGCATCCCGATATTCTGGCTGGATGGCGTTTCGAATTGGACTCGGAACAGGGTAATTGATACTTAATACCGAGCCTTGTATGAGTTTGATTCGCCGTGTGGGATATCGGCGGATGGTACCGGTCTTATGACGGTGCCCCGAGCCTTTCGAAGAGGCAACCGCAGAGCCCTGGTTAGATAGGTTGTGTAATTTGAAGTGATCAGGTAGCTCTTGTGATTCCATGGGATCTATGTCAGGGCTCATATCTCTAGAATCCCAAGTATAGGCTTGTTGAGTTGCTTCACTCAAAGGGGTTGGGTCTGCGAAAGGGCTGAGGGACACGGTGGAAGGCTGCTGATGAAGAAGGGAAAGGCTTTGCTCATTTGTTGGTTGGGGTTCCTGGAAAGTACCGGGATGGTTAGCTCGGCTTGCCACATATTGAAGAGAGTGTAATTTCCGCGTCAATTGCACCTACCCGAGGAGAATAGCGATCCCTCATGTTGATGACATATTCATCGCTGTGCCGCCCATGGTGGAATGAAAAAGGTCGACAAGGTGAAGGGTCCATTGTGTACCAAATTGAACCCAAGGTGGAATAAGTACTGCGTCTGAAAACGTGTGAGCTGAGATTTTGAGGTACAATCCCTAGTGCCAAGCCAGTTCAGATGTATAGAGGTATGACAGGCTGTGCTCACCAGCATGATTTTGGGAGCACATTGTGGTGTCCTGTTAAAAGGAGAAACGTAAAGCCTTTCAGCCTCCAATCTCAACACAGAGACTAAAACAGAGACCAATTCTTCACAGTTTTGTCAATAGGTTCAAGTGGCAGAGCCGGCTATTTTAAGCCGGGGCCCGCATCTATAAGGCTGCTTGCCCCAACCAATCACAACGCAGCCAGTTCTTTTAGCGTGCGGCTAAATACCCTCTAATTCTACTCGACCAATGAACGTCTTTTACGGATTTCAGACTTCATGATCGAGGTGATTATACTGTAGCGACCTTGGTAGTGTGCTTGGACACCGACTAAAAATAATTCGTCCTTCACAAATCTCTACGAGTGACAGAATTTTAATTATGCCGAGAGCTGGAGGCATGGGTGAGACATTGCCACTGAGCTCTCCCACTATTCATCTTGGGTTGAAAAACTGAAGGTTTTATGATGTTTCAAATTCAGGTTCAACCCGTTTAAAAGTGTACGCGGGTTCCCACATTTTCATACACGGCACATCTTCAAGCTACTGTTCCTAACATGGATTTACTCAGGCTCACACCGACACAGCTTGAGGTGGATCTCAAGTTGGACCGAGAACAGCCAGTCTACTCGCATCGAGATACAGTCTCAGGCGAAGTCATTCTGCAAACTGATTCCCCTGCCGATATATCGTCAATCTCTCTAAGTCTATCAGCCGTAGCAATCGCACGCCTCAAGGATGGCAGACGCGCAGAAGTCCACCAGGTATGTTTTCATAGCAAATGGTTTGCTCACCAACTAGTGACTAAGTAAAGATTCTGATATTTCAATTTCTAGCTATTTCACAAGTCCCAGCGGCTTTTCCCACCAGAGACAATGATCAAAGATTCAAAACCATCCAGTGTGACTATCCGACAAGGAACTCATTTACACAGATTTTCCATTACTGTTTGTACCGAATCCTGACTACTAAACCCTGTTACCAACTAATTATCATCTATTAGATTCCTCAAGCCACTGAGTGCTACAAAACCGATCATTGGTCAAATAAGTCCCAAATTACATGCACAAATCTCTGGTGGCGGCGCCGCAATCAAAGGGCCCATTTATTGAGAAAATCTCCCCCTTCAACAGGTGACTCGGAGTCTCTAGCTGAAGTCCAATATAAGTTGACAGTCGTTGTAACTGGTAAGCGGGGTGCAAAAAAGGTAAGAATTCATGATTCTTTCTGCGAAACAGCATAATAACGATGCCAACAATGAGTGTTCTTTGTGCTAATCGTCTAGAAGACTCGCGATCTTTGTGTTTATCTGCCATCCGACCCGATTCCCAGACAAAGGCCCCTAAAGCAAGAATGCTCCATCAACGTTGATCCAGTCCTGGCTGGTTGTACTCCAACATCCTTCTTCAGAATTGATGTTAGGCTTCTGAATGGACCTTGTCTGAATTTGGATAGCCCAATCCCATTGAATATTCAGGTCACCAAGCTTCCCGGTTTTAACTATGACATAATACTCAGTGAGTTTCAGTCTATGCTCGTGGAGACCACAGAGGTACGAGCACAAGGAATCACGCAGAAGTGTGTCAAACCTTGGATTGTGGACAGCACGGCAAGAATAAACCATTTGATACGGTTTGAAGAAGCAACTGTGGATTTGGTTTCCAGTATGAAGAATCATCCTTGCTTCAACAAGCGGCTCCCTTCTGAGCTCACATCAAGCTTCGAGGTTTGCAACATCAAGCGAACATATAGGCTTGATGTGAGACTCGGATTTTTGCTTGGCTATTCGAAGGTAAGAAGACGCAATTCCATTTATTGTGACCTCGCTACTAACAAGGTTCGTTGCCCAGACGATTATTCGTGAATTTGAGTTTCCAGTGTATATTATGGGCCCCGTATCTCCATTCTCGACCACGGAGCCTCCAGATTACTCTCGGGAGAAATGAAACGGGAATTGCCGAGAGGTCATCATTTTGTATAGTCATTTAGTGAATTAAACATCAAGAATACTCGAGCGAACCATAAAAAAAAAGCCAGCAAGGTAAAGACCCACATAAAGCAAATGAAGTGAGGGTCTGTCTGGCTTTGGTGTCTTTGACCTAATCGCCACCATCTGGTATCATGGAAGTATCAGTTAAAGACCAGATGCTCAAACGAACAGATCCATCCGCCTTGGCAGTCATAAAAATGAGTGAAAGTACAAGGCCGAGTACACCGACTAAAAATAGCCGGGGTGGGACAGAGGCCAATGATTGCATCGGCCCGAACCCGTCAAGGAAGTATGAAGATTCATATGAACCACGTTGACTTTCATAGTAAATATATATTGACCACTTCAAAGCAGCACAACAAGATATCCATATATCATCCACTCGTTCAATACTACTTCAACTGCAAGCAATGTCAACAACCACAGCAACAGCTGCCGCGGCCACAAGCACTGCGTGTGGAACCTCAGCCCAATACGAACTCCCTGTTAAAGATGCCGCATGTGGTGTTCCCAACTCCGATGGATACAAGCCACTCCTTGCCAAATGCGCGAAACCTGCAGGGGTAACTACCTATGACGACGACTGTGCCCTTTACAGTCTGGCTGTTGACCAGTCAGTCCAAGAGCTCACAGACTGCCTCTACGACGCTGGCGTCGCCTGGAAAGATGTTTGGTGTTACGGGTCGACCAACGCGACCGCCACTGCTACGTCCTACCCGACTGCATCTGAGACTTCTTCGTCAAAAACAACAGGCACCAAGGAGTCATCGACCACAACATCGGGCTCGGAGTCCAGCACAAGCACATCTGGAGCAGATGCCAGTTTGAAACCCGTCCATCTCGGCGTCAAGGCCGTTGTTGTCTTTTCCACACTCTTTGCGTCGGCTATTTTTTTCGGAATGTAAAATGCGTTTTACAAAAGGATCATATCATTCTTTCATTGCTGCATATCGCACATCGTGCTTTCTTTTTTTGGGTTCAATCAATGATTTGTACAAGAAGTTATATATGTACTACTATTTTCGTGCGCCCGATCCCAATTTCTGTGCTTTTGTCAGGAGGCCCATTTGGCTTAGATGATACTAAACTAATACTTTGTATCCAATCACAAATATTGTGGACTTTGAATACCCTGCGAACATGCATGTTGGAGAAACAGTAGAGTCTCCGATCCGCCTACGTACGGCTTCCAACCGTATATAATTGCTGTTCAATTTAAGGGCAAGCCCCATGCAGCCGTCCAATTACATGCGAAATTCTCATTGTTATCTCCTAGTTCCTTGTTTGTAGCTGTGTCACCGAGTAGTGAGAACTTGGCCTATCGAATATTTCAATCCGCTTTGATTTCGTAGCAAAACATCTTTAGCGCCGTGGGTAGGCATCACGAATTGGAGTACATCAAGCGCTTCAGAAAATGAGAAAATTATCGGCTTGCGCGAGAGAATTGTATGTATCCTTCGTTGTGCAACCACCCGTGGCCATATGACGGAGACTCGGAACTATTGATAGGTTCGGGTCCTCATGTAGGGTAGTTTTAAAAACAACTTCGCCTTCTACGATGTAATAACCCAGAGTAAAGAAGTTGCAGGAGTGAATCGTGCATGTAAACCCAATCAAGAGATTTCACACACCAAGAAGATGATCACCCGTCGGGGGATTTCCAGCCAGTGACACATCGATCAGGGATCAAGGGGCCGTACCAAGGAATTTCATTCTTGCCCGGTTCACGTGGGACAGCATGGTCGAGTTTCAAACCTAAGGAGCTAATTTTGCCGAGAGCCGAGAAGCTATCAGTAGCGAATCAAGAAATAACTATCATTGTTAAACCCGAAAAGAGATGCCAACGAGATATAATATTGACTGGAATGAATGACCGCGAGGTTGGAAAATATAAATCTACAGCACAGAGCTACAGGTCCCGATGGCCACTTTCTATTTCATTCAAGGAGTCCGAGCTTTGATCTCTAAATTTCCAGAGTATTTTCCGAGGCCAATCGCGCATTATATGCGTTAGAAAGGGCCAAAAGCCGGAGTATTAGAAAAACGACTAGTATTCAGGGCTTAGATGAGTTCTATTGGTGAACTGCTTGCAGTATGCCATCTTAGCCTGTCTTGTTCGAAGACAACTGGTATTAGTTACATCGATGGTCATGGACATAACATTCTCCGCAAGACTAGACATCTCCTGCACTCCCTCCTATCGAGACTGCATTTCAGAGAGGTAACGGAATTTACAAGTACCTTCTCCTTGAGACATATACAGAGAATGTGCGATAGGCTGCTATAAATACTATCCTTCTTCCCCTCCTCAGAACTAAATCAAGCATACACATCTTCCGCCAATTCACAAGCTAAAACTTATCTTCGATCACTATGCGATTCATCTTCGTTACTCTCATGGCCTTATTCAGTGCTGCTCTGGCTGCCGGAAAAACACCTGCTACGGTAAACATCCTTACCTATTGAGCATCAAATGAACTCTCTAACAGTGCTTTAGATCCCTTCAGGCGGAAGTTGCAAAGCGGACGGTAGTATTGGAAATTGCGCAAGTGGATTCTGTTTGGTAAGCAATGAAAATCCCACTCAAATATGCGTCAGGTCAGCATGAAAGAGTAACATTGGAGTAAAAAGCAAATGCCCGACGAGTCTAGTGGAAAATGCCAGTAGACATTTGACTTTGACTGGCGATTGACGTGAACTGCCGTGCACGGTCACTTCTCACAAGACGGAATAGCCTGAATGAAATTAAATCTTATTTATGGAAAGATTTTCCAAATTCCGTGTAGGATGGAATGCCATAGTCAGGGTAAGAGTTGCTCTGATAGTGACGTGAATTCTAGAAGCCCCAAGATTTCCATCGTGTAAACTTGGCTAAATTGGAAGGGAGCAACCATCCTCTGCTGACGACAGCGACGACAATCAGCTGCGATGATACCGTCTAATCAGGACTAGATCCACAAACTGAAATCCAACAACAAATATAGGACAGAACACCGAACCTTTTCAGGGTTCCAGTTCTCTCATTTCTCGATTTGCGAGTCCCTCTCCCTTTCTGTATCTGATATAAGTGGTCTCCGGATTTACCGCCGGCTGGCATTTTTTTGGTGTGGCTGTGCCCACAGCTCGCAAGCCTAAGCTACACCAGTTTCAGCGTCATGATTCGACTCTTCTTTCGATCCTCCACCACCCAAAAAACTGGCCAGCGCTTCTGCCACCGAATTCAGGAAGTCATGTTGCCGTCTGGAATTGCGTCGACACGGTCCTTTGCTCCTATAGACCAAGAACAATTCTAATTTTGCCTCCTATTTCTTATGCTTGCTCAATTTCTAGTAAGAAAGTGATATTCTTCGACGGTGCATGCGATTAAGCAAGATTGGGGAGGGCCACCCCGACACCTTAAGGAGTACAGCCAACCTTACGTCGACGTATTGGAATTAGGGCAGGTGGGAGGAGGCGGAGCAGCTCGACCAGCCGGATATAGATTCTCGCAAGACGAAGGCTCGGCGCGGACCATCCCGACACGCTGACAAGCATAGCCAATCTAGCCTTTACCTAGGGATCTATAGGTCGGCATGCCAAAGCAATCGATTTGCTTAGAACCTGCGTGGCTAAGCAGCAATGAATTTTAGGCCCCGCCCATCCTCACAGTAAGTCCAATTCCAAACACGCTACTAGAATGGGAAACCAGGGTCTAGCTGTCGAGTCATGATAAAGTTATCCCTACTCTGTTTACCTTGTATTGAGTAGATCTGACTGTATTTGGTAGTATAGTTTTGTTTATCATTCACTACGGTTCAGGTTTACATCGCAATTCTTTTGTTCCCATACATGATATAAGGTCTATTCCAAGACAATTCCCCGTACTATACTGTATTCATCTCGTTCGTCAATATTAAAGTGGGTTGTCGACCCCACTCGCCCTGCCAAGGAATCCCGTGTTTCTTCTCTCGCAGTTTGCCTCCTTTACAGGTATAACCCCCGGCCGATCACTGATGCAACTCGTATAGGAAGAAACGGGACACTTTTTTTAGCGTCCTATCCGGAAAATAGTTATTACATCGTGTTCGCCCTGCCAAGCAATCTCGTGTTTTCTTTGGACCCAAATTGTCTTATTTTAGGTTAGACCCTGCCGATCGCCCCTGCGGCTCGTATAGGACGAGGCTAAGGTGAAGAAACGGGACTATTTTTGGAAGCTTATCCGGAACCTTCAGGCCCCAGATCGTATTCACCCCGGATATTTCATATAGGCGATCGTTTTAGCCCCAAGGTAGGATTGATCTTCTGAAGCGAACATCGTCTTCCTCGTATTTTGAGAAAATGAGACTAAGAAAGCCTAATTACGAGCTCTTTGCGGATGAGGATTCAAGTTCTGGGAAAACCGGCTCAAATGCGTCAATCACATTTCGGTCATAGTGCTCCGTCGTCTACAACCCATTGCTTAGTGCGAAAATACCATCTCAGCTTTCGTAAATAAACTTCCTAGCACTAATTTTAGACAAATTCTGCTCGGCGATGATCCTGTTAGTTGATGCTCAATCCACCGTCATTAGACCTGGTAAAGATCGACGCACCAGTCAAAGTATAAGTATCCATGTCCGGCCTGATGCACGACATTCTGGTTACAAGCATCAAGCCATTCAAACATTTCACCTTTCCTTGTTTCAATTTAAAGTCTTATTCTCGAACGCGTCGTCGAAGGAAGTGCAGTCCTCAGAAACACGGCGACATTTATCGAACGATCACCAATACGCAGAATTTTCCTAGTTGCCCCTATTCGCCAATATGCAGCTCATGAACTTGGCTCTGACCCTAGCTACGGCTTTCTCTATGGCCAATGCGTACAAAATCACTACCGATGGGGTCAACTGCCGCAAAGGTGCCTCAACGACCGAGGCGGTTGTCAAGACATACGACAAGGGTGTCGATGTCAAAATCAGCTGCCAGACTTATGGTGAAAACATTCAGGGCAACGCTATCTGGGACAAGACCTCCGACGGCTGCTATGTTTCCGACTACTACGTGAAGACCGGCTCAGACAGCATGGTCACCAAGGACTGCGGCGGCGGCAGCTCTGGCGACGGCGGCTCATCCTACCAGGGCGAGATCAGCCGCAAGGAGATCCTCTCCCGCGGTGAGTACTGGGTCTCACGCCACGTCCCATACTCCATGTCCGCCTATTACCCGGACCCAGATGGCCGCAAGTACCGCACCGACTGCTCGGGATTCGTTAGCATGGCTCTCCATGCGTCTGCCCCAGGCCTCAACACTGTCAGTCTCCCGGAGATTGCGAAGCCTATCTCTTGGAACGACCTCCAGCCCGGTGATTTTGTTGGCACGCTTGGCGCCGGTACTGGCGGTGCTGCTGGCCACGTTACTCTGTTCAAGTCGTGGGCCGACAGTTCTAAGAAGGAGTACAATACGCTTGAGTGCCGCGGTACCTACGGTTGTGTCGCGTACAAGCGCCCTGTTGGTTGGAAGGTTGGTAGTTTCACGGCCAAGCCCTACCGCTACAACCACGTTAAGGAGTAAGTTGGAGCTTGCAGAATTTTGGGGTTGAACAGGGATGGAACCGATTCTTGGTACATGTATAGTTCTTGTGACGACTGTGGCGGTTGAGCAAACGGAGGGAAAGGAATAGCTTCAGATGTATTCCCGGGTGGATCAGATAGTCAGAAAGCGAAGGAAAATGAATTTTGTTTACTCCACTCGAAAGTGCCATATATGTATGGCAGGACATCACTATCGTAGAATCTGGACATGACCGTGCAAACATAGAGAGACAGCTAACCATACAAAGAGGTGGCGAAGGCAAAACTTGGAAGGAGAAAATGTGAGATACGCACAAACAGAGATATGTAGAGGTTATATATGAAGAACCAGATTCAGAAGTGAAGCAATGACCATTACACGTCGGATCTGACTATGGATACGAAATACGATGGATAGAACATAGCGCATATGAGTGATTAGGAGCGGCAGTCTTGATTGATATTGGGCCAACTATTCTATCCTTCATGCTGAACTTGAAAAGAAGAAAAGTACAAGGCCGCCGCACAGAAAGGAGACGACAACCTTCTCAAGTACCTAAAATCTTTGCAACTCAATATCAGAAACCTAGAGCAGAGGGTTAGCAACGAATATTAAGGGAGCGAAGGCAATAACATACCTTTCTCGGTGTTTCCCTCGCCCATGCTCCTACTGCTGCTACTTCCGCTCTGGATAGCCCCCATGATACCATCCATGTAAGGAGCGCCGCTCCACTTCTGGTGGGTTAGGACATCGACGTCGAGTTCCTTCTCGCGAGACTGCACCAGACGAACGTAGGCCAGCATTCCCTCGTCCTTGAATGCGCGGGACAGCTCTGTTGTGATGGTGGCGTTTGTGTGCAGACCGGCGAGTGAGACCAATTGAAGGACGAATCTAAAGGCAAAGAGTTAGTGCATCTCATCGAGAGGTGAGGGTGAGATAATAAAATAAAGGCTTACCCCTGCTTGGCAATGTCCCAGATGAAGGACTTGAGGGAGGCCTCGGTAAATCCTTGTCCCATCCAGTTGAACGACGGGCTCAGGTTGTACACGAGCTTTTTGCCAGGGTACGCCTCCCGAACTTGTCCAGCCAGCTTGCCCGCCTTCTCAACGTCTGGGTCACCAGTCTCCACCCAGAGGAGATCTGCGTACGGTGCGAACTCTTTCGCTCGCTTGGTTGCAGCTGGGAATCCGGCGCGGTAGTGGTAGTATCCTTCACGGGTACGTGGGATGTCGCAAGACCAGACAAGAGGGGTTCTGGCGTAATCATTCGCCAGGGCCCGGCGGCGAGAGAAGGGAAGATCAGGATTGGCCTTGACATAGGCTCTGTATCCATCTCGAGAGGATTGAGGTGCGCCCTCTGATGCGAGATGGGCATCGACAGCTGGGAGAAGTTAGTAGGGTGGTCTGGTGTTTGCGAAACAAAGGGGAAGAAAAAAGAAAAAGAAGTAGTAAGGAATGAGAGAATAAATACCTTCATCAATTGTAACCAGTTTGTGTTTCTTAACCCAGTCAAGCTCATACGCGTCGATCTCCGATGGCGAGGCACCTTCCCGCTCCATGGCTTGGAGGGTCTCCGCAAGAGGGTCCACATCTTCTGCAACGCCAAGGATGAACTCATGATCACGAACATCAATTGCGCTGCTGATGAGTCGACCACTCTCGGAATCCGTGCGGGCAATGACCAGGTTCTCACAGCCCATCATGTCCCACTGGAATCGGGCGGCGACCAGTCTGTTGATATGCTCACCCATTGGTACGAGTACCTTGCCCGCAAGATGGCCGCACTTCTTTCCGCCATGGAGCTGATCCTCGAAATGGACAGCCGCGGCACCGTTTTCCGCGAAGAGTTTGGCGAGCTTGAGAACTGCTGACAGACCACCGTGTCTGTTTCAGTAGAATTAGCAAATGATTCCCTCCCTCGATGGCAGGTGTGAACATACCCAGTATCGCCATCTGCGACGATTGGCCGCATGTAATCAATGTATGGTGTTGCTTTCCGCTGATCAGCAGTCAATTTTCTTCTCGTATCCCATTGTTTGCGATCATGCATCTGTTGGGCTTTGAAGAGACGCTGGACTTGGTTGGGGACTGTGTTGTATGGGTAATCGCCGAAGTCGGGGGACACCTCGTTGGTGCTAGTCAAGAGGGAAGAGCAAGCCCAGCCAGAGACGTAGAGGATTTCCTGGTTTGGTGCCTGCTGCGTCATCTGTACTGGGTCGATAGCTCCCACTGAAAACAAGCGATGTTAATATTATAAGAGTTAAACGTATCGACATCTGACTGGAATCTCACTTGTATGGACAGGCTGCCCAGCAGCCGCTCGCTCGTTGAGCAAATTGAACAGTTTCCGAGCCATCAGAGAACTGGGGTATGCTTGTTGCAGGGACCCGCGCTTGCTCACAACGTCGGCTGCGGAGTAAGGGCGCTTTATGCCTTCGTAACGAGGCGAGCTCCACCAGGATTTCACATCCTGAATTTGTTGGTCAAAAAGAGCGTCCTCAGCCTCCCCTGCCTTTTCTTGGGTGGACAGGAGCTGGTACGCGTCGGCGGGGAGTGTAGTTGAGATGGGGGGTTGAACGGGCGCCATCCGAGGATAGCCGCACGTGAATGGGCGCAATGCCCGGGACGGAGCAGACAGAAAAGCGACAGATCGAGGCACGCGACGAATTGACCGGAACATCTTGGTAGGAGGCCGGGGTGACAATCCGGAAAGAATTGCTCAAGAAGTGAAAACAAAACAAGAGGAAGGTGAGGGAGAGCGACCCTCCGCAGCCTCGGCCCGCTTTCTGGGGGTGGAGACTGCCGATAGTCGGCACCTGACTAATCCTTGTCATTAGCTAAGCTTCAGACAAATAACGGACTTGGCATCAGACTTACCTCTAACGGTACATGCGCCCGTTGCGCCGGGGAGGCACCTCGTAGTCAGGGCTCGGGGAAGACTCAATGTGTGTGCCGCGGGGAGGCCCATAATCGAATGGGTGATTGAGGCGGGGAGGGACATAATCGAATGGATGATTGAGGGTAGCCCGACGCGCGGGGTGCATGGTGTCAATGGGCTGCGTCTTGGCCAGAGGCTGTTGCCTCGCTGTTGCTCTGGCTGGGCGAATCTCGACTGTGTCAATCTCCATTTCCTTGGGAAAGCTGGGGCATGAAACCATGGCATCAGACCCATGGTCACTAGCCTCCTCCATGGTGACATCAGCATCAACGGTGTTGTTCTCCGAGGCCTCTCCATGATCCGCCAAGGAGTTAGCATTGACATTGAAATGTTCAGCCAAAGCTGCGACCAGTGCCTCCCATGGCCCATTGAATCCGAGATGCTTGTGTTGAATGGCCTCTGCGATAAGCGGACGATTGTCCATGATACTGATGAGGTTTTCGAGGTAGGACTCCAAGGGGACTTAACCAAACTTATCAGCCTATATCACCCCGAACCATGAAGCATGCACTTACCAGACTGCTCGGCTCCAGCCCAGTGGACACCGAACCAGGCGAACTCCGGGGTGAGAATCACACGCAGCAACAAGGCATTTGGGGTGCCAGGGTCAACAACCATGATCAGGTTGCACAGCATCATGGTAATATCCCACTTGATCACAGCCATGGCGGGCTGGGTGGGTCCATTGCCAAGCAGATACTCGAAAGCGCCATGCTCATCGGACTGCTGAGCGGGTCCACCCTCGTAGGTGGTCGCCAGAGTCTGCAAGCCGGCCTTCGTGAAAGAAGACATACTGACAAAAAAGAAGAAGATTCGAAGAAAGACAATAAAAAGCGAGCAAAAGCAAGAAAAGCAAGAAAAGCAGTGGAAATATGAGACGAAACAAGCTGTGGTGCAAGTCAAGAGAAGAAGAACGTTAGAAGAAGGACGAGTTTCCAATCGAGAGAGAAATTCTTTTACAGGACGCGATAATGCGGATTCCTCCTTGAGCGAGCGTGACCATTGTCCAGAGACCTCCCAGGAAGCAGTTTCAGTCCGTCTCATTGGCCAATACCAAATGGAAAGCCGTCCCAAACGGGACAATAGCCTTTTTATACCAGCCCCTTCTGCTCGCCATTGGCCAGTTTTGGGGTTCCAGGCACGAGGTCCTTGTGATTGGTCTTCTAAAATATCATATGGTCTACCTGCTGCCTCCATCCCTCTGAGAGACGCTTTTTGGCCAATCAGGCGTAGGTGCTATTGTCCTCAAGTCTGCCTATTGTCCTTCAGAAACCTTAAACCTTAAACCTCAATTTACCAGACGTTGCTTGAACCTCGTGATGTATCAGTCTCTTTTGGCCTACTTGGTCGAGTCGTTCTAATACAAGGGCTCGCATTGGAACCCGCTCAAAGCCTCCTGCATGAAGCTTTGCTTGTCCGCTTCTTAGACTAGATAGCTTGCAGTACATGAGATATACCACATACATACCAATCTCCTGGTGCAAAGGGTATTCAAAGAGTAAGTCCAAGTCCAATGTGCCACGCCATGGGAGTTATTGATTAGACGGATCTCCGGGACATTGTGGCGGCATCCACCAAGTTCTCTACGCACTTGAAACCTTGTGACACTGGGTGAGCTACGTAAATATCTTTATATACTTGTAACAGAGATGACTACAGAAGTGGAAGCTGAGATGAAACCCAATGAGGTATGGGATATATGATGATTTTACGCTATTGATAGCATGGTACTGAAAGCCATTGAACATCCTGCTATCTCCAGGGGTATCTCAAATCGGGTGCTATTGGAACTGAACGGGGCTTACTGATTGCATGTGGTTTCAAGAAGTCGCGAATCGGATGGATGCAAGCGGGCGAGTTTTTGAAAAGAGGAAAAATAGCATGGCTTGACGGAAAGAGCTCTGGGTATGGACGGGCGTAGCAATGGGTATGAAGTGCATGGGTTGGTGATCAGGCTGATCAGGCTGATCAGGTCGATATTATATTACTGACAGATCCGTATTGCGTGTGGGTTTTTGACGAAGTGTCGAGTATGGGAAGTTGCGTTGGGGACTTCCTCCAAGGTGAGGAATCAGTATTGCATGGTTGAATATAGATAGGAACGGCAGTACGAGCCTGGTGATTCACCAGCAAAGGTGGGACACCGTTTCCTAAATCGAGCAAGAGTTGTAGTCAGAGAGTAGATCATAGTTTGATAGAGGAGCCTCTCCATCGAAGAAGCATTGTTGTCATAAATCATCAACAAAAGACCTGGTCTCGAGACGCCGCGCTGTTTCAACGCCAAAGCAAGTCGAGGGCGCAATTTACAATTTCAAACTCAGGATATTCCGATAAAGAGACAAAAGAAGGCTTGCACGCTGGGTCGTTAGTCATCAAATTAATACAACAGGCTGGGCTGGCGAAGATTGCTGGGAATTCATAGGTGATAAGTTCAGGCTAGCCGATGAAAACTGTTTGATCCGCAAGGTCAGGTTGTGCTGCTGGTCTACCCGTAATTGGGAGTTATCAACTCACCTTCCCATCCCCATTCGGCCATCACATTCACCCAATGCAATTTGCCACGGACAGTTCTCTCGAACTCGATGTTCTCCAACGATGAAAGTGCAGAGCCTCGGCGCGCCGACCTTGAGGCAGGCTGCCTTGGCTGCCCAGCTATCGAAGTCCTGCGAGCGCTATTCATATTGTAGCTGCCGAAGGCCGAGTTACAGAATGTGGAGTCCAAATTCTCGTTGTCAGCGGAAGAGATAGACTCGGTACGTCGGGAATGAGCCATTTCTTGATCCCTTCTTGCATTCATTTTATCGCGACGATTCCAGACCTCTTTCAAGACTTCAAGGCAGCGGTCCACTCCACCCAGCATTAACCGGGCTTGGATTGTGGTCCATCGATCCAGCACCCATTTCCGATCATCGTCGGCATCGACCTCTGATCCGGCTGCCAAGAGGGGGAACACTTGGATAATAGTTGTCCGTGAGGTGTAGGGAACAGTGGCGAGGAGAATCAGCACCCTCTTTGCTAACTCATCGGCGGGCTCAGATGGTATTTCCGGAACAGCTTGGTGAAGGTATAGCAATATAGCCCAACGGTAGGCATGAGCGACTTGAATGCTATGTTGCACTTCAGAGTGAGGATCTTCGGGAGGCTCAAACCAACGTGGGGGTACCCAATCCTCAATCAGACCTTTGAGCTCCATCGCTTGAGCGACAATCGACACTGTATTTGACGAGCTTTTCCGCACATGCTGGATTAGTTTGGCCACTCGACTCATAAGAGGATACAGAGTAGTCGCGCACCCCATCAATGGGTCGATATCGTGAACCGCGTTACGTGGGAGCTCGAACATTGAAGAATCCCAGTTTCGAGGTCCGCAATCATCTAGAGAGGTCAATCGTGCAATAACATCCATATAGGACCAAGTGTTGTACAAGAAGCGGATACGGTCCAATTCGTCTTTGCTGACGTCTCCTTGCATTCCGGTGGCAACAACCTGGGACATCAACGCTTTCGCTCCGCGTAGGTGTTGTATGCAGGTACGGGTGTGTTGGTCCCAAGTGTCCGCAAATGCTAAAGCAAGACTGGTGGCCAGTGCAGTATCTGCTCTCATGTTCTGAATCTGCCCTACAAGGGAGTTGATGCTCTGGCGCATGTGCTTCACTCCTTGCACACGGAGATGGGGATTGTCCCTGCCCGAATGAAATGCTGCCAGGGCAAAAATTGCATGGTAAAGTGCCGGTGTATTTTTTGCCAGCGGCCAGATCAATGTTCTCCATGGGTTCTCAGTAGCTCCATCTTTGATTGACAGGATGCCACAGGTGAGCTTGTCAAAGCGCATCACCAGCATTTCGGGGCTCTCTGGTGGCAGTGACGGGCTGCTTGGAATGCTTATATCGTTGAAATCAAAGGACTTTGGCTCTGCTATCTGGAAGTTCCATGGTCCAAGCCCTGGATCCGACTGTCGGATAATATCTTCAATGTCATCATTTTCTTCTTCCAATAACCTGGAGAAACTGAGACCCGGTGCATCGTGGACAAGTTCCTCCAGACCAAACGACATACGTCGACCGGACTCGAGATCATTAGATGCCAAGGAGTCTGCAAGCGATAGTGAATCCTGATATGGTTCCAGCAAGGAGAGGAAGTTGAAAGTAGGAGAGTCGGCCGACAATGAGACATTAATGTCGAGAGGTGCACTGCGCTGTGTTACGGAAGCATCTTCTTGCTTATCGGGTAGATCGTCGAGGGAATGTGCTTCCGACGGAAGACTGTTGATGCTCATAGGGGAACTATGCAGCGATCCGGGTGGGGAGTGAGATCGATGGATGTGTGATTGTATACGAATTGGAGATGTCGATTGTTCAGTCGTCGGGGGAGTAGGAAAGCTATCGAAATTGATCTGTTGCTGGTTGGCTGCTAAGTGTTAGATATGCCAAGCTCCACCGGAATCACACTTACCCTTTTTGGTCTTGGTAGGGCGTCCAGGGGCTAAGTTGGTCTCTTCGAAGGGCCGCCATTTGAAGTCTTTCTTGTATCCTCCACATTGGACTTTGCGTCGCTCGCACTGTTGACAAGCTGGCTTGGTTTCGTCGCACTTCAACCGCTTGGCCTTGCAAGTGACGCAACCTATAGAAGTGGAGACCGTTAGTGTTGTTGATAAGGGCAACCTCCGACTTGCTGTTCAACCTTGAGCGAGGTCAAAGTTGACAACTTGCCCGAGACTTTGTTAAACGGCCATACCATTGCGACTCTTTGTTTGCTTCGGTTTCTGGGCGGTCCTCCTTGGTGACGGAGCGTTTCCCCGCGCTGAGGGGACGTCGGGATGTGAACTGGATGACTTTTTAATGTTTTCCATACCAAGTTGATGTTTAAAAACCCCCATTCACAAGGGTGTTTGAGGAACAATATAAAATCAAGAAGTAATTTATCGAGAAGTGAAGATGGTAAACAGAGATAAGAGAGGAGAGAACAGCGAATGGCAAGTGATAGGGAATCTACGGAGATAAGCCTATGCGGGGGTTGGCGATCTTGGAGATTTGAGGGGACAATTCCCTATTTATACTTCAACACTTCTGCTTCCCTGGACAATAACGGTCTCGCATGATAGTCAGCTCATTTGCTCCCTTGAGCGCGAGATATATATCCATAGTCCCCTCCCCGCACTTCCCACACACACCTTATCCGAGGGCCATAACAGAGTTTCCATATATATCTCGGTGGATATTGGCGATGACAAAACAGAGATACTGGTTCGCTGGCTCACTATCGTCATCCCGTGCGGAGACCTTTCTCCAATTCCGGGCGAGAGCCGAGTTTTAGTCTCACCCTACGGTGTTGATAGAAACACTTTTTTGTCACCAACCTATCAGCGCTGTGGCGGAGCTATCTATTAGCTCCAAGCCATGTTACATTATTTGTTCCACGACCATGTCGCTGGCGAGCAGGCTATCTGTTTATACTTACTGCCTTAGAGGACAGGGGGAAACGGCCAAGTCGTGTGGCATACACGCTGGAATTGAAATCAAAGCGTAGCATTAGGTACACTCTCGCGTGACTCGGACACTTTTGTGGGGTACCAGACAATTGAAGAGAGTTTGACTTTTGACTCCCGACCACAATCCCAACGAGGCTGGGCTGCAATGAAAAAACGTGATCGGCTCACTCCCTGCCGGGGGCCCATGTGTATCTCGGGTTCAAGCCGGGGTCAACAGCTTCCCATTATCATTTCCACATTGTGGCGAGCAGTTGAGGAAGGCTTTCCATTTTGAGGACAACCTTCGCTTCTGTGATAGTCAGCAAGGGATGTGATATCGGCTGCTTGAATTTCCATCATCTCCATGGAATGGACTCTAGTAATGCATGCTACTTGCCAGGGGCAGTGGGATCAATCGGAAATGCCGGAATCCTCCCATAGCTCCTCCCACAGAGTGCGGAGAAGGATGCCTTCCTGGTACACAGTAAGCCTAGCTTTTGCCGAATTCCCCCGGTAGCCAGAATCTACTCTAAGCAGTATCCGACCTTATATCAATCAACTAACCCTCTTTGCGTCGAAGCCCGTCAAGTATTCAAAAGAAACGAAATTTGAATGATGAAACACTTGAACAACCGACAAAGAAGCGCGCCATTCAACCAAAGGGACACAAAAGATTGACTCTATCAGTATCAAGCAACTTAAAGCTTTCGTTTCCATTAAATACTCCTGTGGCATGTGGCTACCAAGAATATATACTTTTTGTTTGGCATGAGAGGGGGTTTTACGGTCCCTCCCCCCAAGGGTTTCAACCTCGTATAGCAATATCTTTATAGTGGCACCCTGGTTATACCACCGTAGAGGCTTAGAGAGCCATTTCTTTACCCAAAAAGGCGACCTGTGCATGCATGAACCTGTTCAAGTTAAACCCCCTACCCGCAACCCGAATCCCTAGGCCGACGGAATTTACATTGAACCTGGGAAGAGGTTAAGCTAAAATATGCACTATTCTGAATATTTGAACGAGATTCTGAGACCTTAATGATACGCATTAGGTCATACATATTTACCAGCTGCATGCTATCTGCCATCTCCTTGTTATCTTAGCTAGGGAGATTTTCACATCTCACTATCGACGTAATTCCCCGCGGCAGCCAAAGTGGCATAGTAAAGATCTGTCTCAGCACAAATCACCATTCGACCAACCCCAGCGAAGTTGAAGTTCGCCGATGTAGAACCGAGGTAGATCTTGCCAATGAGCTTGCCTGAGGGGTTCCAGACCTGAACACCGTCACCACACCCGGCGTATACATTGCCCCAGGAGTCACAATGGACGCCTAACCACAATTGAAAATGTCAGCGTATGATCTTTATCACTGTATATAGTTCAAGATTCGAATTGGGAACGGTGGGTATCTGTGGACGTCTTGCACTTACCATCAGGGGCGCCGGAGTTCACAAATGCGAATGTCTTGCGATTCTCGAACGTGCCATCTTCTTTCACGTCGAAGCGATAGCTATATAATACGATTATCAGCATACCATACTCAGTCAAAGCCAGAAGAGTTTCTGAAGGCTATCAAGAAACGTACATGGAAGCGGGACGAGTAAAATCCAGACCGAAAAAGCCACTATCAATACCGGTATCGGTGACATATGCATATTCACCACCAGGCGAGAAAGTCAACCCTGATAAATAAATTAGTCTGCATGACTTGACTGGGTTTGTTTGGGGTACATACCATTGGGGTGATCAAACCCATCCGCCGCGATCGTGACGGCTCCGGTATCGGGGTTGAATCTGTAGACTTGATCCTGCAGACCTGGAGCAGGACGGAAGTCTTGCACGTATCCGTAGATCGTGTCTGTGAAATATATGTCTTTGTTCTTTGGGTGAATGGCTACATCGTTCAAAGAGTTGAATTGGCGACCGAAGTAATTGTTCAGGAGAACTAGGTGGTCTTGGTAAGTTATCTGGCAGACTTGTTTGCAGCGGGCGAGGTTGACAAACCAGTCGTATTGTATGGCTTTTGTGGGTTCATAAGCCAGAGCGCAGGGGGAGTTTTATTGCCCTGGCCTTCACCAGTAAAAATAATTTCACCCCGATAGTTGGTTGCCCCTATTTTATCATCAGACCGGCCGAAACACTGTCATATCGCTAGAGCAGTATCGTAGTTTACCGTTTGGATTGATCACCATCGGCGATGAAGGGACCGTAGAGATCTTTACCAGACCCACAGCATCACTCTTGCTGGAAACAGCAGCTGCGTCTGCCAGAGAGATCTTTTCTATGATAGCCGACTTGTTCAGGCCGGTGCTAGCGTTTTTGGCACCTGCATTCTGAACGAAGAAGACTTCATCTGTTTCCTTTGACCTGTTATAACAAGTCTCGAGTGGTTAGATATGAGATTCCTCTTGTGACATCGGGACCACGTACCAAACGACCGCCTCGTGAAATAAGGGGTCCTTAGGCGAGTGCGCAATCCGGGTGAGAGTTGGAGCTTTGCCGATAATGTTCAAGAACTCCTTGTCGTACACATGGAATGGGCGTTGAGTAAGGCTATCTTCGGTATGCCCTGGAGGAACGAAAATCTGTAATGAAAAGCATTGGCTAAATGTGATACTAGGGGGGCATAAATGGTGGGTTCCGTACACTCTTTGCATTGAATTCGGTTGGCGGTTGAGTCGTATCCAAGACGTTGAAAGCTCTTTGGTCGATCACCTGCGCCTGGGCAGGAACATTGCTAGCTTTGACTGTAGGTACCAATGATTGTCCTAGGAAGGCTAGAGCAACGAGCGCAACAGACGTGGTTGGCATTTTGAATGTGCTTTTCTCTTGATGGAGTGCAAACTGCAGTTGTGTTCAAGGTCCGGGCATTTGCACCGAGAGATGCCCAGGGGTGGATCGGCATTTATTGCGGGTTGCTGCTATTGCGGTGTCGATGCCGAAACCATTTTGAGGGGTATCCGAGGGCAGGAACTCGGGGAGGAACAAACCTTCAAAATGCCCCATTCAAATGATCTATTCCTCCAATGGCGTATATCTGTCCTGCCGTTTCGCCACTGGTCGGTGTTTGGTGTCCTTAGTGTTCTGATGATCTTTCGGAGTTTGTCCGATCGTTGACCCACAAAATGTTGAAGATTCCCCAGACTCGCACAAGATCCCAACGTCATAGTACAGTAATGCCTCTTTTCGATTTTGGTGAATAACTTGCCCCTGTAGTAATTTTCATCTTGAGATTCCGATTCGAGAATGCTAGGGTCGCCAAAACCAGCGTCAACGACATTGACATAACCGTTGGTCACACGTTCAAAAACCAGGGACGGTGGGTCTGCTATTGGCTTTACACCGCATTAAATAGACATCCACGCTGAAGCTTCAAACACAGAGGTGATTGGGTTTCATGCCCCTCCAGTGGAGATATGCGATTGCAAGGGCAGCGTGATAGGCCAATCAGCTTGTTCGATCGAGAGCTTCAAATGATCTGATTATTGATTTGGGGACTTCTTGATCTAGAATGCCTGCTTCACTCGTACTTTCTCATTTTTGACTTGCTATTGTAACATGAACAATTTCCTGGTCTATGGACGCAACACGGCTCCGTCTCTGGGCGTTTGGCGGTGGCGTCGCATGCCCATTGAGTCATTCCAAATAGGTTAACACGAATACTTGTAGCAGTTGAAAGGACCAGGATCGGAAAAAGGAGTGTTAGCGCTTACGTGTGTACTTGTATAGTGGATGTAAAGCGGAGGTAGTGGAGAGCTTCATATCTCCGATTTTGTTCGCCGCACATAAATACCTCGGTCCCTCTGCCTCGATTACTTTATGATGTCGACCTGTATTGCTTTTATACCTCCTGGGAAGAACTTACCTCGCCACGGCCTCACACCCTCATACCTTCCTTCTCCAAACCAATATGCCATTGACCATCCACCACCTCGGCCGCTCACAATCCGAGCGCATCGTCTGGCTCGCCGAAGAACTCGGCATCAAATACGACTACGTCTTCCACAAACGCGATCCCTTCTTCTCCCCTCAATCAATCAAAGACCTCCACCCGTCCGGCACCGCCCCAGTCATTGAAGATGACAGCTCCCCATTCACCAAGAGCAAGGTCGTGCTCGCCGAATCCGGTGCTATCATCGACTACATTATCGCCGCGTACGGAGAGGGTCGCTTAGGGCGCACACCAAAGGACGGCGAAGAATACATCCGGTACCTGGAATGGTACCACTGGGCCAACGCTTCGTTCCAGCCAACCATGTTTCGCGTGCTGATTACACGACTCTTGAGCAACGACCCGGAAGCAGTTCATGTCAAGACGGCTAATGCCAAGTACGAGCTTGCGCTGTCGATGGTTGAGACGCGGCTAGGTGAAACCGGGGCTTACCTGGCAGGAAATGACATCACCGCTGCGGATATCATGGCTGTTTGCACTTTGACGACGATGAGAGGTTTCAGTCCAGTTGAGTTCGATACGGAGAAGCATAAACATATTCTAGCTTATCTTAAGCGCATTGGTGATCGCCCTGCGTATCAGAAGGCTATGAAAATTTGTGAGGGTGATGATTTCGTGCCTATCCTCGGCCCGAAGCCGCAGCAGTTTATCTTCCCTTACTAAAGGAGTTGAACTTTGGAACATGAAGAAACGATCGGTTATATATTAGTGTAATATATAGTGAATCACAACTCATAGAAATTATAAATGCTTGGAACTCCATATACAAATGAAAGGAGCGGATAATCCAATTCTCCGCTCCGTACACATTAACAAACGATAATGTATATCCACAAACCTCGTCAACACTCTCACCCAAATCGGCCAAAGAATAAAAAGGGTCGTTCTGGAGGCAGGTGATCACTCTCTTACCAGCTTCCACCATGGCGCCACCGGCCGACCGCGTCGCTAGCATCATGCTGTCGTGGCACTCGCTGAAGCTCGTCTCTTGCACCACCCTGCAGACCTTGTGGGCAGGTTATGGACAAATCTGTGCCATTACTGCCAAGGCCTCCACCGAAGAAGCAGCAAAGCATATGGACAAGCTTTGCGGGATGGAAAAGGGAGCCGCTGGGTCAATTTATCCTCTCATCCTGAAGCTCATCTCGCCCCCAAACAAAAGCGGCGGCAAACAAGATGAAGGACACCTTCGAAAAATGATGAGCTACGAGGTAGAGCAGCATTTCTACAGACACTTGGTCCCACTGCTGGACGAAGATGTTGGTGTTGCCAAATGCCTGGCCTCGACTAAAGGCATGGACGGCCAGGAGGGTGAGCAAGAACTTAAAGGTCTCATGGCCACCATCATGGTCGATTTGCGTGAAAGATTCCCAGTCGCAGGCGAGAAACGGAGTTTGCTGGACAGTACACAAGTCCATGGGGCAATAGACTGGCTAGCCCGCTTCCATGGTCGTACACGGGATCTGCCACAAAACGGCCTTGACATTGGTAACCACGTCTTGCCACCCCTTGAAGAATCAATAAAAAGACAAAGCGCAGCCAAGAATATTGGCAACGGGCTGTGGCTCAATGGAGGGTACACGTACCTCGCGACACGGCGCAAAGAGTACAATTCTCTTGTCGAGGACACCGACTCAGAGTGGTCAGGAGCGCTGTGCGAACCTTTCGAAGGATCATCACTATCTGTGGCTGAGATCGCTGCGTCGTTCTTAACACCATCTGGAAGGCCGATTGAATCGTACATTCATGGCGACGTCAAGTCAGAGAATCTCTTCACGAACCTTACTGGAGATAAGGTGGCGTTCTTTGACTTTCAGTATGTTGGGCTGGGCCTTGGTGTCTGTGACCTCGCCAAACTGTTTACATGCTCGGTTCCTCTGCATATGCTGGTTGATGATATTGAATATTTGCCAGAGGAGCTGTTGATGTGTGATGGCGAGAGGCGGCTGCTCGAGTATTACCGTAAGAGACTCATCCCGGATGGCGAGGCGGATGCATATGACTGGTATTCGTTCACACGACACTGGGAGACGGCCCTAGTGGATTGGTGCCGGTTTCAAGCCTCGTGGGGCTTCTGGGGAAACACCGAGTGGCTTGAGGCCCGTGTAAGGTCGATTTTGGGTGACAAGGAATGGAGAACCTGGATTCGTCAGAATGTCAGCAGTGAGAACAATAGACGATAAAGTGCTAGCACTGAGGCTCCAGCCGGATGCTTTCGATTCTTAGAAATTTGATCCCCACTAGGAGGCGGGGCGTCCCAGGCATAGAAAGAGATACAATGAATTCTTTCTCAGTGACGTCCTAGAAAATCAATTACCCATATGCAAGAACCCTTCCTAGCATCTATGTCATCGGACGATCGTCGGGCCTAGAGTGAACAATGGATCAAGTATAGCCGGTGTAGATCGTGACCAAAAGATGTCATCCACGCGCCGGAACATGGAGAGAAAGGTCAAGTGGGTGCTCCAAGCTAACGATTTTATGAATTGCTTCAATCAGAATGTCTCTACTCATCAAGTTCTCTCTTTCCCTTTCATCCCAATTTTGGGTGCGACACTATGGCTTTTATCCGTTTCTCCACTTTGGCTCGATTAGGTAATTGTAGCCCGAGAATATGATCATAGCTCTTTCCTATCAGCCTAACTTGTGACTCTTAACACCATGTATAGAACCAGCTCGCTTGCATTTCTTCTTTCTCTCTTAGGAATTGAAAATGGCACACGTGGCGGTGGATTGATCGTTAGTCATCTGGCTTCATCCCCCACCTAGAGGCTTCCGGACAAAACTTCCGGCCACTTAGATCGAATCACCGTTCAAAGATCCTGCATATCTTCAGTTGTCCCATTTGAAGTTCTTTTCTTTTCCCAAAATCCCCCTCAATGGATACCTTTTTGGTTTCAATCGCTTGAAAATGGACAAGCCACTACGGTCATTGGCTCCTCATCCGGCAGGACCCAGCCAGAAGCCAGAGACGAAGGTACCGAAGAGAGAAAACATCTCCCTCGCTTGTTCTGGCTGCAAAGCCCGAAAATCCAAGGTACGCCGATCTTCTACCAAATCCAAGAGACTTTTCTAATGATTAATTTAGTGCGATGGGGCGCAGCCTTGCCAAGCCTGTAGCAAGAGAGGCAAGGAATGTGTTTTTGATGAAACCACAGATAAAAGGCGTCGACTTATTATGAAACGCAAAATGGATAGCCTTGAAGATGATCACGACATGCTACTTCAACTTGTAAGCAAACTGCGCGATTCAAGCAACAGTCAGGTCATCCAACTGCTCAATCTGATTCGGAGTAATGCACCTTTGGATGAAATCAAAGATTATATGGACAACAACATGCACGACGAGCTTGAGAAGACACCCGAACTGATGGATATCGCAAACATTATGAGAGAGGGTAGAGTTCAATCGCGGCGCAGGGTCCTGGATGTGAGACGACTCTCTGATGATCCGCTGTGGGATGTCCCTGCCAAACCCTGGACGAGTCTGACTGATGACAATGCTTTCGTGTCCCACCTGGTTTCGCTCTTCTTTACGTGGTTTCATCCATACATAAACTTCATAGATCGTGATCGTTTCATCAAAGACATGCAGTCCGGGGATCCAGAGAATTCTCTCTACTGTTCACCTTTCCTCGTCAATGCCATCTTAGCCGATGCTTGCGTATGTTTCTATCCTTATTCGAACGAATCGGGTTCAAACTCATGCTTTCTAGGCCTATTCGGATTACCCAGAGGCGTTCGCTCAACCAGAGGACTTAACCTCTAAGGGAAAGCATTTCTATGAGGAGGCTAGAATGCTTTATGAGAATGAAGATGGCAAAGTCAGGTTGACTACCATCCAAGGACTATGCATTCTCTTCTCAAGGTACGCGAGATACCGCTCGTGGCAGGTAAACGTTCAGCTAATCATCCTACAGTTCTTGCCTGTATGGCAAAGACCGACGCGGATGGCTTTACGTGGGACAACTAATCTACGTCACGCAAGACTTACTCGAGGAACACGATTTAGGAACCGAGTCAATATATGCACCAGAGGTCGTGAACCTCACAGTCTGGGGCCTCTACAATATCATGGCGTTAGTTGCCCCGACCCCACATACAGCTTATGTTTACTGACTATGACAGGGCCAACTCTCTTATATTTCACAAGCGGATCATGTTTCGAGCCCCAAAAAGGCCATTTGGAATGCACCCGTCTCCTCAGCCCAGTCACAAGGACCTGTGGACCCCATATCCCTCTCTGGTCGGCGCCATCCCTGCCCATACAGCCCATATGGTAAAGGCCTATTCAGATTTGAGTGTTACCACATTCGAATCCTCTTCGTGGTTTTTCAAGGGGGGCAAGAATTTAAAGAATATGTCCTTTTTGGAAATGCGTGACGCGGCGGATGACTTATATGCACGTCTCAAAGATTGGAAAGCGAACATCAACGACTGCATGAAAGAGGAGACCAACACAACACCACATGGTCTGAGTTTGCAGTATGTCACTATCCACCGCCCTATTCAATATATCTGCTTACATTGGATCCAGCATGTACTGGAATAATATAATCATGACCACTTATGGCTTTGTGCAGAAAAAGGCCTATCAGGAGGATTTAAGCCCTGAAGAATATCAGTCAGTGAAAGAAATCAGATTCACAGCGGCCAGAGAGGTCGGACGACTGATAGATGTACACCGATCCTTATGGGGGAGCGACCGAATCCCAGCGGCAAGCATGCAATCATGCTCAATGGCAGAGAATACTCTTCTCGAGGATCTCGACAACCCCGCAAGCCGAAAGGCTTTCATCGATCTCTGCGTTGTTTCCAAGGCCGCTGCACGTCTCTGGCCTTTAGGAAAGGCAATGCTGCGTGCTCTCCAGGTAGCAGCGAAAGAGTTGGCAGTCACTCTCCCCTCTGAAACAGACGCCTTGTTCTCGGATATCGAGAGCAATTGGTCCCCCAGAGAAACAAAGGATATTAGCAGCAAATATCCAAACTTTGCGATTTATCTTAAGTCGAAGAACAGCAATGAAGCGGAACTTGACACGTTTTTGGAGAAGTGGGACGCTTTGCAAATCGACGATTTGGGCCCATAGCTTAGCGTTCGCTTCAACATTTCTCAGTAAATCCTCCCATCTGTAGATTATAGGTTCGATTCAATCTTATATGTTACTATTGGCGTCTTTGTGGGTTTGATGGTGGCTAAATGCATATTGATCGAATGTTGTTTGGCACTCAGTCCCTTCTCTCTCCTCTTGTGGGCGTTTGGCACTTTAAACACTAAGATTTCGTCCTGTGATTGTTGAATATGCGGCCAGGCACCACAAGAGATTGAATTATGCAAAAGAGGTAAAAAGGCTCAATGAAGGCCCTAAGGCATGAACATATCAAGGTCCGGTGGCTATCGCATACAAAATTCACCGAACGGACAAGGAAAAGCCGCTACGCTACGTAAGCCCTTCCTGCATTCTACGAAGCCGTTTTTTCTGCTCCTTGTATTGTATATCCCCATATTCCACGGTCATTTCGGTTTCGAATGCCTCCAGAACGTCAAACACGTAGTCTTGGCAATTCCAGCCCCGAATGTCATTTCGAACGGGGACTTGATTGGCGATAGTGCTGATGGAGCTGATTTTGGCGACCTCGGCCTCACAGATATATGTAACAACGTATGATTGATCTCAAAGAAGTAAATACATGTATGAGAAAGACAATGTGATTCCTACTCCAGATATACTCCAGGGAGTAATTCCACGAGTCGGCGGATGTTCCTGCATAGGCTGCGCCACCATCCTCTAGATAATATGACACCCCACTCGATCTGTTGTAAACCAAGGCACTGATGTTGTATCGTTGCAGACATGTGTTAGGGCGTTGAAGCATCCTTTCCTTTCCTTTCCTTTCCCTGACAAGAATTATGTTAGTGAAATATGCTTGGTAGACACCTTTGGACTTCGTCAGACATACATATCTTGGTGTGATCCTTTCATCTAACACAACTTTTGGGCAGGGTAATCGGCTTGCATCGCAGAAACGCCAAGATGGCCTCGCCATGTGCCTCCATGGCTCATTGTCATGCAGAGCGCCGAGGTGCTGCCCAGGCCATCCCATGCGTCGTCAAGAGCAGAAACGATTGTCTTGATCTCAGCAGTGGTATCACAGTTGCGCCCTGAGGCTTGGTAGTAATAGTTATAGTCCTTTCCGTTAAAATCCGTCAGTCGGCCTGTAACGGCATCACAGCTTTTGGCTGCACTTTGCTGATAGATCTGGTCCGCAATTGCAATGACGACTGCCTGGGACTTGTTGGAATCACTGAACTTGGTGCTTCCTGACTTCTTGTTACTCTCGGAGACGGAGATTGCAGTTCTTTTCACAAGTCCAATCTCATTTCTCTTCGCGATGCTCCTTGTCTCGAGCTCAGGAAACCCAGGGTTGCTTCTTTTCGCGCCTTTGTGATGGTCGGAGCAAGCGGATTTTGGGTCCTGTCCTGAGGCATCGGTGGCGAGACCAATCACTCCGTGCCATGTGCCGCCGTGATCAAAATCAAGGCACACTGCATTGGCGCCGTCAGAGTGTAATTCATCGAATGCATCTGAGAGAGCATTGGTAATAGTCTTTGCTCGCTGAGTGCTGTCGCAATTGCTCCCTGTCGTGTATGAATACACATAATATTTATACCCAACTCCATTTTCAGTGACGGGGATTATCGCTGACTTGCCACAAATCTTGTCCGCGTCCGGTTTGTTACCAAGCCAACTAAAGTAGTTGCCAACAGCTCCAGTAATTACGAGGCCGAGTGTACCAGCCGCTCCGATGATCGCAGTAGCGCCTGCACCGTCCCATTTGTGGACGATGGTATACTGATCGCTTGTCCGGACAGCTAGCTCCCCGTGATCACTCTCATTGCTTTGGTTCAATGTCTCCTTTGTTTCGACCGCAAGTGCCGAGCATAGCCCTTGCATAGCTAGAAGGGAAACGAGGACGGATCCAAACTGATCCGAGATGCTCTTGAACATGATTGAGATATTGAGAGCAGTCCCGTGTCTCTGTTGTTTGAATATAATCTATGTCTAGTCAGCAATATCCCACAGGAGTAAGGCAGAACGGTTCTACCACACATACTGGTATACTGGTAAGAAGATGGATGGAAATGCCACAAAAGAATAGAGAAGAAGATAAACACAAAGATGATCCAATTCTCGAGTTGCCTCTGATACAGCTCTCGATTTGTTCGAGGGCTGGTGGCCTTTTATATGCCCGCGACTATGTTAGTTATCTGTGGATATCAAGTAAATGCCTCAGTTCATAGCACTATTCACATATCCATGTCAGATTCCATAAATAAACGGATCTTTATTCGGTCGAAGAATAGCCCCCAAGTCGCGCGATTGTGGATCGAAGGGGAAATATATTGTTCACTCGTCAGGAATTGGGGGCGAGAGACGAACAAGGTCAGCGTCTATCACCTGGACAACTTCTGAAAATACCGAAAAAGGACTGCAGAACACCTGTTCTCCCTGTACTTAGTCCCAGCCTGGACGTGAAATACAAGTCTAAGGTCCGAAGCTCCGTCGCAGCTCTGAAAGCTCCAGTTCGTTATATGAGAACTGAATACATGTAAAAGAGCAGTCCCCGAAAAAAAGTGGATACGAAGGCGTAGTGTGGCACTGCTGTGCTCTGAAACTGAGAGGCAGCTTAGTGGGGGCGAGGCTTGCACTTGCAACGGTTGGGGCTAACGTTAGTTTAGGGACTAACTTAGTTGATCACACTTGGTATTTATCAGGCTTCTACAAGATACCAGCCCTTTTTGGTATACATCTCAACCCTATGAAACTCGAGATTGAACCTCAAGACTAGTAATGCCAATTCTTAATCTAACAACAACACTAACGCGCGTTCCATTCTCCTTTCCACGGCGTCTTCCAGTGGGGAATTTTCGCCCGTAAGAATAGGGGCTAAATAAGTAGAAACGATTAATCCAAGGCAGAGTAAGCCTTGCGGAGCTACTTTGTATTAAAATCATTGTTCCTATCACTACCCATATACCCATATAGGAAAACGGGATTTCATCAACTATTCCATACTGGGTATAGATGAGGAAATACGGGTACCACTGGATCTACATACGTCTTTTCTCAATCTTATTATTGGCCAGCCAGGTAAGCCAGGCCCGCTCATGGATTTTCCGGTTTCTTCAGCCACTTAGGTACCATTTATACCTGAGACAGCCTGGGGCCAAAAGGCGTCGATGTATCGCCATCATGCGATTCTTAACACTACTTACATTGGGGGCCGAAAGAAAGATTTCCGTTTCTCCGAGTCAACGCGATGCCCACGAAGGGCAACAGGTGGGCGTACAGACACTTGATTCTACTCTGTCTGCTTCTTCGGGTGGCACGATTGACTTTATCAAAACGTAGTTCTCTACAGGGCTAAATATATTGTATCAGTTTATCACGTGCCCATTCAGGATTGGAAACATAAGAAGCGAACTGAGTTCACTGGGACATTCGCTGTCCTCTTCAGTTCTTTCGCCTGCTCAAAATGAGGTTGTGTCATCAGCCTGCCGTCCTCGTCAGCAAACTATGGCAGAAATCACCAAGTGCGCAATAGGAGAAACCCGCTGTAGCCTCGAATATGGATTCAATTGACTAAAGGATAAGCCTAGAATATATCTGGCGGTCCGAAGTCGATGTGATCGGTGTTTCTTCTCTCTTTATATTCATATAGTCCGCCACATTTTCTGGGAGCATTCCACGTGCTCCACAGCTAGGCGCCGAGGCCGATGGTTATCGGTTTAAGGTTATCCCTAGGCTGCAGTTATGGTACAACAGAGACTTCGGGCATCTGACTGCTTTTATAAGGAACCGCTACGGGTGGTTGCATCGACTGGTCGTGAGGTAATTGTTGAGTGGCACGGACTATGGTATCTGATAGCGCGCCCGCTTCCGCAGACCTCATCTAGCGTTCACTTTTCTCCAACCTCGTCCTCTCATGTCCTGATTGACCCGGCTTTACCAGCAATGGTCGCACGCAGTGCACAATGCAGAATATGGGCATTACAAGTCTGGTGATTGGCAATCCCCCTCCCCTCATTCGATCCTGACAAAAGGCCATGCGGATTGGAACCCGTCTTCACGAGGCAGTGGAACTGGGTAAATTAAATGTGGTTGATGCTCTTCTTGCCAGGGGAGCCGATCTTGTCTTCAAGATGTAAAGGGGGAAATCAGCGATTGACACAAAGCTACGCACGTTGCTATGTCGGCGATTGCTGATCGTTGGGATTCGGGATGGCGGTCAATCTGAAGATGGTAGTAGCTGAAGAAGTGGCTCCTTAATAAAGGTGTTTGCACCAACGTTTCCACGTTGTAGATGTATGCTTTTGCACTAGCGACGGAAATGCATCTGATTAGACTTCTTTGTCAACGTGGTAAATGTTTCAACCTTATCAATACCACACGACTCTTATCAGCATATCTATCCATGTGGGTTGAGTTCATTGTAGGGCGAGGTTGCGGATCCGTTATAAGTTATGACGGGAAGCACTAACCACATGTAGTAAAAAGATCCCCTCCACCATACAAAGTGGACTTTTATTGCTTGTGTTAATAGCAGATAGAATATGGGTTTGTGGGTTTTTATTGGGAGAAGATGTGTATTGAATGGACCATCTCGATAAATAGCGATGGTTCGCTTTAGAGTCCACATAGATAGGAGCTCCGCCATTGTCTACGGCCTTTATCTGAAGCTTCTGGGTTCCCCTCACCACATCTTGACGCCCCTCATTCTTGCGGCTTACGATCCGATCTCTTGTGGACTGCCTAGTCTGTACATCAGATCCGAGTTCGAAGGTTGCTTCTTCAAAACGCATCCCCTCATTGGAGGTGATGGCAGACAGACCCTGAAAACTGTACAGTATAAAGGCAGCCCTCTGCTCGAATACAATCCACACTATTGTTTTACACTACTTCAACCTTCAGTACCATTGGTTTGGAACAATTGTCCGAAACCTCCAATCATGGCAGTTCCCTTCACCTACCACGCTAAGGCGCAATCCACCTTTAAGCCTCCACTTATCGCCAATGAGAATGCCTTCTTGGGCGACGTGCAATCTAGGTACTTATTTAATCTGGTGTTTAATCATGATAGATATTGTCACTAACTCCCCGCAGCGAGAAAGAAAACCCAGACAAGCCCATATCGTGTGGATTCTACCGTCTGGAAAAGGGCACCCCCTTGGTTTACACATACACCTACGACGAAATGAAGATTATTGTCGAGGGCTCGTTTGAGATTTCCGATGAGACAGGACAGAAAGTTACAGCAACTCCTGGGGATGTGTTCTATTTCCCCAAGGGATCCACCATCACATTCACGACGGAGGACTATGGGTTGGGCTTCTATGTGGGTACATCCTCAGCTAGGAAGGGCGACGCTAACGAAAGCAGACTGGACAACGGAAGCAGGGAGAGGCCTGAACATATAGTCCACAAGTCGATAGTTCCATAGTCCCCAACAAGATATTAACAATTATCGGGGATCCCCGTGCCTGAATCCATGGTTTTCTCAGCTTTGTTTTTTACACTAGTCCCAATACGGTAGTATGCTTTTCCCCCTTTCCCCAAGTATGAGTGGACGGGGGACAATTATTGAAATAATCCCCGATGCATACATGCAATGTGCGACATCCACTAGTCCCTTCAAATCACTATTATAGCCGAGCATGTCCACCACTCAAGGTTCCATTCTAGCCCCATAAGGAGGGGCAGGGGTATCAAATTAACCCGCGTTAGGGCCTTTTGAGGCCGATCCGAGAAGAATAGGGCGAGAATAGCGATCGGAAGTGGACCAAGTTCAGCTCGCCTCGATAAACTCATCCACTCTAGTGGGTTTGACACGATAAAATCAGGCGGGATAGCACAGCCTGTATGACGTGGGGGGAGTTGCTAGGGCAACATTCAGGCTTCAGGAAGGGGGGATCGGACAGGGTGGATTGTAGAAAGTAAGAAATCAAGATCACATCGATCGCGGGTGGAGTGATCGACTGGAATAATAAACACCTTTCTTTTTCCGAAACAAAGACCTTTTGTCTTCTTCTGCCCATTGTTCCTTAGTGCCTGCCAAACGCTTATCGGCCCAACCCAACCCCTCTTCAACAACCATCATGGCCATCGGTTCAGAGGATGGGCTTCGTCTCCCCAATCCGCCCCCATTGTTGCACACTCGTCATGAAACATTCGACCGTCCTTCGACCCCCGCCGAGCATGGCTTCACCAGTCCGCCACAGACTCCCCAGGGCAGTCCCAGCAAGAGTCGATTGCCTCCTGGCGCACTCGACCTGCCCAATGTCTTTGATAAGGCCATGAAGTTGACGCCTACATCACCCTCCAAGTCAACCTACAACCACTACAATCATCCCATGTTCTCGGGAAAGGGGGAGGACTTCAACGAGAGCGTCATCCACCAAGCCCCCTCCAGCCCGACGCGCAGAGCAAACAAGGAGAACACACCCCCAAACCCAGCGCGCCTGACCAAGGACTTGGGCACCGCTCCAGCAGCAGCAGCCCTGTCGCGCCAAGAACCATATCAACAACGCGATGCCGAGACAACAAGACGCCAGGTGCAGATGCGCGGGCTGACACCAGAAGAAATCGAGAAATTGGCCCAACCCCGCGTCAAGCGTCTGGTCAATGTGACCCAACTCTGTAAGTCCAACTCAACACCAGCCCCTATACCCAGAGCTAACAGGCAGCAGATTTCCTGGACCACTACTTCGACCTCCTCAGCTACGTCCACAACCGCCAAACCCGCCACACCCAATTTAAAGCCGCATACCCCGATCCTCCCGTAACCCCTGAAGAAGAGCACGAGCCCGCGCTCCTAAAATACCTCGGTCGCGAACGCGCCCATCTCCGCAAGCGTCGTACCCGTCTTCGGCAGGGTGATTTCCAGATTCTGACTCAGGTCGGTCAGGGTGGTTATGGACAAGTGTATCTGGCGCAGAAGAAGGATACGCGTGAGGTATGCGCGTTGAAAGTTATGAGCAAGAAGCTGCTTTTCAAACTCGATGAGATCCGTCATATTCTCACCGAGCGCGATATTCTCACAGCTGCGAAGAGCGAATGGCTTGTCAAGTTGCTCTATGCCTTCCAGGATGATACCCAGATCTATTTGGCGATGGAGTATGTCCCCGGTGGTGATTTCCGCACATTGCTGAACAACACTGGTGTTTTGCATAACCGACATGCTCGTTTCTACATTGCCGAGATGTTTAGTTGCATTGATGCGCTGCATGTGCTGGGTTACATTCATCGAGACTTGAAGCCGGAAAATTTCCTGATTGATTCAACGGGACATGTCAAGCTGACTGATTTCGGTTTGGCGGCTGGTATGCTGAGCCCTGGCAAAATTGAGTCGATGCGCGTTAAGCTTGAGGAGGTTGGCAACACGCCTGTTCCTTTCGGTCGACCTATGGAGCAGCGTACAATGGCTGAGCGCCGCCAAGGTTACCAGTCCCTGCGCCAGCGCGAGGTCAACTATGCCAAGTCGATTGTCGGTTCACCTGATTACATGGCGCCTGAGGTTCTCAAGGGCGACCAATATGATTTCACTGTTGACTACTGGAGTCTGGGCTGTATGCTCTTCGAGGCGTTGGCCGGATACCCGCCCTTCGCAGGTGCGACAGTCGAGGAAACCTGGCAGAACCTGAAGCGCTGGCAGAAGGTGCTGCGCAAGCCTGTCTACGAAGACCCGAACTACTTCCTTTCGCGACGAACATGGGACCTGATTACGAAGTTAGTTGCCGGCAAGGAAACACGATTTAAGAATATCAAGGAGATCCACGCACACGATTACTTCACCGAGGTTGACTTTGAGAACCTGCGTGAACAGCGCGCGCCTTTCGTTCCTGAGTTGGATTCCGAGACCGATGCTGGGTACTTTGATGACTTCAGCAGCGAGGCTGATATGGCCAAGTATAAGGAGGTGCATGATAAGCAGCGCGCATTGGAGGATATGGCTGATCGCGAGGACAAAATGGGTAAGGGGTTATTTGTTGGGTTTACGTTCCGGTATGTTGTATCTTCTCTATAGTACCAGTGGAACAGTCTGCTAACGTATTCTAGTCACCGCAAACCAGCTGTCGACAGTGGAGGCCGCAGCTCTCCCCGCAAACCGATCGCGACGGACGGCACATTCGGGACGATGTTCTAGTTTTGACCTGTACTCGGCCTCTTTCTCTTCTATGTTTCGCTGGTGCGTGACTCCGAGCTGGATCTTGGTTTCCTTATGCCCCATGTCCCAGTATTGAGTTTAATGGCGCATTTCTATCTGCTATCTTGCATCCTGCTGTTACATTACTTCCAACGCGATACGTCTTTCTCTTTCTCGCCTTCTCTTGTTCTAGCTCTATGGTCCAGGTCGGAGGTTCCAATTCGATTCTTGTATGATACATACTTAGACCGGCAGTTTGTGTCTCCTGTCGGTTGTTGGTTGCTTGTATGGATATGGAGTTATGACATTGATCTTGCGCGCATGTGTTGAGTAGCACGTAGGCTGTAGCCTGTAGATCTCACCACGACAATTGCGATGATGTCTCTAGTAGGTAGGAAGCTGGCGCACCATACGGAGAATCTCAGACTCGCTATCACCAATGACAGCACGGCCATTGACCCAGTCAACAGTCTACATCACATGCAAATTAGCAACCCAATCATCACCTCGAGCTGAGAATAAATGAGGAAACATACCAGAGGCCGAGTGAAGTTATCATTATCCTCCTTAAATTTCTTAAGCGCATCCTCCGCATCACGAGCACCCTTCACCAACTCAGCAACACCATACGTAGCCTTCTCACCCTGTCCTCCAACACCACTAAGGGGCGAGATGTAATCCAGGATACTGCGCAGCTGGTCGGGTGTGGGAGGGGAGGTGGTCACCTCCAGCTCGAACTCGCCCCGCTGCTGCTTGGCATGGCGGGAGTGATCACTTGCTTGGTCCTCTGTGGCGGTTTCGCCGGCGGTCGAGGAGGCTTGTTTTAGGATGTTGAGGGCTCGCGTCGACGATGCCAGACTGGGGGAGTGGAAGAGGGTGATTGGGTCGAGGGTTTTGCTCTGGATTGTATTAGTTTTGTCTGAATTGGCTGGGTGGGGTTTAGGGGGTCAAAGCTGTTGGGTTTGGGGCTGAACGTACGAAGCGGAACATCTTTGCGGTTGGGGGTTGTAATTGGGGGTGTGCAGGTGGAATGGAGGTTGAGGTGATGTGGACGTAGCTCAAGTTCCTGGATGATGTCATGTGCTCGTCGGGTCGTGTCGGGCCGACTATAGGAAGTTGCGCTCCTCCGAGAATGGAGTCGATGTCTATGGGCATTGGCATTGGCATTGGCATTGCTAATTTATTGATACTGGGCCATCCATGGATGATATACTGCCTGTTGGTGCCTTTTATTACTGTTGCCTTCAAACCCCATGGAAGAGCGCATCTTAACGTCTTTCTATCAAAGGGTGTGGCGTCCCTGTCCTTTGTTGATTTGATTTTCTGTTGTTTTTCTAGGGCGGACAGTTAAATTTCTTCCTAGTGGTGCGAAATTTTGGTGGTATCCTATCGCGTTAAGAGGAATTTCAGTGTAAGAAAATTTTGTTTCTGTTGCTAAGAGAAGTTTGGCCCAAGAGTAAGGACCTTAAATACCTAGTGATCGCCACGGGTCGCCGTAGGAGGGTGGCAATTACCTATTGTATTCTATGGCTATACTAGCTAGCAAATTATGTCAATAGCGTTATATTGCTGGTCTAATGACTAGAATATCTATTCAATGTATAATGCACCAGAGTATCTATCTTAGCTAATTTCTCGACCTCGGTTTTAGGAACCAACTCGCCTTGACTGTTTCTGAGATTGAACGCGATGATTGGGCCCTGAAGCGCTTGGTTTCCATAATCTGATTGGTAGATTCGACAGACGTTCTTGTCGTTGAAGTGCGTCAATGCAGCAAGTCGATCATAGACTCGCTTGGCGAGGAACCCAGTGTGGGCAGAAATGTTTGCCATTGACCCGTACAGACGTTCGTGCGTGTCAATTGCGGCATCCAGCGCGATAATGCTGTGGAAAGGAAGGGTACCGTCTTCAAGTTGCTTATGGATCGTCGTTTCTTTTTTCGCATGCTATTGCGCTCCGGACGCTATCACCATATCTACTGTCCCCCTACCAAAGAACTTACGCCGTTCGAGAATGCGGGCAGCGCTTTTTCGGACAATCAACGCTCCTAGATCAGGAAATCCAAAAATCTTGTAAAAGCTGAGCGCCGTAAAATCTGGCGCAGCATTTGCATCCCCTAGGTCGAGAGCAGCGGTTGACACAAACGAGGCGGCGTTAAGCAGAGTGAAGACATTCGCTCCTCCGTCGGCTGCGAAACGGATCTACTCGCACCATCGGACAGGGAGACGTCGGCCGTTTATGTTAGACTAGGCCGGAAAAGCAAATAGCTTGGGCGCTCTCGACTGAGTTGTGCCTAGCTCGGAGATCCAAGCATCCACATCGGCATCATGGAAACATTGATAACCTATCTTGGCGACCTCCCGTACACCGATAACACTGGTATGAGAATCAACATAGTAACCGTACTAGAAACCTCGTGAATCAAAATCCCGAAATGAGTCTGCAACTAGCTTAATAGCCGCAGTCGCATTTGCCACAAAAACCACGTTAAACACGTCGGGGCTGGCATTAAAGAAATGGAGAACCCGTGATCGTACATTCTCTGTGCGCTGTGTAGACAATTGCGATGACAAGGACATTGAATGGGGATTTCTAAATAGACTAGATTGTATATCACGAGAGAACGCCGTGATCAATGACTTGGCATAGAGAGTTGTACCGGCATGATCAAGATAAGTTGTCTCTGTAACCGTGGAATATAATGGTCAGTACAAGTAGATCCACTAATCTTAAGTATGGGGCCATACGACTTAGGAGGGGGTACTCTTGCTCGCGGAGGGCATCCATATCGGCAAAGTATCCCTGGCCATATTTGCCGTGCCTACATTGCTTAGGGCCACTGTCTATCATAATTGACGAGAAGAATGGATGCAAGAACTTCAATGATGGCCAAACGACCAGTTATATATAAATGTCTCAAACGATTGACGAACAGGAAACTTCTGATAGTTCTCAAAACAAGTAATTGTCTCTGCGGGATTTTCATCTTATTATTATACGTCGCGTTCTATGCAACAAGGTGCTTTTTAGAGGTCTCTTCTAGTGGTGTTTAGATATTCACAATTAGCTGGTGGGGATTATTGGTAAGCTTAATTCTAAGGCCCGCCATCAACTTCGTTAAGGCTGGAGAATATTCACTTGGATCGTTCATAATGCAGGGCAAAAGGCGCTGTAGCGCTGCAATTTAATGAATCTAACCACCCTAAAAGAACACAATTGAGAGATTATTATCTGCTGTTCCCGTTGCTATTGAGGACAAGGTTTGCTTCGGAGCAATAGACTTTGGTCGCAATGCACACTGAAGAAAGTCATCAGTTTTGGACAACCCCTCCCCGTCATTGTTTGCCCCTCATAACTTATGGGCAATAGGGCTTAAAGAGATAGACAGTTGACTCCGTACATGACTAACCCAGAAAAGATAGGAAAGGACAGTATAAGGCATCATGACTGTTCCCCTTCTATAATTTTAGTTCCCAATTCCACTTCAGTGCCTAGACCAGTACTGTACAGGAATTCTACGTCCCTCACTAGTATTATCACACGAACTAGCGACGAGCAATTATTGTAGTTTTCCTTGCTTGCTTTGGGGTTGGGGAAGGGATGCAATTTCTCACGGCAAACTGACAACTTGTTTAAATATATAGAGGCCAAGTGTCACATTATGAATTATTTTGAAAAGGATAAAAACTTGGGTCCTTTTAGGTAGATAAGTGAGTGCCACTTCCTGAACTTTGAGCCTCACCGAGGCCTTTCTCGGCTTAATTGTCGTTTACATTGTCAGGCCGCCCTCGTGGCGCACGGCTTCGAAACCGTTGAGTGATTCTACTGTACAGGATGGATCGAAATCAGTTTCACCACTCTATTCACATAGTTTCTTATCCGAGCCCTATTTTAAAACAGCTAATCCAATTTTGGTTGGGCTCCTTTCAACGTATTGAAATATCTTGTAAGGCTTTGTCACATGATCTAAGTTCTGTAATTCAGTGGAAATAACGTTAGTTAACTAACGTATTTCACTACCGAGTGGCCACCACCACCGAGTGGCCATCTCCAAAACACATAGTAAATGCAATATATTACAACCTTATATTTCAACAACCGCGTTATGGTGTGATTTCACTCTCATTAGATAGCTACTGATAAGGATTTTTAACCCTATATATGTATTTCAAGAACACCGAAATGCTACAATATCGTGGTATTGAAAATTACGTTGCTTAAAGCCAGAAATATATATAACGCAATCACGGAGTCACAAATATTTTCTAAACTCCCTAGAGAAGATAGATGTCACCCAAAAAGCATTAGGCTAATAGGAAAACTCTATATAGACTACCGTTGTTGAAATATTAAGTTGTAATCAATCGCGTTTACTATGTGTTTTAGAGATGGCCACTCGGTGGTGGTGGCCGCTCGGTAGTGAATTACGTTAAGTTACCCAAACAATTGACATAATCAGCTTCATGCCCCTCATCCCTTGTGAACTCCCCCCCGGCGGCAGTCCGATTGTGAACGTCCATCAAGCTGTGTCCCATTTGACGAGCTTGAAGCTCCGCATGACTGACTTGGGTGTTTAACCGATATGTGAATCAAATATATCCCCCATTTCGTGCGACTTATCACATCAACCACAATGGCCGATCCCCTGTCCATCGCATCAGGGATTGCGGGTTTGCTCTCACTTGGTATTCAAGTCACCCAATCTTTGGCCAATTTCTACATTGCATACAAGGACCAGGACAACAACTTGGCAAAGATTACGCAGAATCTCAAGAATATTCAGGGCATCTTTCGATGCCTTCACGTTGCAGTGCAGGATCACCGATCCAAGGCTGACGCACAAGAGATACTCAAGGAAGCTGGACAGGCAACGCATAAGTGTGAAGAAATTATCAAAGAGCTGGATATGGAATGCCGAAAAATTCAGAAAGATCTGGCCCCCGGCTTCAAGGGTCGCATCCAAGTTGCTGGCCGTCGCGCGGCCTACCCATTTAGAAAAAGCACCTTACAGAAGCTTGAAGAAGACATTGGCGAGATACGTGCAAACTTGTCGTTCGCACTAGATGTCCTACAGCTCAAATGCCATGACCAAATACAAGATGATATATTGGAACTTAAAACTCTTCTTGAGCGAACAAACGCCAGTCAGGTCTCTTCCACGATTCGTGCCTGGCTGATGGCACCAGATGCATCTCTCAATCACAACGCTGCATGTGCGAAACGTCATCAAGATACGGGACTATGGTTTGTCAATGGCTACCATTTCACGAACTGGCTAACGGAACACAACTCTTTTCTGTGGCTTAATGGCTTCGCAGGGTGTGGCAAGACGATCCTCTGCTCAACGGCAATTCAACATACGTTTCGTGAGATGAAGCAGGGGCGGAAAGTAGGAATTGCGTTCTTTTATTTTTCCTTCACCGATGAGTCGAAGCAGGACAATGACGGCATGCTACGCGCATTGCTCATGCAGCTGTCGGGACAACTTGACGATGGTGAAAGGGATCTAGAGCAGTTGCATGCATTATATAAGTCGGTTTCCCCTCCAGTGGGAGTTTTACTCGACTTATTTCAATGCTTCCTTAACCGGTTCCGCGATACCTATATTCTGCTCGATGCGATAGACGAAAGCCCTCGAGACGGGAAGAGAGATGGTGTTTTAAGAGTAATACAGGTGATACGCAATTGGTCCTTACCTGGTGTCCATCTTTTGGTGACAAGTCGCAACGAGCTTGATATCCGTGAATCTTTGGATCCTTCGTATGACCAGGATCGTTTGATGAGGGATTTGGGAAATGACAAAGACATCATGAATCTTGTCTCTTATCGGCTCAATAATGACCCAAAGCTCCGGAGGTGGAAAGCGCGACACGGGGAAATTCAATCACAATTGACAACGGGTGCGCAGGGAAAGTCAGTATCCAACAATGAACACAGTTCCCTATACTTTGGCTGATTTTACATGCAGTTTCAGATATGTCGAATGTCAGTTCAACGCTATCAGACGGGCGCGAAACCGGAATCAGTTGGATGAATGTCTGCGGGCTTTGCCCCGCGATTTGGATGAAACGTATGAACGAGTCTTGTGCAGTATTGACAAAGAGTACATTGACGACGTGCGGCGAGTTTTGACTGTGCTTTGCTTTTCTGCTCGGCCACTCACGGTCAACGAGCTGATTGAGGCCCATGCTGTTGATTTAAACGAGCCACCACATCTAGATCGTGATGGTCGTTCGTACGGGCAAGATGATCTTGCCGACATTTGCCTTGGTCTTATCGAGTTCGCGGCCACGGAAGATGACAACGGACAAAACTCCTTGATTGCTCGCATAGCGCATTTCTCCGTTCAGGAGTACCTACAGTCAGATCGCATACTTCAACAAAATTCAAGGAGATTCGCCATGCGAAGTGCGCCTGCGAACACCGAACTAGCCCACATATGTCTTGTCTATTTATTAGAACCCGGTTTCTCTGTGGAGGTCTTAAGCAAGAGAAAGCTCAAAGAGTACCCACTTGCTCAATATGCCGCCGGACATTGGTTCCATCATTATGCAATCTCGGAAGAAGGGAAGCCTAGAATCGAGAAATTGGTGGTAAGGCTGTTCACTGGGAAGATAAAGCCTTTCGCTACGTGGATACGCTTACATGACATGGACCGTCCGTGGAACAAAAAAGTGGATTATGATCGCCCTGCTACTGATATAGCATCACCACTGTACTACGCAGCCAGGTTGGGATTAGAATCCGTTTTGAAGAGTATCTTAGCTACTGGGACTGAAGGTTTATCGGTCTCAGTGAATGCTCAAGGTGGACGGCTCAGCAATGCGCTCCAGGCTGCATCAATCAACGGTCATGAAAAGGTGGTACAAATACTGTTGGATCAAGGTGCCGATGTAAATGTCCAAGCTGGAGATTATGGCAGTGCACTGCAGGCCGCATCATCCGGAGGCCATGAGAAGGTGGTGCAGATGCTGTTGGATCGAGGTGCCGATATCAACGCCCAAGGTGGTCATTTTGACAATGCACTACAGGCCGCATCGACCAACGGCCATGGAAAAGTAGTGCAGATGCTGCTGGATCGCGGTGCCGATGTGAACGCCGAAGGTGGTGACTATGGCTATGCACTGCAAGCCGCATCATCTGGAGGGCACGAGAGTGTAGTGCAGATACTGCTGGATCGAGGTGCTGACGTTAACGCATCAGGAGGGCATTTTGGCGATGCACTCCAGGCCGCATCATCCGGAGGCCATGAAAGGGTGGTGCAGATGCTGCTGGACCGAGGTGCTGACGTCGGCGTACAAAGGGGACAATATGGCAATGCAGTTCAGGCCGCGTCGTTTGGTGGCCATGAGCAGGTGGTGCAGATGCTGCTGGATCGAGGTGCCGATGTGAATGCCCATAGTGGTGTCTTTGGCTATGCACTACAATCTGCATCATCCGGCGGCCATGGAAAGACGGTGGAGATACTGCTAGACCGGGGCGCCGATATCGATGCTCAAGGTGGACAATACGGCAATGCACTTCAGGCCGCATCATGTAGTGGCCACGAGAAGGTGGTGCAGGTGCTGCTAGAGCGAGGTGCTGATATGAACGTGCAAGGTGGACATTTTGACAATGCACTCTATGCCGCCTCAATTAATGGCCATGACAAGGTGGTGCAGATACTGCTAAATCAAGGTGCTGATGCCAATGCCCAAGGGGGATTCTTCGGCAATGCATTTCAGGCCGCCTCATTTAACGGCCATGATAAGGTGGTGCAGATGCTGCTGGAGAGAGGCGTTGATGCTAACGCTCAAGGTGGATATTTTGAAGACGCATTCCACGCCGCCTCATTCAACGGCCATAGTAAGGTGGTGCAATTGCTGCTGGATCGATGTGCCAATGCCTACACCCAAGGTGGATAGTTTCACGATGCAATCCAAGTACTGTAAGTCGCCGGGATTCAGGGTCACAGGAAGGTGGTGCACATGCTTCTAGGTCGGAGTTTCGACATCAATCGAAGATAGAAGATCCAGCACTCGGTGGATAAGACCTGGCTAGTTGAATCTACTCTCAAATTATGTTGAACGGTCAAGGCGCATCGCCTAATTCCATATATCATATGTGAGGAGTTCTACTCACCTAGCCGCTGCTCCATGTAAGCGGTGTGGGTGTGGGCTACGGTATTTGAGGATCCACATCTTTTAGAGGGGCCGCGAAAGGAGCAAAAATCCTTTGTTTTGCTTGTTTGCAGGATCGACGTTCTAGAAGCCCCTGGAGAGATACAGGTCTAATACAGAGCTAATTTTACGCCAGTATTTACAGCTGTATTGGATTATCTACAGTTGTCGCTCATATTTCGGAAGATCTAACACTACAATACCATTTTGAACCGGAAGTCAGCCCTATAGGCAATACGCGAGTTTTGCAGGCAACCAAAGCCTTGCGCGGCGCTTTAGAAAACTCTCGAGTCTAGGAAGCACGAGCCGAACAAGAGTGGAAACGTCAATGGAATGTTCCACGGATCTGGAATCCTACCACGCGGTGGATTTAACGCCGAAAAGTTCATAGTTGCTGTACCACTTTGAATGCAGTTTCCAAGCGTGATGTAAAGTTCTCATCAATACAGTATCATCCAAGGTCAAACGAAACTAGTGATCCATTGACTAGTAGCCTTTATAGTAATATCTATGTTGCGTTACATATAGCCAGCCACCTGTCCCCTTAGGCACCTATCAAACCCGAATCGACAAGCACGTCTTGTCTTGCGCTCGTTGGCCAAATGCAAGATCTTAGGTTGTAATTACCAATAACCTAGTTCATAGTTATGCTTTCCAGATTTTGCGACTTAAATGTTAGTTAGTCAACAAGGAAAGCTCTGGATGATACATGTATCTGTTTGGAAAACAAATAATAGATTTACTATATAGGAGATCGATAAATAGGTCACACGGTTCTTTGTTTCCCACGTCGACCAATAAGTTACACATCTATGATTGTTAATATGTCTTTTCCCTATGGCACGTGCAGCGCCTTCCGACCGTTCCTTGTCCGAAAAACAATACAACCCGAACTGAACCCGGCTACCGATTTACCTTCACAGTCTAGGAGTTCGTCATATACATATCAGTACAGCAGGCTTGAATAATGATAGCGGAAAGTACAGCACCGATGGATTTTGCTATTTGCTAGCTCTCTATTGTCTCCAAAACCATGAATCGGCTTTCTTCCATCTGTTCGTCGGACTTTCAAGGCCTAGATTGGCCGCCGCGACACGGTAGAATGAGACATACTCTGACATTTTTGTGAGACCAGGAGAACAATTCGTACTGGGGTTGAAGTGTTTGCATCAGGCATATGGTGCATGTATAATGGGGACTTCTTCATTACTCACGTCTTCTCACGACGTGAGCTAGGTCCGATTATTCGCATCAACCAAAGCTAACTATAGACGATAGCTGTGCAGATTAATTGTAGCGACTTGTGGTATATGGCTGCTTGATCACAGGTGAGCGGAAGATTCGCACTGCCTTCTGGCTCTTCTACATAACTGTCCACGTCTATTCGTGCTTAAGCAAGGCATGATTTATCTTTGTCTCTCTGTGACCACATACCACCTCCATGACATTGACTTAGTAAATCACTCTATTACCTACCAGTGTTGGTTTTTTACATAACACAACAAAGGTTCTCTCTCTCGGATCTCTCATTTCGTCAAGTTTGCAGACCCTTTTACACATGACTATTGATGATGTGATCTGCCCCAACGATGAACTCGATCGCCTGCTCCGCGAGAGCCTGACGAAATGGTCATTTTATCTAGACCATGCGGATAAATCTACATTCTTTCCATCCGAAAGCCTAGATCTGAAGAATATGTTTGGTATCCCCGCATTTTCCCTGAATAACTTTCGATTAAAGTTTATCATCAACCATGGCAAGCTCCATGGTGGCAATTAGGGCCGCGTGTGATATTTCTACCTTTTTCCTCTGGTATAATATGTAGGACCGTCATGTAAAGGCCCTCTGCAAAGTGCAAGCGTGTCTGTGTCATGAGGCGCAGAAGCCAGTGCCATGCCAGAAACCTCCTTCGTGACCGAGGGGCCGGAAGGGCTGGTTGGAGGCTATCAAGGAGACAACGTTGCTATCAAAGTGGCCATGGGTATTCTGGTGGCAATAGTTCTCTATAATGCCGTCGAACTCAGCGTGCTTATCTTCCTTACTTTTCGTCGCTATCAGGGACTCTACTTTTGGTCTCTCACGTTATCTACAACCTTGGGGCTTATTCCCAGTGGCCTGGGCAACCTGTTGCATTTCTTCAATATCGGTCCTCTATGGCTGTCACTGAGCCTCTCCAATTTCGGATTCTACTTTATGGTCCCTGGACAGTCCTTTGTGCTCTACTCGCGACTCCACTTGGTCCTTTACAACCAACGAGTCCTACGATTCATCCTTTGTGTGATTGTTGTTAACACCCTGCTCATCGCCGTTCCCACCTCTGTCACCACTTTCGGAACTGCATTCGTGCGAACACCCACCTGGAACAATGCTTATACGGTTGTTGAGCGGTTGCAGGTGATCTGGTTTTGCGTTCAAGAATTCCTGATATCTTTTCTCTACATTCATGAGACCGTCAAACTATTACAGCTAAACCCAAACGACACTCGCCGGAAGACCATCATGTACGAACTGATTGCAATAAACATCCTCATTATCCTCATGGACGTTGCGATTGTGACGGTCGAGTTCCTTGGTCTCTACTACCTACAGGTCCTTTTAAAATCCGCTATCTACAGCATTAAGCTCAAACTCGAATTTGCTGTCCTTGGGAGATTGACGGCGATCGTGGATACGTCTCGCCCGAACTTTTCAGGGAGCGGTAGTGACTACGTTTTAGGCCAGGCCTACCCAGCTCCACAATATGCAATTGAATCGTCCACAGAAACCTCAGAGGGAAACAGAGCAACTCTTTCGCCGACCCACACCCGCAGGTAAGTGGAGTTCCGTCAAGCACCTGAGCTTCTATTAAGCTGAGAAATCTAGGAAAATGAAGCAGCCCATGTCCAACATCAATGCGTGAATATCGGAGCCCTTTCTTCCTGGATTAACAGCTCTACGGCCTTTGCAGTCTTTGATTCAGGCTGTGTTGTTAGGTTACGGTGGGGAAGCAAAGTTTGGAAGCGTTCCTGTCGGCGGTGGGCAATAGATGACAACTCGACACATATCATCCACAGACTATCACTCAACGAGATTCCTTCCCTGGGAACTGGATCATGGCACGAGATCCCAATTCTCCTCTTGGTCCGGGAAGAAAAGCCTTTCTGCGTGCTAGACAGAATACGGCGATATAGTTTCCTCTCTAGTGCCTATACTCCCTTCTATAAACAAGGCACGTAAAATCGCCTACGACGAGGATCTTATCAGTCCGTTTAGTATACGCTACGTAACAATAGTAGATATCGAACTATGTTAATAGTAGTAATAAGCACACTCCTAGAGTGGTTTACCGGATGGTTTTCCGGTACATATTCCCCGCTAAGTTCCTTCGTGTATATATTCTACATATATGCACATTTTTAACTATCGTGCTAGCTAGCTATTTATCGGTGACTGTCGATAATAACGGAGAGACAATCATTACGTGAAGGAATCCGGATTTTAGGTCCTTTATGATTTAGTATCGTGCATAATCTAGTTTTTCAAAGATAGTAGCATTAAGTAAATTTGGTTGTTGTTAGAAGCCGAAGACCTTCAAGCATCAATGCGAATGAATGTCTTGTATTCTCCCTCCTTCAAAACCTCGCCAGTCTCCTGGTCCACGCTGCTGGGGCCTAACAGGCGGAGCTGCCACATCGGGCCCCCACTAGTACCGGGTATATTTTTCTGCTGCTGGACACCCCAGCTGGTAACATTGTGGGCACCAAGGAAAATACCATCCTGCTTGGTGCCGTCAATATAATGATAATACGCATCAATCACCTCACTCTCATCCTCAGCTAGACCCCACTGGAGTAGAGCATCCGCAGGGTTGCTGGTGATATTGATAGGCAAATATTCACTCGCGTTATCGTAGAAAACCATGGCTTCAAATCCAATTCCAATGTTACAGATGAGGTATGACATTGCATCATATTGCTGGTTGACGATACTGACCTGGAAGGCTTCTGTTAGCATTTTCCGAAGTCCTATTGGTTTGTATTGAGTCACGGGAAGCCCTACAAAACCTCTCTTTGCCTCGGGCTGACCATCCACAGTGATAGTTCGAGCCACATTACGATATCCCTCGATAGTGCATGCATTGTCGGCGGCGGTCGTGTTCACGCATTGATCCACGACGATATTCCAGGGGCCCGCAAATCCAGAGTTGGGACCGGTCTGTTGGACATTTGGTAGGCTGGCACATCCGTACGGAACGGGGACAGGGGTGAGCTCCGCGGCGTGGGCAGTCGCTAGAAGGGAGAGACCAGCGAAAAGAAGCGCCATTATGGATGCTCAAATAAGAAAGAAAAACGAGCTATGGGCAACCCGCTATGAGGTTGTATTGTCTTGAATAATAATATTCAAAGCGCCCCATCTCCCTATTTATACGTGCACAAAAACCTAGCCCACGGCAGGAGGGAGGGGGTAGGCTTCTAACCGGGATCGCTGCAGACTCCATCTAGATACGACCCCAAATCCTTCGCCCCCAAAGTCGCCGCAAACTAATTGCGCTGGGTTACATACGCTAAAATTTGCTTGAGCTACGCCTGAAACCGAGGCCTATTACAACGAAGATTAGCCCCACATGATACTCCACACTCAGTCAAAACAATATTGCACGAGTCAGACACGGAGGGATGAGGCTGATTTGATTAAAAGGCAAGGTATTGGGTAGAACACTAACAATGAAGTTGATACTTCACCGTACGGCCACTGCTACCAAGTACTGACTTTGCTTTTGATGGGACCCTGTGATCCTCCCTGGTGTGGCAGTTTCTTGGCTCATAATTAACCCCAAAGAGGACAGGGCATTGTGAACTGCCCTGTCAACCTACCCATAACCGCCTCATGAGTCTTACGTCAGGTCATATTCCGATACTCCAGACTGTACTTTTTTTAAAAATCAGGCAATGACAAATTTTACTGATATAATACTTCGGCCAGATTAGGCGTCCCATAGGTGACATTGACAGTTTGGCCTACAAGTTACCCGGTGAGATACCAGCGAGCTCATGGGAAAGCCATTTCAGGCACGGTCCAATCTCCTTGTCCCAGGGTAGCTCTAAACAGTGTCGTTCGCAGGTCAGGTATACTTTCACCCTATACTACAAAATCCTCAGTGAGCAGGACCCTAAGCACCCTTACAAGCAATGGCAACCCAATCAGGTAAGTTGCGGCCGCGGCCTAAATTCCGGTTTCTCTCGCTGCCCTATTGATACCCTTTGCTACCGTTAACTTCGAACCTTATAAAGGATTTCTACCGCTCAAGGCGTATTACTATTTTTTCCTACTAAATCCAACCAAAGATAGCAGCTATATAAACAAAGTCGACGATATGTGATACAAGGTTTCTTGGTCATAGGCGAGGGCCGACTATCACCGGAGCCTCACAAACTTAGGTGCGGTATTCTCGCCGTGATTCTTCTCCCAGGAGCAAATTGCATTTTTCCTGGGAACTAAGTTCTAAATCCAGGGGAATATAATTTTTTATCCAATCCTAGTAATGTATCTTCGGGAAATGCCGCTACTTCACAATTTGCGCTGATCGATCGACTCAGCCTCTTGTCCCCGCACAAAGAGCGAGGCGCAGTACCTGAGTCTGGACTCCGCACTCAGCTTTATATTTCAACATAACCTGCCAAGGATAAAATATGCAGAGGAAACTGATATTGTTGCCTAGGGCTATTGGAACCAACCCGAGGGCCGAACTCCGATCCCTGCAACGCTATGTAATGTCGCGGCTTATCATGATAACAACGCCGCTATTTATTTTACGTGCTTGCTTCCTTCCAGTCTCACAGCTTCACCAATTCCTGCAATGTGGAAAATTTGGAGTGCGCTATTAGGCGTGAGCTATGCCTCACAAACGGTCCTACGCGGGCCATCAGCATCGGACTTCACCACCTTCCAAAGCCCAAATTCACCTCATTCAATACGCATCCGGCAACAAAATGAGACAATCTGTGCCACAGACTCAATGCAGTATACAGGCTGGCTAGATATTGGACATAAGCACCTATTCTTCTGGTACTTTGACAGCCAGAATGATCCCGTCAACGATCCATTAACACTATGGATGAACGGTGGACCCGGTGCCTCCAGTATGCTCGGCCTATTCCAAGAGATTGGTCCTTGTTTGATAAATGAGCATGGCAATGGAACCGTTCGCAATCCATGGGCCTGGAACCGAAACTCGTCTTTGCTTTTTGTTGATCAGCCGGCCGGTGTTGGCTTCTCTTATGTTGATGAGGGCTACGACATCCCGCACGATTCTAAGGAGGCGGCTGTTGATATGCATCATTTCCTTCAAATCTTCATTTCTGAGATATTCCCTGATAAGCTGTCTTTGGATGTTCACCTCTCTGGAGAGTCCTATGCTGTGAGAATTGATTCTACACTGGTTTGGTATCCGACTAACCGACTACGTAGGGCAAATACATTCCCTATCTCGGGGCTGAGATCTTGACTCAAAACGAACGATATCCTCAGGAGACCCAAGTCAATCTCAAGTCATGCCTAGTAGGCAATGGTTTCATGTCTCCTAAGGACACATTCTACGGCTACTGGGAAACACTTTGCACTACTAACCCCGGTGTTTCAATGCCCGTATTCAATAAGACCCGATGCGATATCATGGCGACTAGTATGCCTCGGTGCATGGACGTCGCTGATACATGCATCCGCAGTCCCGACACTGATATTTGCAACACCGCTAGCTCTGTTTGTATGGACGGCGTGACTTCTTGGTATGAGAATGAGAGCGGGAAAGGAGGTCGCAACCGCTTCGATAGTAAGGAAAATTCTACAACATGCATATGCCATTTTTAAAGTGTAACTGACGCAAAGTTCTATAGTCACGGGGTTGTGTGTAGTCGATAACTTTTGCTATAAGAAGACAGAGCACATCGAGCAATATCTTAATTCACCTACTGCTTGGAATGCTCTCTCGCCACCGCATGAGATCAAGGAGTATAAAATCGAATCTGATGCCGTTATAAAAGCGTTTTGGACTACACCAGAGGGCATGACTTGCGCGTCTGATGCTGTGCTATTCCTCCTTTCTCGTGGAGTACATTTCTTGGCTTATCAAGGAAATCTCGATCTGGCTTGTAACACAGCTGGATGCCATCGATGGGCGAATTCGCTTTCCTGGAAAGGTCAAGTTGAGTTTTCAGCGAAGTCACTGCAGCCTTGGATTTCGAAGGTGGATGGTCGCGATGAGGTGGTCGGCACGACTAAAGAAGTCCGGGTACAATTTGATGGTCATTCAAAAGTTGCATCACGGTTTGCTTTGGTGACAGTTGACGGGGCGGGTCATCTAGTAAGTGCTTGCTCAATATGCGTGGAACTGGTTAGGTGCTAATTGACATTTCGTGACAGCTGCCCCAAGATCGCCCAGATGTCGCGTTTGATATACTAACACGGTGGATTACGGGTGTTCCTTTCGTTGGCTCTTAAGTCCCTTTCGAAGGTGCTACTGTGTAAATACCTTTTGTCTGAAGCAAATAGTAATTCCCAATGAACATAAGTCACCTACAAAAACATGTCCAAAACGACATCCTTCCTTTTTGATATCAGGATCAGATATCCGACGTGGCTGTCCAGAAACCATTCAAAGCGTTGAGCATGTCCATCAAAAGCAAGATTGTCCCACCCAACCACGACTACTCGAAACAACATGCAACTTCTTAGTCTGATACTCATAACTCTCCAATAACCGTTTAATCTCAGGAAACCGATACCCAGCCTCAGAAGCATAATCCAACGGCGCCCTGCGCTGATAAACTCTCCCATTAACATCCGCCCCATAAACAAGCAACAACTCAACAATCTCCACATGCCCATTTATCGTCGCTGGTACAAGCGGCGTTGTATATCGAGTAGCAGAAGAACAAGCCCCAAACGGCGGTTCAATAGGCGACCCGTACCGAATCAGAGAACGGGCAAGTTGAGTAATACCAGCCTGCGCAACTTCATAGATAGGCACGTATTTTGTCTTTTCGTGTAGGTTGCGGGCCTTGGCGCCACTTGCAAGTAGCAGTTCTGCTATAGCAATGTAGTTGTTTGATGAGGGGTGCGGCCATGCTTCGCACGCTGCATGTACCGCGTCCACTAGGAATACGCCTAGGTGTTCCCTTCGCGACCTGTAGATTCCGTTGGTGGTTGCATCAATTGCTTTGCGAGCTACTCCTAGGTTCCCGTGCTGCATGGCCCAGTCTAGTGCGTCGCCCCAGTTGTAGCGGGCGTTGTATTTGTAGAGGTTTTTCTCCAGGAGGGCGTGGAGGGTTTTGTTTACTTGAGTGAATGCTGATAGGGTTGTTTGGTTCATACTTTTTGATATCAGTATGAGGAGTTCATTGGGGAGCGCTGTTAGGCTTGGTTTTGAGGGCGTTGTGGTGGATAGGAATTGTTGGGTGAGTTTTAATAGCTTTGCGTTTGAAATTGCTTGTCTAGGGCATTGGTGTGGAGTGGTATTGTACTTTCCAAGGACGGGAGGATGCTTCATGGCTTCGGATGATAGTATGAGAAGATCTTGATGACCAGTCAGCGAGTATTGAAGAGGCTTGATGGGCATTGTTCCTCACGCTAGGGGAGCAGACGTTCAAAGAATATTTCTGGTTGATTGTAAGGTGACTGCCGGATGAAAGATCGATATCAACAATGATGGCTGGAATGTAGTCAGGGAGGTGGAAAGTGAGGTATAGAAAGAACCAAGTGGAGGGAGCAACGACCTGCTGGAGATATGCTTTTTTTTAAGTGAGTCATTCTAACATTATATATGCCGCGTGGTCATTCCAGGGAACGACGCCGATATTCTATACATGGCAGATGCAGGATAAGAGTTCAAATCCAACCTTGGTAGGCTCCACTTTTTATTATTGTTGCTTGTCTGCGTTACAAGGCCTCGTTTCAACCTTCAACCAAACAGAAATGTGTCAAGTACAAATGAATCTCAATTGAATTAGCTACCATTAGACTCCACGCCATGCAAATAACGAAGGATCGTAAAACCCAGGGTATAATACATCCCTCACAAACCAAAGTTCTCAACATGCAAGTAGATCCCCTGCGCACCAGTTCCCTTATGAACAGCCCGCTCATCGCTAAGAGAGACGACACTGCGGCGCACATCATCTGCCAGTCCTCGGGGTCCGCACACAACGACGGCACTTTCGCCTTCGGCCTTTTCCAAGACCTTTCGGATGATAGTACGTGGCGTGGGACGGCCGGAGACAATTGTCGGATGGATGATTAACTTCATAGGGCCATTAGATGCAATGGACTGCGTATCTGCTGTTTTGGGACCTGAGGTGACGTTCTCGGATTGAACAGGGGGTGGTCCGGCGCAGGTACAGCTACAGTTGGTGATCTCGTCTTCGTTTTCGATTTGGGTGGTGCAGCAGCATCCTCCGCCGGGGAGACAACCGGTTCCTGTGGGTTTGGGATTTTGGTTTGACGCTGACTGGCTGGAGACGGAGTGGATGGAGACGTGATCCACTCCAGAGCCCTTCTTTTCGTCGAAGATTGATATATCTTGAGCGACACTCTGCGCTGGCAGCGAAGAAGTTGCCGAAGCAATGGTAGGTGGATCCAGCTTCTCATCACAGGTAATGTAAATACTCACTTCGAGCTCTTTCTCAAAGTGTGGCTGTGTCCGCCGACACTCTTCCACATCTGCTAACAGAGACTGTAGCTGGGAGTCAAAGTAAGACAGCTGAGCACGCGATTTGATTACCCAGATAAACCGTAATCGCTTGGTGGCAGCCAGTCGCGGAGTAGGATTTGAAGTCTGTTCAATGTTCTCGTTTTTCCAGGCAGAGACAACGTCCCGTAGTAGCGGCATCGTGAATGTCGCGCCCATTCCACCCGCTAGCAGGATGACGCTGTCAAATTGACGCAAGGGGCGCATGCTTCCGTAAGGTCCTTCAACGAAAATTGTTCGTCCGCGCGGAGCTACCTCACCACTTCCCAGCACGCTACCATTCTTTGATGCAAATCGGAAGAATCGCCTTGTTCCTCCGTTCTCTGCACGGATGAAGAACTCCATCTTGTTGTCTTCCGGTATGGAAGCGATGGTAAATGGGTGGCATTGTAATGGAACGATGGAGTGACAGGTGAGGAAAACGTGCTGACCAGGTTGCCATCCAATACCAGGATTCTCAATAGTCACACGAGTGACGTTTCCTGGCAGCGGAGTGAAAGACGCAGAGTGCGCCCAGAGAGCATTTGCATTTTTCTTCCGGTGGAAAATGGCCAGATTGGCATACGCGCCCCAGGTATAGCGGGCGACGCGATCAAAAACCACCAGGCCGATCGGCACCCACACCCAGGTCTTGACCTCGGAAGGTGCATGCATCCATACAGCAACAATAAACCCGACGAAGGTTACCAAATGTTGGATAACGAAGAATTCGTGACTGAGGCGACGAACAGGGGCGAAAGAACTGATGACGATGAAGGTGAGAATGATCCAAGCGGCGAATCCACGCTTTGTCAAAGGATCATTCTTAAGCTGGTACAGGATATAATGCCAGCGGTCCCAGTCACGGAACCAGAATCCCATATGGATGGTAGCCGTCAGCCATAGCGTCCGTGAGATCCAGCGGTGGTACCAGTTGAGACTGGCGTAACTCATTCCAACCAAAAAGCCAATGATGTTCTGTCTACCCGCCAGCAGGAAGATCAACGGTAATTGGCAAATGGCAATGAAGCCTGTGCGATAGCCGACATTTTCCCATTTCCAGGGATCAAGCGTGTCCAGTTTGTAGAAGCACAAGACCATGACTGTAATCAGGTTGGCCAGCATGATGAGGACCGGGCCCAGTGGCGGGAAATGGAGAGTGAATCCTCCCATTTTGAGAGGGTGTGGAGTTGCATAGCTGACCTCACGCACTGTTGCTGTGATAGTAGCATAGAGGTTGAAGAAAAGTGATTTTGGTTTGGCGGGGGTGAGCGAGGAATCTCGCAAACTGCCGTATGTTAGATTGGATCATTGACTTGGTGTGGCTGTACAAACCGATGCTGAGCAACGATACGGTTCAGCACGTTGACTAAGGTTGCTGCGCCGATAGCACTCCCCACGACAGCCCAGTACATCTTCTGTAGTGTGAATAGACTGGGGACTCCATCTCCCATAGACATGGAGCCCGCGGGCATATCACCCATTGACATCGACATAATCACTAGAGAGGGTCATAGATGTAGAGAGGAAGATCTCGGAATCAAAGTAGATACACAACCCAAGAGTAACTTAATTGTCCGATTAGCAATAACTTGCTCATCTCAACGTGGGTATGGGTGGGTCCACTGTGGGTCGGACCCACAGTGGAACTTGCTCTAGCGTCCCAAAGCGTCACATTCCTGACATTGGCGACTTCATGTTTTCTCTGTTCCGCTATCTCAACTTCCTCAACTACCTCTCAATTCACCATGGACGGAATGGACATGGGTAGCAGCACCAGCTCAAGCTCCGGCAGCATGAGCACTTCGATGACCATGACCTTCAAAAACTCCCACAACACACCACTCTTTTCTAATGCCTGGACACCGTCATCTTCCGGAGCCTTTGCAGGAACATGTATCTTCCTGATTGTCCTCGCCGTCATTGATCGCTGTCTCATCGCGTTCAAGGCTGTCATGGAACGACACTGGCTCGCCGCTCACCTCAACCGTCGCTATGTGACTGTGGCCGGCAAGAGCACTGAGGCTGGCAATATCGATGCTGATCCAGATGCGAAGATCGCATCGCTTGTTACTGCGCAGGGTGTCGAGGAGTCTGTGAGAGTCGTGCACAACCTCCCTCGTGGTCCGATTCCCTGGCGCTTCAGCGTTGACTTGCCGCGGGCGTTGCTCTTTATGTGCATTGCGGGGGTATCCTATCTACTGTACGTGTTCCGTTCTGCTCTACTTTATGAATTGATGCTAATATCCTCTCTAGCATGTTGGCGGTCATGACCTTGAACATCGGCTACTTCTGCTCGGTAATTGCGGGTGCTTTCCTCGGAGAACTGGCGGTCGGACGCTTCATTCACTGGCCTGAGCACGGGCACTGATTACCTTGACGATTTATTTGGTTTGGTTTAATTAGCATCTTTATTGTTTTCTACGCATAGAAGGGTGCATCTGTTTGGCGTTGGGGGGTAATTTCTTGGGATATCTTACAATTTGACTCTACTCGCTTCTCAACTACCACTCTTTTTCGCGTTGCATTCGGTTATATTCGCTCAATGCTTGATTCTGGTTATGATCGCATATATTGCTCTTGAGAATATTTGAGCGAATTTCTAACCGGGTTGGGACTAGTGTCTCGGGTGTGGCCCACTTCCCGCGCTAGTTATCCGCGCTATCCGTATTGGGCAACTCTTCAATCTCTACGCCAAAAGGGTAGGTACATGCCGTGCCACATGGATAATCTTCTAGAATGTCCAGTGACACAAGCTGTACTGTTGCAACTTTGCAATGATAGGTATAAGACAATAAAGGCAAATAGAGAAATAAAGCAGAAAAGAGACCGAAAGCGGGAGTGCAGCGAAATGTGCTCAATAAGCCTCTGACCAAGGGCTGAAAGGGTCTGGATAGCCGATGTCATTTCCGTCCTTTAAGCAGTGGACCCTGTCTAGTTCCGGCATCTTATACAAAAGCATCAGAGTTCTCATTTCTCTACTTTCTACCTCTACGTTTCCCTCTCCGTCTTCAACTCCTTCTCTCATCTTCTTCCAACTCCCATCAAAATGAAGTTCTCACTCCTCACTCTCGCGTCCGTCGTGCCAATGGCCGCGGCACACTTCAAGCTGATGTACCCCACTTCCCGTGGCTTCGACGAGGACACCATGCCCAACTTCCCCTGCGGTGGCATGAGCCAATCCTCCAACCGCACCAAGCTCCCATTGAGCGGCGGCTCATTCCCCGTTGCTTTGGAGATGCACCACGCTCAGACTGCCGTCGAGGTCCTCCTGTCTCTCGGCAGCGACCCCGGTGATAACTACAACATTGTCCTCGCGCCTACTTTCCAGGTCGTCGGATTGGGCGAGTTCTGTCTGCCTCACGTTGCTATCACTGAGAAGCTCATTGGCCGCAATCTTACCGATGGCATGAATGCTACTCTTCAAGTTCAGAGTAATGGTGATCCTTCAGGTGGTCTTTATGCTGTATGTTCTCTTTTCTTGTTTCGCAACTCCGGTAGATATTAATACGTTTCCGTATAGTGCGCCGATATCCAATTCTCCGCCGATGTCACTTACGAGAAGCCCTCTGCTTGCAGCAACAACACCAACCTTGCCGCCACTGCCTTCCCTGCTTCTTCTGCTGCCCGCAATGCCAATGAGTCTACTTCTGAGGGTCAGGCGCAGAGTGGTTCTGCTTCTACTACTGCTACTACTACTACCTCTACCTCCAAGGGTGCTGCTGTACCTCTGCAGACTGCTGCTTGGGGTGTGCTCGGTGCCGCTCTTATCGGGGGCATGGCAGTGCTGTAAAAATTGAATTTTTCTGATTTTTCTTGTCTCTTTGCTTTGTTGGAGTTAAGCGATGGATGCATAAGCATGATTAATGATATCTTTGCATTTACTAGCTTTCTACTCAATTCTATCACTTTTGCTTCTCTGAATGAATCATCTTAATTGCTCACTTTTGTTTCTTTTATCTGCAATAAAATGACTATTAAACTGTTGTGCTTTAGCTCGGCCCCGGCTCTACCGGTATATATAACGTCACGTGTGCGGGTAGCTTCGCAGGCAACCGAGAAAATAAATTAGGCGTGTTTATTTGTCGACAGGACCTACGAGGAATTGTTTCAGACGTTTTTGTTTCACAGTCATGGATGAATTTGAAAGATTGCGTCCAGTCGGTAAGTCGGAAATGGTTCCGAAGATACACAGCTGAACCTGGTCCACTAACACGAGTCAGGTCGATTGGAGCAATATTCAACTGCCCGTCATCAAGTCGGGTTCTATTTGAATGTTGCAGTATCAGCAACATACAACCTCCCAGACTCATTCACATCCCCTATCAAGGACTATGTGTACCAAGCATGCGAAGCCGCAATTGCGGAGCACCCGTCATTGTCCGCCATCGTGGCTGACGATCACACCCAAGACCCGTACTTTGTACGACTACCTCAGATTGACTTAGACCAAGTTGTATCTTTTCAAGACCGCCAGCCTGGTCTGCTAGGCACAGAAGCTAATGGCGAACCAACCCCGGATCTGGACCTACAAACCCTTCTAGCAACGCAGCACAACTTGCCTTTCAAGGCGCCGGATCCGTTGTGGAGATTGTGTATCCTCCAAAATACAGAGAATAAACAGCAATTCACTGCTGCTTTTGTATACCACCATGCCATTGGTGATGGGACTTCCGGAAAGGCATTCCACCAAACTTTCCTGCGAGCACTAAGCACTGCTCCAGTAGATGAACCTAAATCGGTTATCTTGCCGCCGCAGATTCCTATGCTGCCTAATATCGAAACTATCCATTCAATGGCTCTCTCCCTCTGGTATCTTACCAAGAAAATCTTCCAGGCGAAGATCTACTCCCGAAGAGATCAGGGATTATGGACAGGCGCTAAGATCCGCAAACCAACCCAGACACGGCTGCGACTCGTTCCATTCTCGGAATCTATAGTAACGGCTTTGAGAGATATCTGCCGTCAGGAAAATACAACCATCACGGCATTCCTGCAGACACTGGTTGCCCGCTCGCTCTTCACACAGCTCCCAGTCGAATTCTCTAAGCTGAATTGCAGCGGCGCATTATCTTGTCGCCGCTGGCTGCCGGATAACATCACAGATGATTGCATGGGGGTCTGGGTCCAAGATTATGAGGAACAATATACCCGCGACGCAACGATCCCTTCATCTGACGATACATTCCCGTGGGCCGAAGCCCGACGATCTCGACACACGATACAGTCAGTCTTAAAAATGAAAGGCAAAGATGCTAGTATCAGTCTCCTGCAATTCGTCGATGATTACCAGCAGGAATTATGTTTGTCCAAGGTTGGCTTGGAGCGCGATAAGAGTTTCGAGGTTTCTAATGTTGGGGTTGTTCCTCCACAGACGGATCCTGATATGCCTGCTATCAAGGGAATGGTGTTTTCTCAATGTGCCAGTGTGATGGGTAATGCTCTTCAGGTGTCTGTTGTTACTGGCGGTGACGGATGTTTGGTGCTTGCTGTTTCTTGGCAGGAGGGGGTTGTTGAGGTGGATCTTGTTAATGCTTTTATTGAGTCTGCGAAAGATGAGGTATATCGTCTGACAGGGCGGGGCTGATTTAGCTCCATTATAAGAGTTATATAATGTTTAATGTTTGCTATAGAAGTGTGTATATGTCGATGTTGTTCCTCTGGCGGTGTAAACTAAGCGGTGAATTGGCGATAACACCATCGGCAGAATTGTGGGGGAATAACAGGTTCATCTTTCTCGTTTACTTTGAGGTTCTTGTTTCACATTCTATCCAAGATGGCTCCTCGTGCACCCTTCGTCGTTCCCGCGCTTAAGAAGCACACCTCCACGGTGATCATGGCCCACGGGTTGGGAGACAGGTACCTAAGGCGGTCCTCCCGCGAGATGATAGCGTTGACTGACTGTGTTTGAACATAGTGGTGCCGGATGGTATGTCTAAGAGTCAATGCAACAAATTGAAACAACCGCGATCAATCCTGACCCCGATTCTCGAACAGGATGGCTCTCGCCCAGAACTGGCGCCGCCGCGGCAAGTTCGACGAGACTGCTTTCATCTTCCCCAATGCCCCCGATATCCCAATCTCAGTGGTATGTGTGAGTCGCCACCTTGACGGACCCAATGGCTAATACTACGAAACTAGAACTTCGGCATGAGCATGCCCGGCTGGTACGACATCGTCAAGCTCGGCCGCGACGTAAGCCCATCCACGACCCTCCCACGTTACACCCACTGATATACTCTGGCTTTTCAGTTGGACTTTGAAGAATCCGTCCGCAGCCAAGACGAGCCAGGCATCCTCCGTTCCCGCGACTACTTCAACACCCTGATTAAGGAAGAGATGGACAAGGGCATCAAGGCATCGCGCATTATCCTGGGTGGATTCTCACAGGGTGGTGCCATGTCTGTATTCACCGGTCTGACCAGCCCGGAGAAGCTGGGTGGTGTCTTTGGTCTGTCTTGCTACCTGCTTCTCAGCGACCGGATCAAGAACTACCTGCCTGAAGAGTGGGCCAACAACAAGACGCCTTTCTTCCTTGGTCATGGTCTTGACGATGACATTGTTCCTTTCCAGTTTGGAAAGAAGTCTGCCGAAATCCTGAAGGAGATTGGGGTTGAGGATGTTTCCTTTAACCCCTACGGGTATGTTGGTTCTGGGTTTTGTTTGGGCTGCTTTACTAATTTGATTTTAGTGGTCTTGGTCACTCGGCTGATCCTTCGGAAATTGATGACTTGGAGAAGTTCCTTGAGAAGCATATTCCCGCTGAGGCTGATGGCCCTGCTGCTGGTTTATGACTTGATCAACCAGGGACCCGGCATGGGGCCAGTGGAAGTGGTCAATGGGGATCTGCCTTGATTATCGGGTTTACATTGCTACTTGCTGCAATCGCGTGGTCTAAATATCAGTCGAGACAGCAGAAGTACACAGAGAAGCAGCATTGAATGATACCAGTCTGATTTCGGCTTTTGATTTCCTATCGATGCATTTGAAGTATATCACTATGCCATGAAAGCCACTGACAATGAATAGCCCACCTTCCATCGTCCCAGAACACATCTCGCAACCAGTCACCCTCTACCCCCTCATAGCCTTCTTAATAGTCTCCTCAATAACCCGAACCATCTCCTCGGTATTTCGCATATCAAATGGAACCATATGCTTTGACCCATGATCATAGAAAGCCGCCTGGGCAGGCTCACACAATTCAAACAACCGCACACTCTCCCCATACAACGAATCCAACTTGCCAACAATATTCGCCGTGGGAATCTTAATCGGATACGTATCCGGCCGCGGCAGGATATGCTCCATCCCGGCACTATCCCATGGCGCCGCACCGCAAATGAACACCGCGGCGCGAAACAGCGGCGCGCTTCCTGGGTTCGTTTTGCTATGGTTGATTATCAGTGATGCGGCTAGCGCTGCGCCTTGGCTGAACCCCATTACAGCGTCGAAGGGGCCTTGTTCTGCCATGAATTGCAGCGTGTGTTCGTATGCTTCTTGGATTGATGAGCCTGGCGCTGTGTCGCCTCTATGGTAGTGGTTGTAGAAGGGGCCGTCGACTACACCTTCGAGTTCTGGGGGGGTTGTTAGGCTGGGTTGGTCTTGGTTTGGATGGGTGTTTTACCTTCTTCCACTTGGGCATCTTGTTTGCCGTTCATGAATTTGAATCGGTGGCCGTTCTTCTCGAGTTGTTGGCGTAGGCCTCCGGTTTGGATTTCGAAGATCTGTTGGTGGTTAGTTTGGATATCCGGGTGACTTGTATAGAGGGGTATGTACCTCGCTATTGGTGCTACCGCCGTGTAGACAGAGAAAGCGCATTTTGTGTTTTGTAGATGTGATGGGTGAAATGAAGTTGGTGTCACATCCAGGGAAACGGCGACTTTGAAGTGGCTTTGCTTATATTGCAAGCACAACGGGGTCGGAGAGGAAAGGGAAAAAAGAAAGAGGAATTGTCTCAGGACAGGTGGCTGGCTCTTTTATCGAGTAAATGCAGGGAGTCAGGCGCTACTCATGTATGCAGGCGGGGCAGGGCTGAATGACTCGGCAAGTTATATACAGAGGTATGATGTGCAGACATTCTATTGTTATATCTACACTTCTACCGAATGGCATGAACTTGACCAGTCCAATATAAAATGTTGATAAGATGGCATTCTCCAGAACTTCTTCACTTCACCTTTAGGGCGGTAGACATCACATGTGACGGAATGATCCAACGATCTCGGCAGCTTAACCCTCGCATTCACCATGGGAACCTCAATCCCTCTCCCTCTTCCGCCCCTTAATCATGGATTTTCGTGATTTTGTAGCAGCAACACCCTTCGCAACCTACATCTTGCGTCATCCGCGCGAGGCTCTCTCGAGCTTCGGTCCGACCTTCAACGAGGCCACCTTTGGTCTGCTGGGGGCCTCCTTCAAGCCAGATCGCGACATCCGCAATCTCGATGGCAAGGTCGTCCTTGTCACCGGCGGTAACTTCCCCCTTGTATCTACAGCTTCACAGATGATTAACGCAATGGATCTCGCAGGCAACGCCGGTATAGGTAAGGAAACCATCCTCCAACTCGCCAAGCACCGCCCATCGCGAATCTACATGGCCGCCCGCACCGAAAGCAAAGCGCGTGAGTCAATCGAGTCCCTCCAAGGCCAGTTGTCTTCTCCAGCGGATATTCGCTACCTACCTCTCGACCTCTCCTCCTTCAAGTCGATCCGCGCCGCCGCAGAGATGTTCCAGGCCGATAGCGGTCGCTTGGATATACTCATCCTTAATGCGGGGACCATGGGGAACCCGCCTGTCAAGACGAAGGAGGGTTTCGAAATTCAGCTCGGTACGAATCATATCGGTCACTTCCTGTTGACTAAGTTGCTGTTGCCGACGCTCCAGAAAACCGTTGATCATGACCGCGCCAAGGGTGATACCCCCGATGTGCGGGTTGTAACTGTGGCCTCGGCGGCTCATGTGGTCGGGCCGTCGACGTTTGAGGAAATGACATCGACTCCTGGATTGTTGGCTAGCAGCACTTGGACCCGCTATGGAGCTTCCAAGTCGGCTAATATTTTGTTTGCGGCTGAGCTGGCCCGTCGGCATCCTGATATCTTGTCTGTTGCTGTGCATCCCGGCGCAGTTGATAGTGGACTTTATGGACACACCAAGGATCTTAGTTGGATGATGAAGTACAGTGTGACTGTTACTGGCTCTATGTTCTTCCGGACTGTCACCACGGGTGCGCTTAATTCTCTCTGGGCGGCTGGTACACAGAAAGACAAGCTGGTCAACGGTGCTTACTACGCCCCCATTGGATATCGCTGCGGTGGCACTGCCTTTGTTCAGAATGCGGAGGTTGCTCGCAAGCTCTGGGATTGGACCGAGGCCCAGGTTTCCACGTACTACTAATGAATCTGTACACAACTACACATGTGCCATCTAACGCTGATATGACTTGCTTTTGTGAAATAACTATCTACCTGCAATCTACGTCTTTCAAACACGTTGCCATATATGCATCTATAATACGCAGGGATTCGGACGTGAATGGCGCCATGATTAGATCTCGGCCATACTCACCGGCTCCCATCCCTAACCCAGCAGCACATCCATACACTCTTCAGACCTTGATCCGCATCCAACACATCAGCATGGGCCGCATCGTGGTAACCGGTGGCTCGGGCAAAGCCGGCCAATTCATCATCGCCGAGCTCCTCTCTAACGGCCACACAGTTCTCAACCTAGACCTCAGCCCAATGGACCACCCAGAAATCTACACCCTGAAAACCGACCTAGCCGACAGCGGCCAACCCTTCAACGCCCTATCCGGCCAATGGTCCCTGCAAGAGCCCTTTCCAGAAGGCCTCCCCCAACGTCCAGACGCCGTAATCCACCTAGCCAGCTACGCACGCAACATGCTCGTGCCGGACAACGAGACATTCCGCTCAAACACACAGGGCACATGCAACATCATCGAAGCAGCCTGCAAGCTGGGCATCCGCAAGATCATCCTGGCAAGCAGCGTAACCGTCTATGGCGTCTCGTTCGCGACCCACGAGGATCTGGACGTCAACCCGACGGATACGTACGCCGTTGCGAAACTATGCAATGAGCACGCTGCGGCTTTGCCGCACGTTTTGGGGCTGGTATCTACAGTCTGCGGATTGGCCATGTTATCGAGTCTGATGAGTACAATGATCAGATCTTTTACAGCTATGTGCATGAGCCCAACCTGTGGAAGGTGCATGGATGGTCGTATGTTGATGCCCAGGGTCTTGCTGGTATGTGTGAGGCTGGGTTGAAGACTTCCGGTATGGGATTCCGGGGTTTCAATGCGACTAATGATCATATTACCAACCTGAGTCCGACGAGGGAGTTTTTGCAGGCTCAGTCGCCTGGTACGCCTTTTACTCGTGAGATGGAGGAGTCTGAGGCGCTGTTTTCGAATGTCAAGATTAAGCAGTTGTTGGACTTTGTTGAGAAACATCCTTGGCGGATATATTCATAAAATTGGGAGAAGAAGGTTGCTACGTGAAGCATGAAGAATGAGGCTATCCGTTTCCGTTTTGGGTATAGCTCGGGTTGTGCTGGATTGGAGATATAACGAGAATAAGATAGTCGGAGATGCGTAAAGAGAGTCGTATATGAGATATAGACATGCTCTTCTATTCTCTCTATCTATATCTATGATCCCCTGCCTCCCTGCTTCACCGCAGTGTCTTCTCTCTCCGTTAGGGTTTAGCCGAGTATATCCTCACATCCTCCACTTCACCCACAAACGCACTTCACAAAAAACAAAATCCTCCCCATCCAGAACAGATCCCTGTAATATCGTAAAACAGACAATTAGAACCGAGAGAAGTCATTGTTGTAGTCGTAAACTGCTCATCACTCCCCAGTCGCATTAGCGAAGCGATTTTGCCCAAACTCCCCACACAAAACTCTCGGAGCATCATCCATCGTTCCGCTTCCTCTTCCCATCTCCCCCTCTCACATCCACCTTTTATTACCGGTATGCTCACCATTCAACTTCATTGATTCATTGAATTCTTGTCTTTCGAATTCTGCTGTTCATCTCGGATTTATCGGCTAATACACCTCAGGCGATCACCCCTCACCCGACATCATGGATCAGGCAAAGTTGGCTAGAATGCAGGCGAGCGTGCGCATTGGTATGTTCTTCTTTCTTTGAAGGCTTTGGTAAGCTTGGAGATGCAAGCTGGAGTCTATATCAAGCTTCGATTGCGATTGCGTGGGAGCTTGATGGGCTTGGGCTTCATCGTCATTGCTTCCAGTCTATACCGGCATTGCTGGGTTTGAACGTGTGGGATCTGATAGCTAACTGCATCCTCGATAGGGTATGTATAAATTGCCTCTTTATTCAATACTCAAATACACTACAACAACTACACAACTCGATGGAATGGGATGGAATTGGAGATGGAATGAATTTTCGAAATGGAGTGACCGCTTGGATTCGAATACGATCGGCCGTCAGATGGATTCTCGGTTCCCTTGCGACCGACCTCTTCGTTCTTGAAATCGATGCGACCGATTATATACCGCGCTTGGGTTGGGGAATCCGGTCTGACGTCTGACAACTCGGGACTGGGCATCTTCTTTCGATTTCTCATCCTTGTTGCCAGACCCCACTTCCATTTCAACGAGACTCCGACCAACACATCCCACCATCCACTTTCACTATGCAACATGCACTATTTTCAGCTGTTCACGACTAACAACTCTACAGAGGCAAGGGTACTCCCCGCCGCAAGGTCAAGAAGGTCGTCCGCAACTCCGGCGCCGATGACAAGAAGCTCCAGGCCGCTCTCAAGAAGCTGAACGTCCAGCCCATCCAGGGCATTGAGGAGGTCAACATGTTCAAGGAGGACGGCAACGTCATCCACTTCGCCAACCCCCGTGGTAAGTGGAAGCTCCATTTCCAGTCCTGGCTCCAGCTCCAGCTTCAGCTGTGACATTCAAACCGCCCAGGAAATCCTGAACTAACCAACTTTTTCTTTTGTCGCAGTCCACGGCGCTGTCCCCTCCAACACCTTCGCCCTCTACGGCAACGGCGAGGAGAAGGAGCTCACCGAGCTCGTCCCCAACATCCTCAACCAGCTCGGCCCCGACTCCCTCGCTTCCCTGCGCAAGCTCGCCGAGAGCTACCAGAACATGCAGAAGCAGCAGGGCGATAAGAAGGACGACGAGGAGGATGATATCCCCGACCTTGTTGAGGGCGAGAACTTCGAGAACAAGGTTGAATAAATAGAACACGCCGAGTCTTTTTATCTTTAAAAACTATGGTCTATGATCACAATGAAATGTATTCACCTTCTTGTTGCTTTTTTCTTAGCTTTACAGTATACCTTATGGGCCCGTTTGGGTTGGGGATACTGAACTGTGAAGCTGGTGTATCTCGCTTTTAAGCTGTCTTGTCTTTCGGGTTCTTTGATTTATCACCATTGACATCTACGGTTTTGACTGTGATTCCTTATCCACCTATACCTGAGAATGACATGTTCAGGGTTTCATGAGTCTGTAGGATAGTCTCTGTACGATAGTCGCATATAAGACATAATGAATCGTCCTGTCGAGGGACTTGATGTGTAGTTAAACTAGAGTACAATGGTCATGTTTCTGCCAAGTGTGTGGACAGATTCATCCACAGATGTAGTCACCTCAAAGGCGTGAATCATGGACAGAGTGATGATCAGATTATGTAGTACTATTTCAGATATCTTCCTTCATGCCGCACAGATCAGTACCCAGGAATGCATCGATGGTGTACCAGAAACGCCAGTAGGTACCCGATTTGTCCCAGTCGAATGTGCCGTCGTCGCAGAGCTGTGGACCCTCGCCCACGATGTCGCCAGTGAACCAACTTAAGATGGGGATGGATCGGAGGACACGCTCTGTGAGGGTTGGCTGGGGAGGGAGGGCTTCGGCCAAGGGGCGCAGCTTGGTTCGTCGGACTGTGGGGATGTGCGTCATGAATTCGTGATCGGGGTTGGGTTCGGTAGAGGTGAGGGCAGCGGCAGAGGCACGGCGCTGGCGCATTGATGAGCTGTCGTTGGCCAAACTGCCGCTCGTTAAAGCGCCTGTCATGGAAGGGCCGGCTTCCGTGGGGCTTGTGGTCCAGCCGCCTGTATTCAACAAGGGTGTTGCGGTTGCGGAGGTCACTGTCGAGGAAGTGGCTGCGACTGTGTTATCTGTGATTGTGGTGGACTCGGGCGAATTTTCTTCTGGTACGTCCGGGACGCTGGAGAGATTGTTCATGGCAAAGGACCGGGGTAGGGTCATTCGATCCTGGTCCTTGCTAGAGCCGGATAGGAATGCGGTCGAATGTGAGGTGGTCAGGGTACGCGATCCCTTCTTGTGAATGCGATCGCCCGTCGCAGAGCCCACGGGGATGGGACTGTCTTCGGCCGGTCCATGGCCGCTGTACAGCTCACAGAACACGAGATGTCCATCGATCTCCTGCGGTGAATAGAAGCAGGCGCGGTCTGCAGACTGGCTCGAGTCGTAGGTGACCTTGATCCAGTGGTAGCCACCCGCGTAGCGCTTCGACTTGCGATTCGCGTCGGCGGATAGATTCGTGCGGATGACGACGTCGCCGCCGCTCAACATCTGAGAGTATGGTGTGGCGGATTTGGGATCACTGCGCGGATAGTCTTCACAAATTTGACCCTGGGAGATTTGCTCATATTTGTTGATAACCTTCCACTCGTTGTCCTTGTTTTTGTATCCGTAGAGTATGCACTCGGTTGCGACCTTCTCAGACAGTTTCCGTGCGTTGTCAAGACTGGATGACGATGATGACTTGGGTAAACCCTGTGTCTTCTCTACCTCCTGTTGCTGCATTGAGAATAACCGATCAAACTCGGCAACGTTGACATTCTCTCGTCTAGCCGCCGGTGTGCCAGTTCGTGTGCGCGATCGATCATTTTGGTATCGAGCGTTTCTTCGCTTGCCAAAGGGTCCTGATTCTTCTGCTGGTCGTCGAGGGTTGCGAGTTTCGCTAGAAATGGATCAGTCGGCTGTATGCAGATTGAAGCGCCAGAGCGAACTCAAAGCTGACGTACTCTTTGTAAACATAGCCCCAGGGCAAGAGGTTGCCCTTCTCGTCCCTAGCGCGCTCCTCCGGTGGGACGGAGTGATACTCCATGGCAGTCGCAGTCACAGGTCTGAAGGTTAGATGTGCAGTGAATAATGATCAAGGTAGAGCAGCAAAAATCCCCCAGGAGTTGATGTGGTGCGAAAGCAAATTGATCGAAGGAGGATACCAAACTTTTTGGTAAACAGTGGTTCGCCGGGATACGGTCACGTGTTTGCACAATGAACGCATTCACGTTTGATCAACTTCTATTCTTCTTATTCTTTTTTATTGACTCGAGATTGAGTGTGGTTGTTCTCAGTAAAGTTGGTTTATTCATGTTAGGTTCAGGCCCTCAAATTTTAAACCTAGCACTGGGTATCACAACTATATATTCTAGTCACCACTCAACCAACAGCTTTTCTTAAAACTTATGTCTGGTGTAGGAATGTGATGCTTCTAGTATCTCCTTCCAAGCCACATACCTCTGTAAAGTCCCCTACCTTCGCTCTGCGCTGATAGACATAGTCCACAAAGCGACCAAGGGGACAAGACTCCCCGGGACCGGACTTGCAGAATGGCAGTGGCATAATGCGATCGTTGATGTTAACTCGAACATAGGATTCGTCATTTCCTGATTGGCAAGACATTCGCTCAAGTGTGACCCTTGCGCCCATAGGTAAAATGGAAGAAGTGCGCCACATACGGTCTGCTACAACATGGGTCGTAGGAAGCTGTTCCTTATCAATCCCAAGGACCCCCAGTGCCGTGATGAATGGTGCTATGTCACCGTCATGGACACTAGGTATAAGTTTAGCATAGATTTCCACTTCATAGTACACCTTCACTTACAAGCTGAAGAACAGGCTTCCAGCCTCCGGGCCATCGCGAAGCAATCTGGTTGTTGCATTCAACCACAGCAATCCCATCGCACCAGAATAGGGATTGCCTGGTCCAGCACGGTAATAATGAATCAAATCACGGGCATACTCAAAGTATTGCCAGTCTTGCTCGGTAAATACCTCACACCATGGACTCGACCCTCGTGCCATTATTTCAAAGCCACACATCTCCTGCATGCCGTAGACTTCCGTGTTGGAAAGTCCTTTCAGGCCGAAGTTCCCTTCATGCATGAGTCGCTCCGCAATTGCAGGAATATAGCTTTCCTGGAACCGTGCAAGCATCTCTTGACCATTGTCATGGCCATGGATGGTGTCCTCGAGGTACTTGTAGCAAGTATCACCCGGGGTAAGAGTATCTGCACCACGCTCGAATGTTTCGGGTATGACCTGTAGCTCGGCCTTGCCAAATACTTCCCAATCCAGACCAAAGAATCCAGAGGCGAAATGGCGGGCTGTCTCGATGACACGGCCTGAGTCACTTGCCCATAGCCGTGTTTGAGTATTTTTAGGAATCAGATGTCCATATCGTGTCCGGAACCGGACGCCTGTTGTAAATGAACTTAACGTGCCAGCATATGGGCCTGTGCTGGTCAATTCGCCGAAGTCTTTGTCAGGGTCGCCTGTGATATAGGTCCAGTTTTGGAGAAATGCAAGGGAGCCATTGAGAGGAAGTCCAGTGTCTTGCACGCGCTTGAGAAAATCCAGATGCCCTATAATACCAACGTGTTAAGAGAAGGAGACATAAGTGATCGGTGGACTTACGGTTCCCAACAGCTCGCGTGGGATATCGTTCCCCATGTCGTGATATCTGTGACAATCAGTAAGCCGGTTTCTCTACCGAGAGGCTGAGAAGAAAAAGTCAGGGACACATGAAGGATATAAGCATACCATGTGCACCTGATCAATTGAGCAGCCTTCCGGGGTTTCAAGACTGGAGGCCGCTCCTTCGTGGATGTTCTCAACCCAGGGTCCATTACCTCCGAGGTGATAGAGAATGTTCCATTCCTTTCCTGAAGTCTGGGAGGTATCGGGCTGGGCAGATTGACAGGGGTTCAACCATGTTCTCCAGTTCCCATAGTAAGGTGTTACAGGCTTGTGTTTTCCGGATGGTGCGCTTGTTGCGATTCCAGGGACTGAAGACAGGGATGCGCGATTCCAGAATGTGAGGAGCAGGACGCCCGTTATTAAAGGAACCAGGACCTTTAGCAAAGTCTTAATGAATGGCATGATCTAAAGCCCATCGCAGAGCTAAAAGATCAGAGTGTGGACGGACGGAAAGTGACGGGCCCTTGCCAAGACTGATCGTCGTACTTGTATTTTCTTGCTTTCTTCAAAACTCCATTTCTACGCATTGATAGGTACAGATATGATATACACAGGCTTATTTTTCTCCGTCCATCTGTAACCTGGCCATCTGCCAGTATTTACCCCTAAGATGCATCAACTCGTCATGGGTGCCTTGCTCCACGATCCGTCCACCGTCAAAAACCAAGATTTTACTCGCATCAATGATTGTTTTCAGTCTATGTGCAACTGCAATCGTGGTTCGGTCTTTCATTGCGTGTTTGAGTGCTTCTTGGACCAGCTTTTCTGATGCAGTGTCCAGTGCAGAGGTTGCTTCGTCAAGCAAGCTGCAGAAACGTTAGTAAACATCCACACACATCATCGGACGGACTAACAGAATCTTTGGTCCCCACAGAATGGCTTTTGCAATTGCCATGCGCTGGCGCTGGCCCCCAGAAAGACTTGACCCGTTGGCCAAGACCGGGGAACTCAAGCCTTGCGGAAGGGAAAGCTGGCGCAAATATGATCAGCATGCTGGACTAGCAGCTGGAATCAAGTATCACTCACCACAAAATTAGCTAGTCCAACTCCTTGTAAAGCGACCAGGATGTCATCGTCGGAGATGACTCGTTCATCACTCTGCAGGCACTCGCGCATATCTTCACCAACCAGACAAGGATTCTGGTCAACCAGCGCCAGGTACTGTCGATAACCATCTAGATCATATTCCCCAATGGCTTTGTCGCTTAGAATGATATTTCCAGACTGGGCGGTATAAAAGCGCTCTACCAGATTGATCACTGAGCTTTTGCCGCTGCCAGTGGTCCCAACGAGGGCAATGAATGCCCCTGCCAGAACGTCGAAACTGACATCATCTAAGGCCATGTGGGATGGCCGAGTTGGATATTTGAACTTCACGCGCTGCAAAGCGAGCTCCTCGACCTTGCACGGCGCAGGTGTGGAGACGTCGTCCTGTTTCTTATTCGGAGATTGTGATTCATTGGGCTGCATCAAGCCCTCCAACTGGTTAGCAGCAGCATGTGCACCAGCAATGTCTGGAGCATGTGCAAAAAGAGCAGCGGCAGATTGAGAGCCCCACACATTTGCTGCAAAGCAGATGAAGAACTGTTGGATGCTGTACTCGCCAGTTGGGACCAGCCGCGTGCCACCGTACCAGAACACAAAAGCAATGCTCAGCACGCGAAGTAATGGAGTACATGCATACACGACCGCGGATATGACCCAATATCTGCCCTGGCTATCTCTTTGGCTCTCCCTTCGGAAGGTTTCCAGGATGTTCTTCTGCATGCCAAGGACGGTGACGGTTTTGATTGCTGCGAAGGCTTCATGTGCAACAGTTGCGGCATTGGTGTCTCGTTTGACATGCTTCTGTACCTGCGACACAGTATAGTACTGCAAGAAGCCAGAGAGCGTCATCAATGGTACTGCAGCTGTCGAGACAAGACCAAGCTCCCATCCAAATATGCATCCAACAATGATTCCTGTTGCAAGCATCACGATGCTTTCCGCTGCAAGGCCAAGTGATGTACCCGAGACACCTGTGACTTTACGTGTTCCGGATGAAAGAAAAGTCACTAATTGCGCTGTAGAATGACCTTTAGTCTCAAAAAAGGGCAGATCCTTCATTAGCAAACATCTGAACAAGCTTGATCGAGCTCGAAGATTCAACTGAGATGCCGTCATGGCAAAACAATAACCTCGTACGCAGTATATACCAAACACAACGATCCCGTGTATAAGATATACCAATGCCCAAAATCGCACAGTGTGACCACCGGTACTCAGGTCAGGGCTGATAATTGATATGACCCCGTTCCCGAAGAAGATTGCTTGGATTGGGTATGATATCCCTGCCATAATGCTGAAAATAATACCTGCAATGGTGTAGGGTAGCTCCGGCTTGTTGAGATGCCAAACATACTTGACGCTATTATTGGGTTGCAATGTTGACACTGGAGCATCCATTGGCGGCTCGACTCCATCAACATAGACGGAAACATCTTTCAGTTCTTCGACATCTTTTTCGTGGTAAGATAATTGACAAGTGAGATCTTCCACTGGTCGGTCATCTGAGCGGAGTGCTTGGTGTCTCACCAACTCTTGATACACTGTGGAAGCTTTCATCAACTCTGCATGTGAGCCTTGACCCAGAACATGTCCATCTTTTAGGACAATTATTGTATCGAAATTTTGAACAGTTGACAGTCGATGAGCAATTATCATAGTGGTTCGTCCTGTAGCGGCTTCGTTGAGAGCCTCTTGGACATCTTTTTCACTCTGACTGTCCAAAGCAGCAGTAGCCTCGTCCAAGAGTAAGATCGCTGGCTGCGAAACAATTGCACGTGCAATGGCAATCCTTTGCCTTTGTCCACCCGACAGACTTGACCCATTTGCCCCAATCACAGTGTCGTAACCATGGGGAAGTTCCATGATGAAGGAATGAATTTGGGCTTTCTCAGCAGCCTGAATAACCATACTTCGAACAGTAGTTTCGTCTGGCATCTGGTTTTCGGGTAAGAAAATTTCCCATACTTGGCTGCTTTAGCTTACCTCGTGAGCTACTGACAGCCCATGGGCAATATTGTCATGGATAGACGCATTGAACAAACTAACGTCTTGACCGACATACCCAATCTGGGACCTGAGCCACGAGACATTGATATTTTCAATTGGTTCGTCGTCCAGTGTGATAGTCCCATTAAATGGAAGGTACAATCGTTCCAAAATAGCAAAGACAGTGGATTTTCCAGACCCCGATGGTCCTACCAAGGCCACGGTGTGGCCTGGTGGAATAGTGAAGCTGGCATCTTCCAAGACCCTCCGCTCAGGCTGCAAAGGATAAGCAAAATTCACGTCTTCAAACCGAATTTCACCTCGCACTGAAACTGGCTTTATCCCCGTATCATTCATTGAGTTGATAGGCGAAACACGTTCAATGACTGAGAACACCCGACGGGCTGCTCCATTTGTCAGTGTGATATCGACAACAAAAGGCAACGCTTGGCACAACATCCCACCTGCGATTAACGCTGCATACATAATGACCAACGCTTCTGAAACGGTACAGAGCCCTTGATGGAAGAGTTTGTTCGCTTGCCAGAACTGGAGATGGAGCATCAGTGGAAATCCATAAGAAAAGGAAAGCGCATATCTATTCATACTCCCAATCCGTTTCCCCAATGCAAAGTCGTGAAGGAGCCTGCGACAATCACTCCGAAAATCAACCGTTCACGAAAGTCCAGTGCAGCTGGACGCTGTAGAGTATCAAAATATTTTCTGGAGTACCTTTCTTGGCTTCGGTAGGCAACGACATTCCTCATTGCGTTGAGCACTTCTTGTGCTAAATTATCGGCTTTGACGTATTGCGTCAAGCTTTTTTTCTGCGTGATGCTCAACCAGTAACCCATAGAACCTACCCACAGAATAAGAGCAAGAGGCTGTGAAATCATGATAGATGCAAATCTCTGGTTGTACATGAATGCAACAATGATGGCGGCCACGAAGCCGGATACCCCAGAGATGATGTAGCTCACCTTTTGCGAGATGCCTGCCTGGATCAATTGCATGTCTTGATCCATATACGAAGTGAGCTCGCCTGTTCCAAGTACATCAAAATAGGCGATGTTTTGTTGTAGAACAGAAGAGAGATATCTCTCTTGGAGTTCATGGGTGATCTTTTCTCCAACAACATCGAAACCCCATGTGCTGATCATGGTGGTAACAAAGGCTCCGATTGCTGAACTTGCATCAGCATATCGATCGAGTGTACTAAAATGACTGCTTACCGATATAAACCAATTGGAGTGTGAGGTGTTGGACTTGGTTTCGAGCATCTTGCGGCGCTTTCTCATGTCCATTGATGAATTCCTGTGCCATGGCCCCGAATATAATCGACACCAGGGGTATTGCTACACCGGCAATTACTGCGCAGCATGCTGATACCGATAGCACGAGTATCTGCCACCCGCTTGCGTAGCGGTAAAGGGAGAAGAAATTGGCGGTGCAGGACTCGATATGGATCTGTGACTTGATGACCTCTGCTGGGCTGGAGGTGCCATGAGCCGGTTGTAAGTCAACCAAGAGAATTTCCTGGCTTTCCATCTTCAATTCCGAACAACCATTCGCGAAGCGTATTCCAGTTTCGTCTGTTGGCGTATCAAATCTTCAAGAATGTACATACCACAGTCACGTGTACCAAAAACAACACAGTCGAACCTGTCTTATAGATCCGTCGACTTGCAGTTTATCGGCCATATTGAGCTAGGGGCATCACGCTAGTTGTCTTGTGCATAATTGGCATCTCTGATCAGATTCATCCATGGATGGACATCTCACGTCCTGACTCGTTTGTTACCTCTCTCTTCCCTCGGTCTGATTGTAAATTCACCTAAAGGCGTCCTCACCTGAGTGTACCATGTGTGTTGTTTTAAATACAGTTTATAATGTATGGAAATACCCCTGCGTATGTTTTTACCAAGTCTCGTGCCGTGGACCGGCTCAGGCTCACATTCTTGCCCAACTTCTTTCCATACTCCGGTTTCTCTGTATTTAAGAATCAACTTAACGTATCTGTGTACCTTGACGTTTGTACTAGGACAGAGAGGCCTGTCGCCCTGCAAAGCGATCTTATCAAACATTCAATATCCTTTGGGAACGATAGATTAGAAGAAAAACGCCAGAGGGAGAAATGTTCACTAAAGATGCTAAAACTACAACATAGTTTGTTTGCATCCCATCTCACATGGATCAATATGTCAGACTTGGATGAGATGTCACTGGAGGTAAGAGTGAAAAATACCTTGAGTACATAGCATAATCCACATTCTGTTGGGGACCTCTTCCTTACGTCTCCATCTTGATCAGTTCCATTAGCTGCGTGTGAATTGCCGGCCATGCCGCAGCTCGGGTCTTAAACAAAAGATGCCAGTCACCTGCAGCATCTTTTCCAATAATCCTCACAATGTTCCGAGTTGGGTAATTCTGGGAATACTCAATATCATTGATGTATGATGGTCTACCCAGGGCATGGGGCCTCTTGTTCAAAGGCACACCAGGAGAGACGACAGCAGCCGAAAAGTCTAGCTCAAAGTATCTAGCTTTGTGCTGGTTGGTAGCGGCCATGAAGAGCAGTTTCGAATCTCCAACGACGGGTGCTGCCTGCATAAAAGCGGCTCTTTGAAGGGCAGTCATGGCCTGAACTTGGTCCCTGGTTCTGTGCTCCAAAAGGGCCTTGCGATTCGTTGATGCCACGTAATCCAAGTTGGTATCTTTTCGAACTTTGCTCGCTGTAAGCAAGGTGTAGGAATAGAAGAAGCCATTGCTGATGAACCCTGCGGCCCCATGGGGGAAGCACTCCGGGAAAAGACTCCATATATTGAAGACATTCATCACCATGATCGTCCGATCGGGCGCCACTTTCAGTGCAGAAGTCAATGTCTTAACCCACCACGAGATAATCACATCACCCTCGCTGACGAATGGCATTTCTACTCCCTTAGGATCTGCGGCTGCCAGTTTCTCCAGCACTTTTGTTCTCATGCGGCCAACGCATCGTTTCGGCAAACGGATTGGATGTTCTTCGACGTTTCGGAACCAATACATTTCGAATAGGAGTCGAACGCCAAAGATGATCAAGCTGAACCCGGTCAAGAGGCGTCGGAAATTGCTATAATTCTTGCCAGATGCTTCCCTGCCCAGTTTGCGTAGGGGGTCAAGATCATAAGGCAAAAAAGCCGGTATATCACACTCACGACCGCGGAGGACAGCCAACCAAGCATTTAAGAAGTTTGTTCTTGAGATGGCGTCACTGAATGTATGCACATAGCTCAGGGTGAGGAGCGTTGTATCCTGGAAAAGGGTAACATGTATGTGAAGCTGCGGACGGTCGGTATAGATCCAGTCGGCCAGTTCTTTGGGGCTGTCTGGATGACGGACCAATGGAGCAAATGTTTCAGAAGACGGCGACAGGAAAGACTGGTCCTGGTTGGCCCCCGGCAGCTGGGAGCCCAGTGGGTGGTCCTGAATGCTCATGTCATATTTTGAAGTTGTGAAAACGAATCCTGGTCGTTCCTCGTCATATCTTACTGGTATATGATATTCGAGCTTTCCTTTGGCCTGGAGGATTTATTAGAGTTGAGATAAGTTTGTTGGTTGCGGTAGAATCATACGTTGAGTCGCAGACGAGCGCCTAATTGGCCCCAATCTCCAATTTCCATCAGCCTTGCCAGTGATGCCTCAAGATTTGAGACATCTAGGACGTCATCAAAACGCAGGGTAAAGTCATGGCAGATACTGCGTAGGTAGTGCAAGTCATCCCAATATCTCAAGGGAACAATCCGGTCGGTTGGCACTTTTGCTGGCGCTGTACGCCCGAATATCGAGAACAGACCCATAGACTAGGGTGTCAGAAATGAAAAATAAATCTTGGATTAGGGGCAAAAAAGGGTGAGGTTGTGCTTGCAATCATTTATGGTGAGCTTAAGGTAAACAAGGGGCGTGACATATAGCCCCCCTGCTCCGCTGTCCTAGGGTTTACTGGAAATTTACATAGTCTGGCTAAATCAAAGTCGTCTGTGGGATCAGATAGTTCTAGACAGTAGTGTGTCAATTCCAGGCGGTGTCTCACAACTTGTCTTTCCTTATGCAGCTGCATCTAGTGTTCCCTTACCTTTGGCACGCAATTGTCCTGTAGATCTTTACGTGAGTTTCAGATAGATCAAGAGACCGAGAATATTTAATTTTTATTGGAACTAATTTGCCTCTGAGCTGCGTGAATGTGCTCTATCAGATTTATGACGTATCATAAGCGCACGAGGCAGGAAACACGAGCCATGGCCAAACGATGGTTGGTGCACTCTATATTACCTTTCCAGGCTGACTTAACTATACGCATAATGCATATGCACCTCCGGGGGCTAGTTCTTACTAGGGCCATCTACATCGTACTGTACTTGCGCTAGATCTACGTGTGCCATCTGTTGAACCGGTAATCACACCGTCAGTCTGAAAAATGATCAGCAGGCCAATAACTTGCTTTCCTGGGACTTTGAGCTGTCATATCGGCATCTAACATGCAGATCTGTCAGAAGGATTGTACTTGAAGATGCGGTCTGGTTGAAAGTTAACCCGTCTCTCAAATCGCCTACGGGGTAATCGCAACGAAGGTTGCATGGGGCTCCAGTATCACGATCGATTAAGTTCTGATACATATGCTGAATTCATATCTATTTAGATGAAACTAAAGACCATTGAGCGGTGTAAGGCTAACAGCAGGGAGAAATTGTTCTCAAACTATTTAGATTGACCTTTCTACTTTTTATCCAAAGTATAGATATGGATAGATATTGATCGTTGAAGCATCCTGCATTTCAATACTGACTTTACCGACAATTTGTTCCAATCCAGCCCACAGTTATAATCCTCCCCCGTTTCTGGTGATAGACATCCCTAGCGAAGCATTCACCGTCCTCAGCTTCGTGCCCGAGCCCCTTGCAGATACCGCCCGAGGGCCATCATGGGAAAATAGTGCCTATAGTAATCATATCCCAGGTAGAAGTGGTTCGGGAACCCAGTCCCAGTGTACAAAGCTTCAGGCCATGAAGACCCAATCCCTTTTTCCGGCTTCTGTGATGACACCAGGTACTGGATTCCGCGTTCAATGCTGACATCGTCAATGGGAAGATGAGCCAGCAAACCCATCAAAGCCCAAGCAGTTTGCGATGCTGTTGATCCCTGCTTTCGCTGGTCAGGAGATCGGTACGAAAGCAAAGACTCGCCCCAACCACCGTCCTCATGCTGCTCGGACTTCAACCACTGCAGAGCTGGCTTCACCATTCCACGGACCCGGTGATCATCAGCGAAGTATGCAAGACCACATATCGCATGGCTCGTGCCGTATACGTAGTTGCATCCCCATCTTCCGTACCAGGCCCCGCTGGCCTCTTGTGTAGATGCGAGGTAATGCACACCACGGGCACATGCTACTCGCAGTGCAGGCATAATATCACTTATATCTGCTTTCGCGGTGGCCCGTTTCATCATCAATCCGAAAGCTTCCAGTATGCGTCCTGTGATATCGGCACAGGACGTATCGCACAGACTGTCCATGTCGCTGAATGGGATTTTGTTGAGGAACAATTTGTCGTTCTCAACATCGAAGGCTGCCCAACCTCCATCTGGATTCTGCATTCCGCAGATCCATGTGGCTGCTGCGAGTACAGAACTCGAAGTAAGGGAACCAGCATCGTACTTTAGCTGAGCAAGGATGATTGCGGCCGTGTCATCGACGTCTGGGTACCAGCTGTTTTCGTACTCGAAACTGAAGCCTCCCGGTGCTAGCTGTGGTCGGTATACTTGCCAATCTCCCCGGCTCCGGAGTAATTGGCGGCTGCGAATCCAGGTGATCGCTTGGCTTAGAGTCTGTCGGTTAGGTAGCATGGCATCGCAGAGCCCAATCGTCATCAGGGCTGTGTCCCAAACGGGCGAGACACAAGGTTGGATTCTCTTGCCATGCTCGTCTTCCCATGCAAATCTCTCCAGTGCTTCGATGCCAAGACAAACCGGGTCATCATCCAGTGTGTAGCCTTCTAGCAGGAATGCATATATACTGGCGTGCATAGGAGGGAAGATTCCGGCCCAATCGCCAGTCTTCTCTTGGCGCTCGAGAATCCATTGTGTGCATTGTTTCCGGGCGTATGATCGCATCAGAGGCACTCCGCGAAGTCCGTTTAGTTGGTAAAGGATTTTGTCCACAATTCCAAATGCCAGGCCCGTGATGTTTCCTTGAGACAGCATTGCCCAGAGAGATTCGCTGTAAGGTACATTCTTGTTCGTACAATCTTGCCACAGCTCATCCAGGTAATCGTTGCAGGCGGATTTTCTGTTGGGGAGAGGATAAATTGGTTGATGATGGCATATAATGAGCAATGGAGCAATGGTACCGCGAGCCCAAGATGCAAATTTGTAGATGTTGATTGGAAGAACAGGAGGTAGAAGAATTAGCTCCACAGGTATGATAGGCACAGCATCCCATGGGAACAAGCCAAAGGTCGCTAGAAAAATGCGAGTGAAGACGCGCACTTTTGCAACACCGCCTGCGCGGAGAACAAATTCTCGCGCCTTTTGCATTGCTGGTGATTCTATGCTCAGCCCAAGAATCTTTAGTGCAAGATAGGCCTCTGTTGAAGTTGATACATCTCCAGGTACATCGGGAGCTAGGCTCCAGGAACCATCACTGTTCTGCTGAGACAGTATATAGCGACAATAGGCGGCATGATCAGCTTTCAAATCCAGACCAAGCGCCTGTCGGAGGAAGACATATTCAGCTGTCACAGTGACATTGCTTCTCAACTCACCGTACCAATGGCCGTCAGAATGTACGGAACCGAGAGCATACTCATTTGCAAGCTTCAGAGCTTGCTCCACTTGAGAAGCAAGGCTCGCTTTGCTGGGTTTGACGTCCATGGCACGTTTCGTTTGGGGGCGTCACTGATTTCTCAGGAATCGATAACGATCAAATGCCAGTTAAAGAAAAAGCTTTATAGATTCCAATATATAGGTATGTTGCAGTCGACTTAAATCACATTGTACAGATAATATATTAAAAATAAAAAAAGGAGAGCCGGAACAAGTGGGAAATATCAAGTTCCATCTGCTCATTGGCCATGGTCACGGTTAGCAAGATGTAACAAGGATTTCACCTGTAGCATAGGCCAATTTTCAGGGGGTCTTCAAAAGAAAGGCAGCGGGCGGCTGGAGCATCCCGCTAGTAACTCCTTGCATGGAGCTGATCGGTCAAGATCTCTTTCGCCTGTACGTACTTTAGACTTTTCTCTGCGCCTCGCAGATAACACATGAAAGCAAGGAAGACAATAATAGTACATGGGTAACATACGGTCGCCAGCATGTCTCAAGAACTGGAGGAAGAGACTATCTAGGTAGATGACCTAACCTTTGAAGTAGTAATATATCCTACCACAGAGATGAACCAAGCGACGACGCATTTCTCATCCGGAGCTCTCGATCAAGAGAGACTTTTCAAGACATGTATCTTGGTTTTAGTAGGCATTGCTGTTTCTTTCCTGGCGCAAAAGCTGCTGCAGGTCCATCGACTGCGTGCACTTGAACGACTTCACGGCTGCGGTGAACTGCCCAGCGAGAGCGAATTTCAGTATGATTTTCTTGGTATCGCCAAAGCAATCCAGTTGGCTTCTCATTTTCGAAAGCGCACATCGTTAGTGTATACAAACGCGTTGTTCATGAAATATGGGGAGACGTATGTTTCCAATGTCATCGGCCACCGACTTATCTTTACCTGCAATGCAGACAACACTAAGCATCTGTTGTCCACGGCGTTCGTCGATTTCGATAGTTCTCCATTGAGAAAGCCTCTATTCGAGTACATCACCCCGCATGGTATCTTCACCCTTGATGGTCCCGACTGGAAGAAAAGTCGAGATCAGTTGCGGAGTCGGCTGTCTAATCTTCGCAAGATCATTCATCTGGACTCGTGCGAACAGCACTTCCAGGCCTTCCTTCGACGTGTTCCTCCAAAAGGACAGGCCTTTGACGTTCAATCCTGTACATTTGCTCTATCTTTGGACATGCAGACTCAATTCTCTCTGGGTGAGTCTGTTGATGCCCAGAGTTTCAGTCAATCGAAAGAAAAGAAGCGTTTTGTAGAAGATCTGCTATTTCTCAAGGAACGCATCGTCCAGGATGGTTTTCGTGGTCCTCTGCGCCGCTTCTTTCCAAAGGAACGCTTTCACCAGTCTTGTCTAAGGGCGCGAGAATATGTGACACGTTATGCCACCCGGCAAGTCGAGCAACAGATCAGCAACAATGAGAAGAATGACGGAATACCTCCTGCGTCTGCTTTCAATATGAGAGATAGGGAGATTTCCCAGTGCACCGATCAGGCTCTAAGCATTCTCCTTGCAAATGACAGCATGAGCACAACTCTTTCGGGTCTTTTCTTTTGCCTGGCCCAGGACGATCGCGCCCTGAAGAAACTGCGAGCAAGTATCATCGCTACCGTTGGATCAACTCCTCCAACGTGGGGCCAACTTGGAAGTTTGCATTATGTCCGGTGGGTGATTCAAGAAGGTGAGAAAGCTGTTTCAAATATTCCATTTGTACACTGACATTCTTCCTTACGAAGCAATGCGACTTTTTCCTGCAGTAGTACTCAATGCGAGAGTAGCAAACAAACATTCGACGTTACCAACCGGTGGTGGAGCTGATGGGAGGTTGCCAGTTCTCGTACGAAAAGGTGATATCGTGGTGTTTTCCACTTGGGCTAGACATCGTTTAGGGAAGGAATTTGGAGATGACCCCGAGAAGTTTTATCCTGAGCGTTGGGAGGATTTAAGCCCTGAAATGCCTGGCTACATTCCATTTAATAAGGGCCCGAGGATCTGCCCAGGTCGTAAGTCTCTCCCCCTTTGTCTCTCTTTTTATTCTGCGAATCATGCTGACTGATTCGGTTTTAGAGCAATATGCGGTGATTGTGCTGACATACATCGTGACTCGCATGTTTCAAACGTTTTCATCTGTCTCCAATTACAACACTAAAGAATGGACGGAGAGAATTAGCATGACGCTCGAGAACGAGAATGGGGTTCTAGTCGGACTAGAGTGAATATGTCAGGATACAAAGGCATGCACAGTGCTGTCTTAGCTTGCCGTAGATTCTCATTGTTTCCTAGTCATATAGCCTCATACATCTTCATAGACAATAGATTATCCTGTTTCCCTCTCTTTCTCCCCCTCTCGGTGTCTTCGCCCATCAGAATAATCTCACGACAGCAAGAGATTGTCATACAACCACAAAGAAAGTGTCATATAATCCAATTTGATGACTTAATATTAATCCAATAGATCAAAACCCACCTGTCCCCCCTCGGTAACCATACTCAACCCTTCTATAAACCAAATTAGCCAAACGTTCACCATTCACCGCAACCAGGTATGTGTATCAATCACTAACCTTCTCGGCTCCCTTCCTCTTCCCAAAGAAAACATCCTCATACCTTCTAACCTCAAAAGGACTCCTCTTAATCAAAACCTCCTTCCCCTTCCTCGTCCACCCTTGAACACTCCTCAAATGCGGCACCCCCTGTATAACACCAACCCCAACCATAGGATCAAGAATCATACTAACCTCCCGATTACAAGGACTAACAAACAAAGGGTCATGCAGCGAATCACCCTCAAGTCTGTATTCCTCTTCGAGGGCTAGGTGTTCTTTTTCCGGTGTTGTGGTGCTCCGGTCGTAGGGGGATTTGTGGGAGCCTACTTCGTCATCTGTGCCTGATGAGCAGGTTTCGGCGCGTTGCGGGTTTAGGATGCACCGCTCTAGGAGCATTTCTTCTGTTTTTGAGAGTTTTTGGGTTTGGAGGGGGATGGGGTTGGGGGTTGACTGCTTGGTGTGGATGTTTACGGGGTGGATTGTTGTGAGGGGGCTTGTTTGGAGGACTCGACTGAGGGGTCTGAGGCTTTTCATGTTGATTGATTGTGATACTGGTGATATTTGGTAAGTGGAGAGATGATGAAGAGGTTGGAGTAAAGTTGGGTTGTTATAAGGTTTACCCCGGATTCTTCAGTGGAAATGACATCATGATTTCGTGATGGTGTTTTACTGAGAACAAATACATAAGGGAGTTGGGGATAAGAGAGTTAAACAATTCATTGACAGATAATCGTCATTTCGCTTCATTGTGTCGCCGGGGCTGATATGCAATTGCTAGAATCGAAATGTATGTCACATCAAGTCATGTAAAAATATCATCCACTGTTGCTTGATATCTCAAGGGAATACAAATGCAAGTCGCTGATATATATGTTCTTAGCCAGGAAATCATTGCTGGATGAGGAGAAACAGATCCCCAATCATAAAACTCAAGTGCTGTAAAGGAATCTGGGGTTGCGATCACCCATTTCCTGAATATCTTCCTCGGTCAACGATGAGATCTTCTCATCTTCTAGACCTTGAACTCTGCGCTTGTTGATAAAGCGATAGCAAGCCCACATGGCGCCGTAAAGGATACCTGCAAATCCCACCAAGCCCAGAGTAACAGCGTTTCCTCGGACGAAACGCGGACCCTCGGAGGTCTTGTACAAGAAAGGGGACATGACACCACTGATATTGCCAAAAGTAAGCTGCAGACCCGTGGCAAAAGTGCGCTTTCCATATCGCGGCAGGTTGGTGGGTAACCAGGCGAGCGGCAATCCGACAGTGACATACAACCCCAGTGCAACCATCAAGGCACCAAAGTAATGCACACCCGAGGACGAGTCCGAGATCAGGATTCCATACCCAACAACAGATATCACACTGAACAGACACACAAAGAAAGCACGGTGCTGGGTGCGATCACTCAACCAGGCAATCCCCAGATAGACAATAGCACCCAATGCATAACAAGGAATAGTCAACGCCTGAACCTCAGGAGTCGACCAATTCCCCATACCCTTAATAATAGTCGGAAGGAAAGTACTATACCCGTAAAGCATAGTATCAACACCAAACTGGCCAACGGAAAACGCCCAGATCTTCCAATCCAGCGCCCCGTCCTTAACATCCGCCCAGTGGAACTTCTGTGCAGACTCCGTCTGCCCAACATGGCGACCCCGCCGACGCGCAACGAGCTCGCGCTCTTCTTTGTTCAAGTAGTACGCCGTGTCCGGGTCATCTGCTAACCCAAACCAGGTCGCTACCCCGAGAATGACAGTCGGCATCCCTTCGATAATCATGATCCAGCGCCAGCCTCGTAGTCCGCAGATACCATCCATGAACCCGATGCCGTATGCGAGTAAACCACCGAACGCGCCGGCTATGGCTGCGCTGCTGAAGAGGTAGCCAGTTCGCAGGGCGATCTCACGTTTCCCGTAGAAGAGGGTGAGGTAGGTCATGAAGCCTGGGAAGAGTCCTGCTTCGACGACGCCCAGTAGGATGCGGCAGGCGATAAGGCCGCCATAGCTTTGAGTAATTCCTGTGAGGGTCGCGATTATCCCCCACAGGACTGAGATGGTTGCGATGTAGCGGGATGGTCTTAGCTTTTTGATCACGAGGTTGGAGGGAACCTCGAAGAACTGGTGGGGTTAGCGTGTGTTTGGGGTTGGGGGCGGGATCTGCGTACGCAGTATGTTACGAATAGGATGGATACGGCGATTTGATACTGGTCACCGACTAGGCCTAGATCCTCTTCTAACCCGTATAGGCGTGCATTGCCAATGTTGACTGTGTAGGTGGGTTAGTAATTGTCCTCAATTGTGTCAATATTGGCTGGTCGGGATTGAAACAAGGGGTGAGTCAGACCCCGTCTGGTATCACTTACCTCGATCTAGGAAACTGAAGAGATATAACAGGACGACGAAAGGGAGGATGTGGATATCAATCTTCCGTATCACTGTCCGCTCGGCCTGTTCCTCATCCAGGGTCGGCACTGAGCTTGGGGATTCTGCATCCGATGCTGTCTCGTGCCTGGATGGGCTGATGTCGGCCTTAGACCGGTCCATGGGGATCAGTAAGGAAAGTAAGTTACACCCAAAGAGAAGTAGAGGACATGATATCTGATTCCGGGCGGAACAGAGTATTTTTAAGGTTGCCAAGTGCCAAGCAAATGATCCCCAGGGACTTACAGATAAGGGGGTTTGACTAAGAGGCGGCACATGTCAATAAGGGATATTCAGAATGTTGCCTCAGGCATAATCTCACCAACCTGCTGTCAGTCGATTGTCAATCAACTGTACTTCTGTTCTGTACTTTGTTTGTCCTTCTGTTACTTGGCAGTTCTAGGCTGTCACTTGGCCATCCTTGGGGCCGGATGAGGTCTAGCCAGATGACTAAGCAATTTCGGTCATATTCTGCAGGAGAGCCATCTTGGAATCAATGTCTCTCCAGTTTCTATAGAGAAGTCTTACACCCTACTCGCCCGTTCCCTGTGACTCAATCTCACTATGAGCCTTCACGCGCTGCGCGACAAGGCTTCATATCCAGCTCCCTAATCTGCTCTCGACAGAGCTCTCTCCTCAGCTCGACGTGCTGATCGCACCAATCCCCACAATCAAAATCCTCAAAAAACCAAATCCACCACCAAACTCGCCAATGGCAACCCCTCCGACAACCCCCGTCGGGGAATTAGTCCTCTCCAAAACCCTCAACGGCCACACCGGCTGGATCTGGGACGTTACCCTATCACCCAATGGCGAAATCCTCGCCTCGGTATCGAACGACATGATGATCCGCCTCTGGAACGCCGGAACCGGGCTGCAGCGCGGCGCGGCCAAAGATAACGGCCACTCCAGCTGGGTGCGCGCCGTGCGCTTCTCGCCCATGGGTCGACTGCTCGCTACGGCCTCGGATGATATGTCTGTTCGCATCAGCGACGCCAATACCGGCTTCACTTATCGCATGCTCAAGGGTCACACGGGGAAAGTGCGCGCGGTCGAGTTCGCCCCTGATGGACGGACTGTTGCCTCCGCGTCGGATGATTATACTGTTCGGTTATGGAACGCCAGCTCGGGCGCGCTGCTGAAAACATTTACGGGCCATCTCGGTTGGGTGCGTGCTGTGGCGTTCTCGCCGGATGGGAAGATTATCGCTTCGACTTCTGATGATCACTCGGTACGGCTTTGGGATGCGGCTACTGGGAATCAACTGCACCAGATGAATGGGCATTCTGCGTCCAGTCGGGCGGTCTGCTTTTCTCCTGATGGTAAGCTGGTCGCGTCTGGGTCGCTGGATAAGACAGTGCATATTTGGGATACGGCTTCTGGGGCTCTGCTTCATGTTCTTGATCATTCGGGTCCTTTGCGCTTGATGGCTTTCTCAGGGGATGGGAGGTGGATGGCATCTGCTGCGGATGACTTGACGATTCGGGTGTGGGATACGTCGTTTGCATGTGTGCGCGTTGTCACTGGCTATTCCGGCTGGGTTCGGGCTATTAAACTCTCGCATGATGGACACTTGGTCGTTTATACGTCCGATGACATGACCATCAAGATCTGGTCATGATTTTCTTTTTCTTTTTGTTTGAGATACCCATCATTTGTTAATATATACTTCTGCATTCCATCTTGTCCGCATTATCTGAGACTAGTCCAAGTGATAGCTCTTGGCCAGTAGCCAGTAGGATAGATGTTGCTCTATTGCTTGCAGGTTCCTTTAGCAATACCTCGGCCTCCTATTTGGTCAATAGAAGCAGACCATTTGACTAGTATCAAATTGACAAATTTGGAATGTGTCTACTCCATCGCTTACGGTATGGTCTCCTCACTGTCTCGCCTAGATTGAGGTAATGAGCCGAGCAATATACCAAATCAGACAATTTCACCTATCAAGCCAAGAATAGAGATGGGCATTTTAGTCGAGCCAAACCTTCCATCAACAAACAGGTGTTCCGGCTCCTGTGGGGAGGTATAAGGGCTTACTTTGAGGAGCGGGTTCGCCGGGTAAATACATGTAGTGAAAGTGATAGGGCTGAATTTATAGAATTGAATAGAGACGTGGAGTCCATCAACTTATAGAATATGACACCAACTCATCAATATTGAAGATCACAAAAATGAAGCTCAAAATGGACCGAGGTCCCCCGCATCAGCCCACCGAATCCGGGCCGGGAGCTCTTCAGCTCACCTGGGCATCCATATCTTCAACTTCCAACTCACAAACACCTATATATACCATGTCCGGCAATTACGGCAGCTACCAGACCGAAATCTACGGCAAGGGTGCCCTAATGGGCACCCTGCCCAGCGTAACCACCGACCCTCGCCTCCTGGAAGAACAAGCCCAGAAGGCACTGGGAGTGCGCGCCTTCAATTATGTTGCGGGTGGCGCGGGCGAGAAAGCCACCATGGATAGCAATCGGCTGGCATTTCGGCAGTGGAAGCTGTAAGCTCGGAGATAATGGCCGTCGTACTCGATATCGACTAACAATGTGTCTAGAATCCCTCGGATGATGCGCAATGTACGATCCCCATCTAAAGCTCTCATACTCTACGGCGTAAGATACTAATGACGTAACGTACAGATGCACGACCAAGACGTATCAGTCGAACTCTTTGGCCAGAAATATGATAATCCCCTTATCATGGCGCCGGTCGGTGTACAGGGGATCTTCCACGAAGACAAGGAGACCGGTCTGGCCAGTGCATGCGAAGAAGTAGGTGTCCCCTACACGATGAGCACGGCGAGCACAAGCACCATTGAAGACGTCGCGACCGCCAACAAAGACGGGAAACGATGGTATCAGCTCTACTGGCCGAAAGACAACAATGTCACACTATCGCTGCTCAAACGGGCTAAAGAGAATGGGTTCTCTGTGCTAGTTGTTACGCTGGATACTTGGTCGCTGGCGTGGCGGCCGGCTGATCTGGATAATGCCTATGTGCCTTTTATCAAAGGGGTCGGTAACCAGGTCGGGTTTAGTGATCCGGTGTTCCGGGCCAAGTTCGAGAAGGAGTCTGGGTGTCCTGTGGAGGAGGATGTTATTGGTGCTTCGAGGGCGTGGGTCGGTGATGTGTTTGCTGGGAGTCCGCATGAGTGGGAGGACTTGGCTTTCCTTAGGGCGAATTGGGATGGGCCGATTGTGTTGAAGGGCATTCAGCATGTGGAGGATGCGAAGAGGGCGCTGCAGTCTGGTTGTGATGGGATTGTGGTTTCGAATCATGGTGGTCGCCAGGTGGACGGGGCCATTGGGTCTTTGGATGTTCTGCCGGAGATAGTCGATGCAGTTGGCGATCGAATGACGGTACTTTTTGACTCGGGCATTCGGACGGGATCGGATGTTATCAAGGCGCTGTGTTTGGGAGCCAAGGCGGTTCTAGTTGGTCGGCCGGTAATTTATGGTCTCAGTATTCAGGGCCGAGACGGGGCCAAGCAGGTCCTTCAGGGCCTTTTGGCTGATCTTTGGCAGAATATGGGCCTATCAGGCATTCGCAATGTGGGCGAATGCGATCGCAGTCAGATTCGTAGAGTTCAATATGGGGGAGACGTGAAGGCGATGATGTAAATGCTAGTCACATGTAAATAAGAAAAGTGTTGGGCCAGGAACCGAACCTGTTGATCATATCTTGTTCATGTTCACCGCTTAAGTTAACTTCACGTTAACATTCTCTCTCTTCTAATGTATTCGCCTTACCTTATGATTAATGGACTATGATTGCAGAGGACGAACCCGAGATCCACCCGGCTTCAGGCGCGACGCTACTCCCACGACCAGTGGCATCGCTGATCTCACTAATCACCCAGTCAACCTCCCTATCCCTACGACTGGGAACATTCTTCGGCGGGGCTGCCCTAGATGGCGCGCGAGCCACCACTCTCACCAGCCTAGAGCTAAGCCGAGCCTTGGTGGAGGGGATCCTAACGAGAGCAGGACGCGACGTCGCGATCCGTAGTGGGGATGAACATGGCAGAACAGAGGCCGAGTCTCTGCTTGAGCGGAGTGTAGGAGAATCCATCCTGACCTCCTTGCCCTGGCTAACTCCGCCTAGTTGGCAACCCTGCACTCGACTGTGACCTCGGCTTCTTTTTTCGCAGCCGCGACGTTCCACTTCTCGTCAACGACTTTGGCTTCCGTTGCCAATCTCTCGCAGGCGCTTTTGTCTACGTTGGATGCCGTTCTTGGATCTACCGAGTCGTCGAGGGCTATTGCGGCTATTATCACGCTTATCAGACGCGAGTTTAGATCCGTGGAACCTGGTGCGAGTACTGAGAAGATTGGTGTTGGTGATCTACTAGTCGGGTCTCTGGGCTTTGCACTGCTACAGCGATGGGGCAAGAAGAACACTGAACGACATCTGCATCAGAATGGTGGAGATGAGATCGTCTGGGATGTTGTCATCCTGGACAACGGTGCCCGAGCAGACGTGATCGGGTCCCATGAACTACAGTTCGCCAACCCCAAGAATGAGGAGCTGGTCCGGCCTGGTAATGCTTCATTTGTGGTGCCGCAGAATGGCGAGGAAGCCTTCGATGCAGTCCGACGATCGAGCATGACTGAACCATTTAACGGATCTCGTCTCTCAATTCCTTTGGATGGTCAGCAGCAGGTATCTGATGAGGACATCCGCGCTTATATCATGAGCCAGCTTCCTCAGGGCTGCCATGCATCCATCAAATCGGAAGTCCTCACGGCGCGAACTATCACCGTCGATATCTACGATGACGATATGGCAGAGATTGCAGCACCGCCGGGAACAAAAATGGTCGAGGAACGATTTCATCATGATACTGATGATGAAAATAATGTGACAGACGGTCAGCGACGCTGCCCAAGGCATACAGTGGTGTTTAGGACTGCTTTCAACAAATCCCAAAGCACTCAACTGCGACCTCATGACAGTTCTACCGATGTCCTACCTGAGCCCGACCATCGCAAACGATCGCCAGGAAAAGCATTACCTAGTCTTCCGATGGGATCACAGCATGACCGGTCGCACTCACATCCTGATATCATAAATGGAGGCTTCAAGCACCATGTGACGACTCCTGACTCGCCGAGCGAAACACCCAAATCCGCAACGGGCAGAGGATCATTCAGCAAATTTGCACAGAAGGTCAAGCCGCCTGGTTTTGAGAAAAGCGATGCCAAGCGTCCAGCAAAGAAGCCATCTATAAAGTCGCCCACTTCTTCCGCACTCCCTCTTCCTCGTCTGCCTCCTAGGCCGGTAAAAGGAACTGCATCTGTAAAGGAGGCGACTGCACGCGAAACGTCTACCAGACCCGATCTCAAGAAGAGACAGGCAGAGCCTATAGACTATCGACCGACAACACCTGTCCCGAATCGAGGCTTAAGAAGGTCGCCATTCCCCAACTCTCCCCAGAGACAATCATCGCAGCAAGCAAAACGCGCTCCATCACACGATGCACATAACCAAAGAGGCCCACGCGGGCATTATGCAGTGCGCGAGAAGAGTCAGGAATCTCTCCTCACTCAAACAGACGCTTTCTTCTCGCGTCGGACTTCAGATATGCGGCCTGGCTCACCTGCGATGTCTCGGACTCATGTTCGCAGTAGCAGCTCCTTGTCCGTGAGTAGGTCTGAGACTGACGGAGCGGTGTCTGCAAATGACAACCGACCCAGTTCGTCAGCTCTGCATCACAGATCCCACTCATACACTCCCAGTCTATATTCACTGGCGACTGCCGGGTCTGAGACATCGCTCGTACTTGCACATCGGCCTCGCAAAAGTGCCTACGAGGATATGGAAACCATCCAGGCGCTCAATCGCGATGGCCTCATCCCGGGAATCTTCCCTGAGAGACATTTTGTCCAGAACATCCGCCGGTTTTGCCGTTTCTCGTCCGCCTCTTATGGCTCCAATGCCCTCAAGGTCATGGGCGTGCCAAGAGGCACAAAGACTCTGCCACCAGCCAGGTCAGACACTCACGAGCACAGCGCCTTCTCGGATCACGCCGGTCTCCCTCCCTCTACAATCCTCCTTTCTTCCTTCGTCGATCCAGCCGGTGGCTCCAACGCAGCCGGCGAGACAGAAACAGGATTTCCACTCGTCCACTACCTCTCCATTGACCATGACTCCAAAGCCGTGGTCCTAACTCTCCGAGGGACATGGGGCTTCGAGGACATCCTAACAGACATGACCTGCGACTTCGACGACCTCGAATGGCAAGGCAAAAGCTGGAAAGTACACAAAGGCATGCACGCCTCGGCCAAACGTCTCCTCGAAGGCGGCGGCGGCCGAGTAATGATCACCCTCCGCGCAGCCCTAGAAGAATTTGAAGACTACGGCGTAGTCCTATGCGGCCACTCCCTCGGCGGCGGCGTCGCAGCCCTCCTAGCAACAATGATTTCCGAGCCAAACCCCTCCCCACTCGGCACCTCCTTCGTAACAGCCTCATACCAACCAACTCCGCGACCGCCCCTCCTAACAGCATCAACCAACACCCCATCGTCCCTTCCCCCAACCTCCCCCCTCCCCATCCCAACCGGCCGCCCAATCCACGTCTATGCCTACGGCCCCCCAGCCGTAATGTCCCCCTTCCTCCGCCTCGCTACACGAGGCCTAATAACAACAATCGTCAACGGCCAAGACGTCGTGCCCAGTCTCTCCCTGGGCATCCTACATGACATGCACACAGCAGCAAGCAGCTTCAAGGACGACGCCTCGGGTGCGAAATCTCATATCCGCACCCGTCTCCGCGAATCACTCCGTCAGAGCATCATCCATAAATTCTACGTGAATCAGCCTCCGCTCGTTGTCAATGCCGGTGATGGCGTTGGCGAGGATGCGTGGGCGTGGAAAACGCTTATGTTGTTGCGGGATGAGATGCGCGCACCGAAACTTATGCCCCCTGGTGAGGTCTTTGTTGTTGAGACTATGCGTGTTTTGCAACGGGATGCGTTTACGGTGCCGGATTTTGCCGGGGATGGTTATCCTCGTCTCGGGAGGCCCGCTACTAGGGTTCAGATTCGGTTTATTCGTGATGTTGATGCTTGGTTTGGGGAGTTGAGGTTTGCTAGTGGGATGTTGAGTGATCATAATCCGGCAAGGTATGAGACTAGTCTTGCTGCTTTGGCGAGGGGGGTTTTGGATGAGTGATGGGTGTGGGTAGGTTCACAGTATGGATGGTTATGGTTATGGTTATGGTTATGGTTATGGTTATGGTTATGATTTACGATGGGTTATTATAGGGGTGGTAATTGGGTAATTGGATACATCCGGTATAGAAGGTTGAAAAGAACATCTTCGGTGAGGCATTTAGGGCTCAGATAAGATACAAGGTCGCCATGTGAAACATTCTCATGTAAAACCATTTAAACCATACAAAGACTACCATACTTCCACTATACTACTAACTTCTATATGATATACGATACAACGTTACGAGAAGAACCAAATAAATCATAGAATATACATTTCGAATCATAATTTTATAGTGTATAATCCGATCCCAACCAAAAATAAAGGGGGAATCCGATGAAAAGAATCAAAACCAAGATCCAGGGTATCACGGCCTCACACACTCAACGCCATAAGAAAACAAAGGGAACACCACCATTTAACAAAGGAGACACATAACATAAAACAAAGAGACTCAAGGAATATCCAATCCATCCCGAGTCTCATTCATTCCACAGCTGCTCCATTCTAAACCACAAGGGCGGTAGCAGCAGCAGGAACAGGCCGTCCGGAATGACATCCTCGCTCATGGCGCTTCATGTTACTCCGTACGGAGAAGGCCTTGCCACAGCCCGCATGCGTACACCGGAAAGGCTTCTCGCCGGTATGCGAGTGGCTGTGAATGCGCAGCGAGGAAGGACGGGAGAAGGCCTTGTGGCATGTACGGCAGATATACCGGTCGTGGTTTTGTTGGTAAGGTGCTGCGGTGGAGGGGGGGAAGTAGTGGTGGTGTTGCCAGGCCGGGGTCACGGGCGAGATGAGAGCCGATGAGGACTGGGAGTTGGAGTGGCCGTGGGCGTGGTGGTGTTGGGTTTGCGCCGTTGGCATTGGGGCTGGCACTGACACTGGGGTGGCTGGCGCGAAGGTTGAGGCTGTTGGTGGGCGGGTGTAGTACATTGGTTGTTGGTGGTGTTGATGTTGGGGGGCCTCGACGGGGGATGAGTAGGAGGAGACGCTGGGAGCGGGCGAGGCGTAGGGTTGTGCGTTGATGTGGATTGAGCTCGTGCTGGAGACTGAGGAGCGGTGGTGGGATGCCTTTGTGTTCACGGGCGAGGCGCGGCTTTGGCCGTTTCCTGAGCCAGGGCGGAGCGGTGGTGTTGGGGGCATTTCGTATTGCCGGATGTCATCACGGTGAGGTGAGAGACGTTGGCGCTCTGGTTTGGTTAGTGTTTGGGATATTGACGGTGTATGTCCAAGTGTATACTCACTGGCTGAATGCTGAGCACCATCGGCACCCTCGAGGAGGGCTGAGATAGAAGGCAGCGAGCATTTTGGTTCCTCGACTGGTGGAGAGAGAGGAGCTGAGCGCTTGTAGTGGCTCGACTCCTTAGGAGTGTAGACGGTGTGGGAGAGGAGGTTGGCGAGATCCATGATGGTAGATGTGTAGAAGTCTAGATGGCGTTTCACATGGGGGAACACACGAGGTTTATAGTGAATGATCGCCGGTAAATTACCTGGTTTTCATTATTTTTATGAGACAGTCCGTTCCAAAGCTTAATTTAATTAATTGAATATTCCTCTTTGGGAATTAAATATTTTCTTTTCGGAGATTAACGTGGGGAATGACGATGTGCCTCGAACTCCGCTCTGAATAGCCTATCAACCGCGTGGGATGCGCACTAACCCCAATGTGGGAGGTAAAGACCTCGCTACGGCTAGTGCAGATCCTTTCTGCTTTACCTGTCACATCGCCCCATAAACGGTGATCTGATCGGCGAACTACACAGATAGAACAGGGAGTGTGTACATGTTCATTGCGTGTATTCGAATCAAGAACATCAAATATTCATTCTCATTCATTCTGTTACTTGGTGTATAAAACCCGGGGATGACACGGTTCAGGAGATCATTGTCGCGTGGCTATGGGGAACCAACGGCGCAGGGTTTCCAAAGGGGAAGGTCGCAAAGGAACTCACTAACCCAGTTGGGCCCCACTCCGTAACCTGGGGCCAGCGTCTCTAAGCGCAGGAGGTCTCGCTTACACAAACCTTACAATGCATGAACTTTCGGTACTGAGTACAGTGCTCCGTACTGTACATGTCTATTTCCTTGTACCTAGTTACAGTATGGATAGTCATGCTGGACTCTATGATCAACCTAGTCAACATAATCAACAATCACCATAACCGACACAATCACTATTATTAAGTGATCTACGAAATAGACTCCATGCTAATACTCGGCAATTACACCTGCTTATAGAAGGTGACGAGGCCTAAGACCCTGCCCATCTCCTCCTGAAGATCCTCAAACCGGATACGATCTGATCGGCGTTCTGGAACACTCGGGAGGGCCGTGCACGGGTTCTGCACGATCGGGGATTGGCCGTTAGAGGGGATCCGCGTCCCGGCCTCGTGGAAGCGAGCTCCACCCTTTAGCCCTTTTAGCTGGGATCGTCTTCATTTTTTCTTTCCTTATGCTCTGTACACATAGTAAGTGATATGGAATGTATTTATTAATTTGGATAAATGGAAAGTAATGAACTACTGTATTATCTACAGTATTCACATTGGCTGTATTATCTCATGTCATGGCTCGAGCGTATGATCCGCGAGGCCCGGGGCGATCCTGGCTGATCACCCCCTTCATTGTCGGCACTTGTTCGGGTCGCTATTCTTCACTGAGTCTGGTGCCGGTCTTATTATTCCACAGCCACTGATTGGATCGTGGAGCCGTGGTTCTGCCTTGGATAAATGGCTTTTTCACTTAAATTTTTAATTCTACCGTAGATTAAGGAATCTAATCTCCCACAGTTTCCCGTCTGAGAAGCTTTACGTGGAACTTTATGATGAAACCAAGGAATACGGGAAAAATGTGATCCGCTGGTATAGACTTTTGCCTGAATGTTAAATTGAAATGCTAAATTGAAATGTCAATTTCAAATGTAAATTGAAATGTTAATTGTCAGAGACAAATTTGGGCCGTCACATACGAACTATTGCATCCACATGTACGTACGTATCTGCTTTTCAAATCAAGAGTCATGGACCGAGCTTCTTACAGTAAGTGGTGATCGAGCTATCCCCTTTAGGTCATAGATCCGGGTAGGCAACGGAGTCAGCCGTGATCGCTGATCGTTGCTTCCGGGGCACTGGGCCCATGCCACGCGACTGTCTCACCCCCTTTCCCAGGAATTGCCTGGACGAGTATACGGTCGAGATTCAGTGGGGCTGGACACCACGCGACATGGAACACATGGCTGTATGGCTGTATGGCTTAATGGCTTGAATGGCTTGAATATATTGTCGCATACATATACATCACTTATATGACCAGTCGACTGTCGGTTGCCTTGCGTAAGGTAAGGTTACCGAACACATGGCACTTGCATGTCCAAGCGCATGGGATATCACAAAGACAATTAAAATTAAGTTAATGACGACACTACACACTGACCGGTGTTTAATTGAGACGCCGGAAACACTTAACCTTTGATCGGCGATTGGTAGATCCGATCTTACACTAACCGCCTTGGGAAGGTGCGGACTGGACGCGGGCTGCATATGCATGGGAGTGTATGGACGCCCCCTGGACTATATTTATGTTTTCTTTGCTTTTCCACGCCTCCCTTTTTTTTCACGTGGCATTCGATCCGGATCTGGCATCAAGCCCGATGCACCTCAGATCATCCGGGACATCTACGTATTTCATATTTCATATTTCATTTTCATTTTCGTTTTCATTTTCATTTTCATATATTTCTTGTTTACAGGTTCCATGTGGATTCCCATGTGGTTTGCTGAAATAGACCTGTCATCCTCCTTCCTATTCTGAGGTGGTGGATCAAGATCCAGGGATAACCGCTGGCCATAGCTCCCTGTGTCCATGATCACCGCTAAGCGATGACCATTTGGGCAATGTCTCCGATGCGGTCCTCCGTGTAATAGATATTGTTACGCGTTGACTTCCTATTTGTCCCCTTGTACGTATAATCCGGCATATTGGTCGGTAGGTAGATACTTGATTATGAATCAAATATATTAATTACTGCTCCTGCAGGATCTCTAGGGCTGTACCGTACGACTGGTGTGAACATCCATAAACCCACAGTATGTTGTAGCCCGTGGCCTGTGACTCGGGTTCGGATCGCATCTCGTATCGGAAAGTCAGGGGGGAAAAGTAATACTAGAAAGGCAACCCAAATAAGCAAATACAAAGACACTTAATCACCTGCTACAACCAGGACGCCAAACGAGGGGTGATCGACAGCGATCATCTATAATCTACATCTATTCCACATCCAAAACGGCGGATCTCAAAGGAGAAAAGAAGGGGCTTTCGCGTCCACGGTCTCGGGACCGAGACCGAGACATACATGATTCAGGGTTAACTGCCAGACTGGGGACATGGACCGTGGGCGCTAGTGATGATCGAACTACATTGAAGCGCACTAGTTGTAGGCGAGACGGTAGTAGCGGGCAGGAAGCACGGAGTATAGGAAGTCGGCATATTTTAACTCCGGTGCGGTGAAACACCGACCTGTTCGTCAAGGGCCAGTCGATCACACAAATTAGAGCAGCTTGAGCTGGGATCCTACTGACCGCACCATGCCCCTTTTTGGTATAAACCCCGTGTGGGATCGGCCGTGGGGCCTTGTTTGGCGCATGGCATTCTCCAATCGTAGCCTCGGCGAACCGACCTGGCCTCTCTCTTTTTCAGTTTGCCTTTTCTGACATGCCTTACTGTTGACTATTTTAGGGAGGTGATATTTGGATCTATCGTCATCCCGTTCGGTTGTCTCCCCCCTTTCTATGCCTCGTATACTTTACGGACCTATACCCCATAAATGTGCATAACCGTCGATCTGTATCACCTTTTTCTTGTTTGCCATGCACATCTTTCTCATCCCTTGGAATCTGTCGCATATCCGCTTCGCTCCACTTGGTGAAACATCCTTGCTACTGTAGACCAAACACCCGGCCACCTGGAGATCACTTGCTTACAATTCACTGACAAACCCTCGACTCCTTTCATAATAAAGTTCACCATTGATTGCGGTACTGCCTATTCGGGCCTCGTGCTGGGAATCATCCAGCCTTCTTTGTTGCGTGGCTTGACATAGCATGATTCATGCTTCGGCCTGGATTCCATGGATTCTCCCAACGGTTTCGTTCATGCCATGTGTTTTCCTTGGCCGAATCCTGGCTCCCGGATCCTGTGGCTGACGCTTCATTAATATGAGTGATAACAGGGGACGAGGTTGGGTGTGATTCTGATCCACACGCTCATGCACGAGACTCCAATTTCTCCAAACACTGGAGCACTTGGGTGGCAAGTGTACTGTAACAGCAAATGTAAATGTAAATGCAGATACAGATACGACTGCCAGCATGGACACTTCGATGCAATGCACATCGGGGGGTCTGATCATTCCACCCAGTCTTCATCCCAGCCTACACGCCCATGTACAGCGCCGTACATGCGAATCCAGATCCTGATCACAATACGGCCCGTACGTGTACACCCACGGTTGCATATACATATACATATACCGTACATACCCCTAGACTACAGGCCAATACCATCGCATTGATCGCCTCACGAGGCATGGCAATAAGCACCCTCTATACGGGATGCCTCGCATATGCAGAGCGTTCAAGTCCAGCACACTATCACTGACCACCTCCGACCCTCCAGGCCAGGTGATTCGGTGAAAAGATCCCTGTCAAGACACCGAGCGCTAAAGGCAGATCCCACGGTAATCGAGTGATATTCTCCGTCTTGTTTCATTTCATGCCGGCAATGGTTTCTTCCCTTGGACAGCGATTGGCTGGGTGGGTTGGTGTTTGAGCTCATTATTACATAGGTTGCATGCACTGCGCATGGCTGGGATTGGATATTGCACCTGGGTCTGGTAGATCATCCCACCGTTGCATCGTAGGGTTGAGGGCTGTGGCGGGGTTGGTGCGTTGTTGGCGCGTCTATATGTATATATCCTTGCGAGGTGGAGCTTCCAACTTAGATATATATATTTGGGTTAGGGTTGATTGGGTGCTGGGTGTGGGTGTGCATATGCCGATTTCATGTTCGAGGAATCATGCAAATGGGAAGGGACATGCATAGGCAGGTTGTGTAGCAATTTACTAGTAGTAAGTCCAGATCTGAATGCCGGGTGTGGCCGAGATTGTGTGACCGTGTGACGAGATCGAAGTTACACATCCAACATAATCCGTAAATACTGTGTAGTATGAGAGTTAGGTCTATGTTTCATATAGTATGATCTTAACTTTTATTAGTGACCAGTGCGGAGGGCCGTGCCAAAAAGCAAATGAGCAAGTCATTGACTTCGAGGTTCGAGCGGTGTATACACACGCCCAAGGAACACACACTTGGGGGCTTAAAGTCAAAAATAAAAAATCGCGCATCGGTAACATCACTTAGGACTATCTTTCATGTACAATGTGGTTATGATGATTTACTCGTAGAATATTGGACCAATTACCTTCTGTGCAGTGTCGATCAGTCTTCTGTATGTACGTGTACAGTCTGTACTGTACAGAGTTACATGTGTGTGTAGACCTGGAGACTGGAGACTGGAGGCTGGAGGAGACGCCACAGCCCGTAACTGCGGTGACTCAAAGAGGAACAGGGATACCGGCCACTCAAAGCCCCAAAGCCCCAAAAGCCAGGCAATTTAGAGTTGCTCTTAGCGAGATGCCCAATGTCGCCCAACGATTGGTGTGCAATCCTCCGGGGTGATCTGCGACGGAAACGCCCGCCGATCTACGGCCTGTGTGCCACGAGGATTGCTCTTCGCCCTTCTCTTTGGTGCGTAATATATGACCTGTATGGCCTTCGGAGGAATGGATCAACCTTTACTCGTTTGGTCGAATCGTCCGATCCAAGCATGGATGTGAATCCGTTGATCGACTAAGAACTTTCTAGGCCGGAGCCCCCCGGTGCTATTGAATCAGGAGAACTACTGTAAGTGGCTGGAACAAATCCACACGTTGCACTTCGCATATCGGTTTGATCGGCAAATGTGATCTCCGGTTAGAGCCCTAGAGAGAGGGGGTAAACCGGTAAGCTCCCCATGCTATCTTACTCCCCAGAAGCGGGTCTGGATACATTTCCGAACCCTCCAACCACCGAGCACAGACACGGAGTGGCCGGCCATGCATGAGGCCAGCGAGGAAAGAGAAAGATGCACGGAGCCGCAAGTGTTTTGTTTCAGACCCGCAATTCCCAGAGGGGCAGGTCGTGTCTGTGGTTCGGGATCTTCGCGAACCTCCATTTTTGGTTCAATATTGTACGATGTCGGTCAATATAGTTCAATATTGGTTCTTATTCACAAGTATCAAATAGAATGCTATGGTAGATTTGCGTATGGGCGTATATACCCACCTTGCTCCTGACCGATCCCTCATGAAAGTAGCGCCGACCGTTGCCTTGATTGCCGACCGAGACAAGGCCGGCTTGGGTATCACATGTAAGCACAGAACACTGAACTTCGTTAAGCGTAGATATCGACTTGGCTGTTCCCCTGAACGTCTCTGGGTGCTGTGCCAGCGTTCCCAGTTCTCGCGTTGATCGCCTTCATGTTGCGAATCGCCAGTTTGAAGTCGATCTTGCCATAGTCGTCGGGCATGTGCTCTCCACTGTAGATACAGAGCACCCGCATGCCACGCTTGTAGGAAAGACCGTTTAGTAGCTTGGGTGTAATGAGGAAGTACTGTCCACCGCCGCTGCCGCTGCCGCTGATGGGGTTGCCGTCCTCGTCGGTTTCGGCATCCTCACTAGAGGCACAAGCAATATCCACCAGGCGGCCGTGGACCATGCGCTCGTTACGCGGGTCCATACCTTGATTAATCTCGTCGACGACACGGAACGGCGAGGCGGAGAGAGACTGCAGTGCCATGAGATAAAAGATGGTACTTACGGCTCTCTCACCACCGGATTGGCGATGTGAATCCAAGAGCGACAGTTGTGCGTTCTCGCGGAATTTAACATGGATCTGAATTGCCCACCGGTCGAAGTCGCTACCACCAACCTCGCCTTCGGTCTCAGGCTCATCTTCCACCTTGTCCAAAGTGACTTGACCAGCACATCCGATCCGGTTGAAAGAATCAGCAAAGGCATCGCTGATCTTCTTGATGAGTGCGTCCAGCCTGGGCTCCCAGTTCTTGCGGATCTCGTCAATAGCGCCTCCAAGTTGAGTGAGCTTGTCTTGAAACTCGGCGAGTTTGGAACGGAGCTTCTCAATTTGCTTCTCACGATCTTCGAATTCTTTGATCATGTGGCTACTACCGCCATGGGTAAGTTCCAAGCGGGCCTTTTCGGAGTCAATGTCGGCGTTGAGCTTGTCCATGTCATAATCAGCCAACGCTTGCATCACTTCATTTGCGTCTGGTTGATTGCTAGCTTCTCGGATAACGAGCCTTGCTCTTTGATTGACAACCCTGAGCTTCGCCCGAGTTTCTCTGACAGTGACGTGCGCTTGGTGAGCCTGTATACTTTTCTCTTCTAGCATTCTGGCACAATCATCGTTGCGATGCCGTAGAGTCTGAAGGTCCGAGGTTGCCTCCAAAAGTCGGACCTCCAGTTTAACGAGTTCCTCATATTCTTGGCGGAAAGCTTCGACGGCGTCCTGTTTTTCTCAGATATACGAAGCGCAGACACTAGGAGTAGACTTACGGCATATTTGACTGTGGCCTCAGCCTTCTGAATAGAGAACTCATCTTGCTTGTCTCTATACTCGCGGACTGTATCCCGTACCCCCTCAAATAATGAAGTGAGATTTCGTAGTTTGGCCTCTTGTTGAGCTGTGCGATGTTAGCCAGCTGAATGACCATAACTAAGAGCAGTACATACCGATCTTCTCAGGAATGGCTCGATACTGAGTATGCGCTGTCTGTTTTGTGATTTTCTCCTTCTCGATATCATTCTGTAGGATCGGTTAGTGAGTCGATTGAAGCAGAGGCAAAGGTGTAATTACCGTTTCTTGGTCGATTCGGTCATGATCTTGTTTGATCTTTTCCATGGTAGCTTTCTCAGACTGGAGCTTGTCCTGGATGTCTTTCAATTGTTCTCTCCACAAGTCAATGTTCTCCTGGTACTGCCGCCTGTGACTAACATCCACAGGCCGTGACGTCCACACCTGAGCAGGCTTGATTTGCCGAACCCGGGTGGAAGTAGCGCTGGGACCGTATTCCTTTCGTCGATTCACTTGGAAGCTGTTCTGCCCAGACACCCAAGAGCTCAGTGTACCGTTCTGCAATTGGTTGAAAACTTCCTCTGGGATGTCTCCGAGTCCGATGGGAGTGGAGTGTAGTAACTTTTCGCTGCACAGCATGGCAATGACAGGCTCGGGGCCAATGAGGAAATCCTTCGCCCAACCATCGAATCCCATTTGGCGAATTTGATCGTCGGGCATGGGGGCCCTCATACTATCCAGTGACATCGAGCATGTGCGGATACTGACATCATGAAGGCGCAGTTCTCCATTGAGCGCCCTCTGCAAGGTGCGGAAATCGTTCCGGGTCTGTGTGGTGAACGATGTGAAATCACTCTTCTGGAACAAGGATTCGACGGCATCGGCAAACTTTGGGTCGGTGACCGAGCAGGTCACAATGGGCGGACCAAAGACTTCTTTTTCAAATTTGTCTTGGTTGTCAAGAAGCCATCGGTAGGCTTTCAGCGAATCGTGGGATGCTTGTGCCAACTTGTGTTCTTGTTGGCCGGATTGCGAGTCTAGACTGCCTAGCTGTCGTTCGGCTTGCTGAATCTTCCTTTGCACCTCCTGGCTTTGGTCAATCAGGGGTTGCCGTCGGTCCTTGATCTCTCTGGCTTGAGTTTCAAGCTCGCGCTTCTCAAGTCGTTTCTCTCTCTGTTGTCATAGTCAGTGCATTGTTCTGAACCAATTGTATAGGGTTCTTACCAAGCTTTCGTTGAAGACATCTGGATCGAACTCGACAGGCTCTTCCTCCAACTTGCGTTGGAGCATCTTGATATTTTGCTGGGCGTTTGCTGCTTCCTTCTTATGCGTCACTCCAGTCTTTCTTTCTGCCTCAATCTGACCAGCAAGGTCCTTGATCTTGCTGTCGTATTCGTCGATTTGTGTACCGCGTGCGGTGGCAAGTCTGGATGCTCGTTCAACGGAGTCCTTTCTGTGATTTTTGACACTGTTCAACCGCTCAATATAGGCTTCTTTGAGATTGAGCGCGCGCAGCGCAGGCTCCAGATCTGCCTTGAGCTGTTCATGTTCTTGCTGGAGTTGAGCTGTGGTGGCTTTCAGGACCTCAAGAGCCGCGTACCCTTCTTTGTACTCAACAATTGGACGCAAAAACTCGAGAATCTCGATTTTTCTTTTGACCACGGCTCTCTGGCGCATTCGCTCCACGTCGGCTCTTTGCGTTTCTTGGCGGTTTTCCATGTTCGCTAGCATATCCTTGTCTCCGCGGTTATCGATCTCCAGTTTCTTCTGCTCGCCTCTAAGCGCTTTCAAGGCGTCATGCCACTCGACCATCTCTGGGCCAGCTGCCGCTCTTTGCGTAGAGCGGAGAAGGTCGACCGGGGAAAGTGCAGCGAACTCCGCCACCTTATCTTGAGGGAGGAATTGGCACAGATTGTCCACCTGGATAGCAAACGACTGCGCCAGCTTCAGCACTTGTCTGTTAGATGCGGGCTCTCCATTGATCATGAATGTGCTCTTATTTCCATCACGTTTGATGGTTCGCTGAATGATGGGGTTACGACCCATCTTCGGGGGTCCACAGAGTTCAATCTCGATAGTAGCCTCTCGGCTGCCGTGTTTCACGAATTCGCCCTGGTCTTTGGCGCGCCCGAGGTGCTATAGATGAACCTTCGTTAGTACACCAGACATATACATATGGATGCGCGACACCAGAATAAACCATACCTGAGGTCCCCAGCCTAAGCCCAGACAGATAGCACAGACAAGCGTACTCTTGCCCGTTCCATTTGGCCCAATAACCATGTTCAACTTCGGGCCTGGGAAGAACTCTGCCGACGTGTATGTGACAAAGTTCTTCACCTTGATGCGCACAATCGCGCCCGGCTTGTAGCCACCAGGTCCGAGTCCCGTGTGAGCGGCTGGAGGGACTTGATAGGCAGGCTCTGGGCTCTCCGATACAGGGCTCTCCGATACAGGGCTTTCTTCTTCGCTCTCCTCCCCAGTCTCCGATTCATTGTCATCCGCGGGGTTGAGGCGGGGGCGCTTGTTGCTCGATGAAGAGGTGTACGCGAGTTCGTCGCTATCTTCATCCTCGGTGCCTCTTCGACGACGGGAAATATTTGGTGACGACATGATGGACGAAGCCCTCGAAATGGTTGAGGGCCGCTCATGGGCTGTCGAATTAAATGTCTTTGATCGCCTTGAAGTGTCACAACGCGAGGGGGACGCGTCGAGGAAGATCAATACTAAGCCTGGTTTGGGAAGGCGGTGAGGATCAGCACATGGCAATAGTTTGATGGCGAACAGCTTCACCTTGATAGCATTCACCATGCCTCCTCCGAACGTTAAGCGGTTGATCTTGACTGCCGCAGTCACCTCAATTACAATTACGGGCACGCTGTATGGTGCAGGTATCAAAACAAATCAAGAAATTGCAGAGGTATGAGCGATCACTTTGCGGAGCTTTCCGAATGGTCACATCACCTAGAATTTACCTAACTTACCTTGGGATCAGACAGCAAAGCAACGACAAGAGTCTACATTCGATGAACAGATGAAAGCTTTACAAGGAATGCGCTCAAATCTGACAGCTCGGAGAGGCATCCTCGAGAAACAAATCCGAGACCTTGATGCAAGGATGCTGGAGAAGCAGCAGAAAGGCATTGGCGGAGACAAGCAGCAGTCACCCAAAGAACAATGAGAGATACGACTTCAGCCTACAAGAGGCAGCCCATAATCGACTAGCATTCAACTCGAATGACGGCATATCACCTTATGCCCTCTGATGCAGGCATCAAACATGCTTTGCAGTGCCGCCCTCGAAACAATACCACCAAGTTGGATCCTCGAGCATATTTTACTCTGGTAATAAGGTGCATCGGCCGCCCCACGAGCTTCACGCCAGGCCAATTGCATCTAGGGTGAGGTACTGACCTCCCGTCATCCATCCAGCCGCACTTGGGATCTAAACATAAACATACCGAACCCTTTGGTCTCTGCTCTATGAACAAGTCGTTGATATTTGACTACTTATATTTGAAACAAATGTGGAGACAATTGTCTGATGTACATACCCAACCATCTGTATATTTTTGTTCTATCTCAAGCAATGTATATATGCGTGTATGTTCAATGTCAAGGTTTCATATACTAAGGGGAGCGGAGTAAACCATGCTCAAGCCTCCAGGTTGAGATTTTCAAGCAGGGTATCCAGCTTCTCCAACAAGATCTGATAATTCATCGCATCTTCGTCGAATTCATCCTCAACGACTGCACCATCTAGAGTTCGAATTTCCGGAACGTGCGCCTGCTGCTGGACGTGTTTCACAACCGCAGGAGTCGTCTGCTTGGATACATCGAGTGCGTCGACGCCTTCTGCAAGCTTCGTGACATCCTCATCCTCAATCTCCTCCGGTGGCAACTCCTCGTCCATCATCTCATCAAGACCCGCCTCGTCGAATCTCAACCTAAACCGTTCCCCAAGATAGAAACGAATGTCATCCAGCATTTCAATGGAATCGGTTTCCTGTCTCGCCTTGATACGATATGCAGATTCCTGGATCAACTCCGCGAATTCTGGAGAATCGATATGCGCTTCTAGTCGGTATGCTAGATATCGAGCAGCGAATTCTTCCAGTCGCTGCACACGTGTCAACCACGCAGCTCGCACAATCGAGTATATATCAATATCGTCCTCGTCTGTTGTTCCACGAGTCTTTGCGGCTTCCGCTTGGGACATTCCGGCACTGCCCAGTGTACTAATGACCACCGCAGCTTTAGTCTTCAGCTTTTCGATGAAGAGCATGTCTGCCGCGAAGAGGACATCGACGGCGATTTCCAAGGGGAAGTCGGCTCTTTCTGTGTACAAAAATGTAAGAATGATCTCCAATACCTCTGGTGAACAGTCTATGTCAATGATCGTTAGATGCTCTCTGAGGTGAGCTTCGCGGAACGCAGATGTGAACATAGCCTGGAAGAACTCTGATCGCAGAAGCATTGCTCGATGACATGGGAACAGGATTGACTTTGGTCCTTCGGTTTTCTTTTCTTCCGTGGAAGCTGTAGGGCCGATAGGGATCGAGCTAGCTATTCCATTGCTGGCCTGTGGTTCAACTTCATCTTCGTCTTCATCGGGGAGTTCATCCGCCCTTAGAAGAACATCGGCGAAGATTGCGTTATTGTGATCCCATTTCACATCGTTCACTTTTGAGGTTTCAACCTTCAGCTTGTTTCCCAGAACGTTCGCCTGGAACCATTGTTCCATTTGGTCCCGACCCTTGGAGATCTCGTCGGTTCTCCGTTGTCGGGCGCGTCTCCTGTCTCCGCTATCAAGGATACTATCCAGAAGACTGTGGATTTCCAGGTACTTTGAGACTCTGTCCACTCCGGCAAACACTTCAGACTCGGTGAAACCGGTTCCAGGTCTACTTCTCAAGTCCCGAGGAGCTTCTCCAAAGTAGAGGTATTTGATTGCGGCACCAAATGCCTCCGGGGGGATTGTACTGGGAAGCTTCCATGTTGCGGATTCTGGGGCCGCTGCCAATTTTCCGCGGAAGTACGGGGAACGCGCTGCGAGGATGAATTTGTGCAGGTGGAGGGATTCATCGGAAGCAGTAACCACGATATCGGTTGTCACCGGAGACTCCCGTGTTAAAAGGGAAGTTATATGCGCGGCGAGCGGCTGCAGAGGGTCCGTAGATTTCGAATAGTCGTATTCGAGGAGAAGGTTTCGGATCCGGTCATTTAGGGCATTGTATAGACATCTGAAGGGTTGCCATGGGTCAATTTCAGCTCGTGGGTAGATACTTCATTCTAGTGTACCTTTCGCCTTGGAACGTGTCTCGTTCACACAGTGCACCGGACTCGAGCAGCAGCTGTACGACTTCATAATGGCCACAGAGACTCGCCTTTGAACGATTGGTTATTACATGTTCTCGGGTTTGGCCCTGCGGTTACATGGCACTCACCAGGATCAATGGTGTGTAATCATAAGGATCACGGGCATTGACATTCACGCCATCGGTGATTTTCTCCTGGCAAACTTTCAGATCGCCCTGACGACATGCACTGCAGAGCTGACGGAACGGCTCACTAAGGTCCAAAGGGTTATCATCCTTAATAGTGCCTTCCTTGATCAGCTTCTTCTCATTGACCAAGCTGATCTCCAGCTGGTCCTTCCGTAACACAGTTGGCTCTTCGGTATCCATGGCATATGCAGGTTGCCACCTCGAGGCAAACGGCGGGGGTGAGCTATCGATAAGCTCGTGCACGTGCTTATACACTGTCAAATAGACGGCAGAACAAGTAGACCACCGCCTTCCCTACCTGGGGGTCATATCTATATGATTTGGATATCAGGTTCTTTTATGACATTGTTGCTCTGATTTGGCCCTCTCTGCTCTAACTTGGCCACATGCAATCTACCAAAGGCAAAGATAGTAGACAGAATAGGGCGTAGTTGCTTCCCCTCGTCACAGGCCCATACCTGACCTGTCAGGCCCTGACTTGGTACCTAGGTACGCTCCGCTAGGGTTTTTTTCTTTTTTTGCGACAGGATATATAGAAGGTACAAACAAATAGAAGCTGCAATATAATGATCTGCAGGATCGATCCTCGTCCCTTCTGTAACGTCATCCCTTGAAGTTCAATACCGCCTGCCGTAGAGGGGCAAGTGCCAATATTCCTGCGGTTGCTAAGCAACAGCCAACCCAAACACTTTAATCTTCAATGCTTCCATTGTCTACTCTGCTTCAAACCCTCAATTCCTCAATTCTACCATTTTACTAACACAGGTCTCTGTTTACGTTCATGCATCTTTGACTCTTATTCTTCCGTTTGGTCTCTAGCTTTTTGTTGTCCTCGAATTGCAATCCATAGCCATGGCGATTGCTTTGGCTGAGGCCGACAAGTATGAAATCTTGGACAAGATTGGTGAGTGTGCCATGTTATGACTCCAATAACTCAATCTAAGTTCGAATCTAATCATACTCTTCATTCAGGTTGCGGTTCCTTTGGAATCATCCGCAAGGTCAAGCGCAAGACCGATGGATTCGTAAGTGTTGCGTGGTGCATGTTGCGTACGTGGGAAAAACTGACATGTTTGGCGATATAGATCCTTTGTCGCAAGGAAATCAACTACATCAAGATGTCACAGAAAGAACGCGAACAACTCACCGCCGAGTTCAACATCCTAAGCTCCCTTCGTCATCCCAACATCGTCGCGTACTACCACCGGGAACACCTTAAGGCCAGCCAGGACCTATACCTCTACATGGAGTACTGTGGAGGTGGAGACTTGGGTATGGTGATCAAGAACTTGAAGAAGGCAAACAAGTATGCCGAGGAGGAATTCGTCTGGCGCATTCTGTCCCAACTTGTCACTGCTTTGTTCCGGTGTCATTACGGTACTGACCCCTCTGAGGTGGGTTCGAACATATTGGGCCCTGCCCCAAAAGCATCTGGTCTTAAGGGCAAGCAGGGACAGGTGACCATCCTGCATCGTGATCTCAAACCCGAAAACATCTTCCTTGGTAGCGACAACACAGTCAAGCTTGGTGATTTCGGATTGTCCAAGCAGATGCAATCGCACGATTTCGCCTCCACCTACGTCGGCACTCCTTTCTACATGTCACCAGAGATCTGTGCCGCCGAAAAGTACACCTTGCGTTCCGATATCTGGGCGGTTGGCTGCATCATGTATGAGCTGTGCCAAAAAGAGCCTCCTTTCAACGCTCGCACCCACATCCAACTTGTGCAAAAAATCCGTGAGGGTAAATTCGCCCCTTTGCCTGACTACTACTCGCCTGAGCTTAAGAATGTCATTGGGAGCTGTTTGCGAGTTAACCCCGATCATCGCCCTGACACTGCGGCTTTGATCAATCTTCCTATCATCCGTCTCATGCGCAAGGAAAAGGAGGTTGTTGACCTGGGTAAGACCCTGCGCCGCCGTGAGGAAGTTGCTGTGGCCAAGGTCCGCGATATGGAACAGAACCTGGCCAAGCTCGAAAAGGAAAAGCAACAAATGAAGGCTGAAATCGAGAGCACCGTTCGCAGAGAATGGGAGGTCAAAGCGCGCTTGGAGATTGATCGTCAAGTACAGAGCGAGCTTGAGCGCCTGCGCAAACGATTTGAATCTGAGGTTCAAGACAGAGTTTCCATTGAGGTCAAGAAGCACAAGGCGAACAACAATACCTCCCGCGACGATGTTTTCCGTACCAGCACCCAGGGCTCTAGTTCTTCTCGCTCCAGTGGTCAGGGCTGGCGGTCTTCTCGGTCTTCTGCCAATATGACGGACGACAGTGACAACACTCCATCGAACACCGCCGATATCACCCAACTGTCTCTCGGGTCACCCCCTTCGAGCAAGAGGAAACAGCCAAAGAAGGAGACCCGTACTCCATTCTGTCGCTCAAAGACCGTGGTCGACTCCCCAATTGATGTTCAGATGGCCGAACCTTCTCCCATCTCGATTGCGTCCCTCTCACTTTCTCCTCGTCGTACTTCTGGAACCGGAGGTGCCCGCAACATCTTTGCAGAGGCTGAGCGCAACAAGGCGAAGTGGGAGCCCACTCTTGCTTACTCTGACGACGAGGACGATACCCCCGATCTGCCATCGCCTACTCGGCCTAAGGTCAAGCCTGACCCATTGAAGGCGCCTCGCCGTCCTCTTTTGCGCCAGCACACTGCCGCCTTTGTGCAGAAGCTCAGCACTCAACCATCCCTGTTCCCATCGAGTGGTACCCGCCTGCCTCAGTCAACAAATGCATCTACCTCTCAGTCTGAGGAGCGCAGCGTCAGCGAAAGCAGAGCCAAGTCGCCCCACCGTCGTCTCACCAAGATTCCCTCGTCCGCCAATCTCGCTGCTGATGCATCTCCAACCCGCAAGAGTGCGCCCAAGCAGGCCCAACCCAAGGCCAACGGTGGTGGCGAGGAAATGATGAAGGCTGTCATGCAGCGCAACATGGGTGGTCGTACCCTTGTCGAGCTTGCCCAAGCCCGTGCTGGAGGTCGCCCCATGGACGAGGTCAAGCGCTGTGCTAGCGACTCTCGCTCTTCCGGTCCATCGATGCTGAAGTGCTCTGAGCGGGATCCCCCTGCCATCTGGAACCCTGAACTAGACGAAATGCCCAGTCCCTTCCTCGCCCGTGGAAAGAAGGTCATCCGCAACCTGCGGTGATTACCTGCTGTTTCCATGTTACATTCATATTTCCTTCCTCTTTCAGTTATGGTTTTCTGGAGTTTTGGTGTGCTTGGGGCTTGTTATGAACTGGAGTTTTCCTGGTTGATTTTGATTTTGATTTGGTTCTTTGGAAAGTCGTTTGATTCCCATTGCCCTGTCCACCATTTTGGTTTCCGATTCTCACTTCGTTTCTTGTGCATAATTTCCCCCTACGTCACGGAGTTGGCTCTAATGTTGCGTTCTGGGTGCATCCTTGCCTGCATTGCAAGTACACGGAGTTGGATACACATATGCCCCTTTACTGTGTTTCTGTTTGGCCCTTTAGCCTGCGTTGGCTACCCTGCCTCGCCCCGACTCGACTCTTCACCTTTCTTTTGTTGTTATGCCGTCATGCCCTTTCCTTCGATGAAGGAGACGATTGATTCTCTGTACATGTATTCGTTTTGCATCAGCCATGCACTGTTGATTTCTTTTGCTTTTTCCCCCCTGGTGTTAATTCCACTGTTCATCGTACTGTCCCTCGCAAATACCGGGTTTGCTTGTCATATTGGATAAATCTTTGCTGCGCCTCCCAATTTGGAGTGCTTCATATCTGCATCTCATTGGTTAATACTTCTTCTCGACTTTGTTCTTGGACCACTTTTGTGAGCCCGTGGTTGAGGAGTTTTGGTGCTAGCATTGTCTGTTAGATGTACATATCCATGATCAGAAGGAACATTCTCACTCACTTTATTCCAACGTAAGCTTAGATTCATTTTCAATAGATCTAATGCCTGCGCGGACGTATGTGGACTACCTCGGCTGGGATATATATCCCAAGATCATCGATCCTATACTCACTACTAACAGGTTGAGTGATACACATCTCAACCCTCAACTTGCAACCGCATCATATCCCATAAACCAGTTCATAGAGTAGATTGAGTAAGATTAAGCCCAAGATTCTTCATCCTCAACTTCCTCCATCTGCACAGTCCTAAGTTCCCGATTAAACCGCTGCTCCTCCTCCTCCAACGAAATCTGCCTATCCTTCGCTGGAGCTTCAGGCCCAGGCCCAGCAGAAGCATTATAGCCAGCCTTCTCAAGCCGATCCATCTCCTCAGGCTCCAACAATTTCCCTTGACCCTTAATAGACTGCTGCTTCATCCGAACCGCAGCCGGAATAAACTTATTCGTCGCCTCCCGCCGCAAATCACGAATCTCAGGCTTGGCCTCATACACTGTCTTGGGCGCTGCAACCGTCGTCGGCCTGGACGGTAATGGATGAGGACCACGCTGTGCACTCTCGCCCTGCGCGTTATCCCCACCTCGTCTCCGCTGCTGGCGCGGAATCGGCGGTGGTGTATCCCGCGGCATGGGTATCCTCCTCACATCCTCATCTGTATCACTGCTCTCATCATCGGCCGGCATGCGCGTCTCGTCAGACTCGCGTCTCCGCTTGCCTAGTACGCCCTCTCGACCCCCTCGTCCGCCGCCCTGGCCGCCGCCTCGGTTGTCATTGTTGAATCGGGGTGCTTTCTCGCCGAGGGCTTCGCGCGCTTTCAATACGCCTCGTAGATCTTTCTCTAGAGCCTCGAGAATCTCCTTGTCACGCGGTCGTAGTTTCTGGCCTGATTCTTCGGCTTCTTTGAGCTCGTTGATCTGTCGTTGGATTCGATCCGGATTGCGCCGTGCGAGCTTCTCGTTTCGTCGTGCTAGTGCCTCTGCTTTGCCCTTTTTTAGGCTTTTCTGTTTGTCTTGTTTTCGTTGCGCCGCGGCTGGGTTGATCGAGCGCTCTTTGTCTCTGGCCATGGTGTCGGTTCCGGTGTTTGTATCGAATTTCTTGGTTTGATTGTATCAGTCGGTATTGCGGGAGCTTGGCCCGGTAGTGAGTGGTTCGGGGGTTTGTCGAATCGATTGCCCTGCTTGCTCGTCGGTACCGGTACAACGGTCTGGACTCTGAGGCACGTGAAGGAATCAAAATTGGAGGTGCAGGAAAGGAGGGCGCGCAATGAGAGGAGAGTGTTGCAGGCTGGGGATCAAAGCGTCTTCAATCGGGCCGTTAGTTAGATGCAGGAAGTCAGCCTCACAATTTAGGCGATGGAATTTGGCAGAAGCTAAAGCGGAGTGGAGAGCTGTCGGATCCATGGTTCACCTCACTGCAGTACATACTATGGAGTATATTGCACTATATTGCACTATACGGGATTACCGTGGACTATATTGGACTATACATTGAGTCTGATTGGTTTCGTATTTTGCAGATATTGCAGAGCCTCTTCCCCATCTTGGGACAGGTGCAGTAGCATTAGATCAGATGTAATGCAGTATATAGTAGAATACAATCCCAAATTGCTTCTTTTGACTCCTTACAAACCCCTCTTTATGGGGGTCCGAGGTATCAGATTTCCGCCTGAGCCTGTGCTCCGACCAAGGATATAAAACACTGAAATCCCACTAGACCCTTCGGGTGTAACTGGACTCGAGCCGCGCGCGCTGTTCAGTTGGCGCCGATACCCCCAGTTCACATCTTCTTCCTCTCTCTTTTTTACCAAAAGCAAGCTATCTGCTTTTCTCCCCTCAACAGTCGAATAGTCGCACTCCGGTCTGACTGCGCACAGTCTCTTGCACTCTCTCTCCGCACCTCCTCCCCCCGCCCATCCACCATCATGACCTGTGGTCCGTTCGGTCTCACATCGAGTTTGATCGGCGCCTCGTAGACTGTCGCGGTCGGAGCATGTCTCTGCCGGGACCAAATGTCCGTCTCAGCCTCGATCCCCGACACTTCGCTTGGCCTCACCTCCTCCGAGATCCAGATCCTCCGACAGCAGCAGCAGATTGCCCTACAGGGCGGCCATGCCGGCAATGGGGTTGCCAGGGGCAGGGGAACAGGGAGAACCAGCAACTCCAGCTCGCGCGCTACCAGCGCCGCCAGCAGTCAGGGTCGCTTGCTGCTGGATCCGATGAGTCTCCGCGCGTTGTCGCACCAGCTCGACGGCTTGCAGGCTCAGATCCGTCATCGGATCGAATATGTATGTTTTGTCTCGTTCAGCCTGGTTAGTGGATGTGCTTCTAACGTGGGATGTGTGGTATAGCTAGAAGATCAAATGCAGCGCTCCATTCAAAACACCTACGACCGCGCGGGCAACGTCATTCGCAATGCCGATGCGGAGATTGCCCGCACCCGTGAGATTCTTGCTTCTATCGACGAGCTGGATAATGAGTTGGCCAAAATCGCCCATATCCGTGATATCGTCAAGGGTTTCCGTGGCCGCATCGAGAACTTGGATCACCGCATTGACCAGAGTTCCCGACGACGACGATGAGTTTACTCTTATACTTCCTGACATACCTTCTACCAAACCTCGCATTGTACAAGGTCATAACTTCTTCACCCTCTCCATACCTCTCTTCTACTCGACCGCTGGATGGTCCGACCGATACACCTATTCCTCTCCACACGATACGTGAATGAAAGCCAACAGAACAAAAAGAAACAAAAAACTATATACCGACTGTGTCCTCGCGGACTATTTCTCGAATATTTGCTAGTCACCATATTCCACATTTCATTTGCCCGCGTTTCTGATTTATTGAACAATTGGTTAAAAGAACTGTATGCCTCACGGCACCGTCGAGTCGACTCAATGAGAACACGACCTCGATAGGATGGCAGTATACGATGGCACTGGAGTTGGATTGATGAAGGCCAGAGCACTCATCTTGCTGGAAATCCTTGAGATTTGATGTCTATCATGAAGGATTTTTAATGTGTTTCCGAGTGTATAAACACGACTCTTTCTGTCCTTGATTTGATGCTTCTGCTATTTCCTCTGTTTCGATTCCCCTCTCTGCATTTCTCGTGTACATTGCTCTTAGCTTCTTCTGCTTTGATGTTGGCCGATATGAGGATAATCATAGCTAGGCTTGCAATTTTTGCAGTATAATTCGGCAGTTTCTCAATTCCATCGTTCCTTCCGGTGGACTTCGTGTCTCGGCGCATCAGACCGCATTGATATTGAACGTAATGGGAGACGCCGCTGTCGGGTGCCATCCACTAAGCTTTGTTCGTTTTCGATTGGCTGATATTTGGTGTAGATTCCTGAGCTGACTGGCACACAACGTGGTATGCAGATAGGGTGTAGCTCGATGGCCATAAGGAGGCCTTCCAATCGACTCTCGTCCCAGTTGCATGCATCGAATGCAAGACTGCTGGCCTCCATGAATTTGAATCCGAGGGGGCCGTGGCTGTGGCAGTGGTTGTAACGTAGAGTGCGACACGTCCAGCAAAATGTCAAACGTCTGCAGAGTTGACCGGGCTGAAGATGAAGGTGTTGTCACGTCTATCACGTCGCTTCCTCGACCTTAGCATTTGCAGCGGCAACTTCATGCTGTAACGCTGATTCCTCGCGACGTTGTACGAGCTTCTTTCCACGTTTTTCCGTTTGGGGGAAACGCTTCACGGTCCCACACTCGAAGCAGCGGACGACCAGTATGTCAGCCCATGGCTTTTTGCCGCCGCGACTCGCATTTTCCATTTCATGCGAGCAGTTCAATCCAGGCGCAAGGAGTGTATCACAGCGCTTGCAGACGGATCTCTTCAGCGCGATTGGCAGCCGGATTTGAGTCTTCAATGCCACGCCGCGCAGATGAGATACGCATAACCTGGAGAGGTTGTTCATGGGCTCCGTGGTCTTTCTGGCGCCAGACGTGCCCCGCGTACTCTTTTTGTCATTTGAAGTGCTGTGTAGACCATTTTGGTCATAAGCTGAGTTGCCAGTCGCTTCAGAGATCACTTGGTGGGCTGTGTTCTGTTGCGAATTTTGCAGATAAACAGCTGCTTTCTGAAGATAATCTAGGCGGGCTCGAATATGACCCTGGACGTTCTTGCCCTCTTTCTTAACCTTAGCCTTGGCCATGTTCACTTGGATTGGACCTGACTAGTTGTAGGCTGCATCTCAAAGTTGCCTATGGAAGCTTATGGCGCTAAGCCCGAAGCGGTGAGGCTGATCCGCACGTGACTCAGCCAACCTCTTCTCCCTCGCCTTCAACCTTCCACCTCTGTCTGTCGATCCGACCTGCCATTCAAACCACGGTCCCGTCCAATTAATCTTCTCATCTCCGTTCTCTCATTTCTCTTTATTCTTTAACCCTTCTCACTTCAACTTTCCCCAATACAAGTACTTTACACGTCGCGATGTCTCACGAGGAAGATCTCATCGATTACTCCGACGAGGAGCTGCAGACCACCACCCAGCCCACCACCACTGCTGCGCCCGCCGCCGCCAATGGTGATGATGACAAGCAGGGTGATCTGACTGTCACTGGTGGCCGCCCCGACAAGAAGGGTAGCTACGTTGGTATCCACTCGACCGGTTTCCGCGATTTCCTCCTGAAGGGCGAACTCCTTCGCGCCATCACCGACTGCGGCTTCGAACATCCATCGGAGGGTTAGTCTAACTCATTTCCCACAAGCGTTCCTCCATTCCTCCAAGCTCCAACGTCCGTCCATCCTCGCGGAAGATTCTTCGGTCGGTATATCTGGCAATCAGCCCTGTTTCGAATCTGCAGACGACATGAGGATGCGCGCTTTGAACAAAGACAAGGTCTTCACTATATGTTGGTCGCAGGTCATGATACTCTCGCGCAGAGCTCAAGCCTTCGTCAAGGACCACCACATTCTTCATTGGGATTGGCGCATTGGTGAATTATGCGTGTTGCGCTCCGTCGTTGTCAGGCGCGTCCCTCATGTTGTCTGCAGAGCAGGTTTCCTATGAACTTGTATATTTCACTGTGACCTTCAGTCAGAGTAGTCTGACGAGGTGGATCAAGATGACCTCATGGCATCAATTTGCGCGATGCTACAGGATGGACGGACCTTGCGAGACGATTGCCTTTGCTTCTCATTTCATCGAACACAATCTAACATCGGCTCCACCCCCACAGTCCAGCAAGTTTGCATCCCGACTGCTATCCTGAACGTCGATGTTCTTTGCCAGGCCAAGTCCGGTCTCGGTAAGACCGCTGTCTTCGTCCTGACCACTCTTCACCAGCTGGAGCCCGTCCCTGGTGAATGCCAGATCCTGGTCATGTGCCACACCCGTGAGCTCGCCTACCAGATCAAAAACGAGTACGCCCGTTTCTCCAAGTACCTGCCCGACGTCAAGACTGCTGTCTTCTACGGTGGTACCCCGATCCAGAAGGACGTCGAGACTCTGTCCAGCAAGGAGACCTACCCCAACATCGTCGTCGCCACCCCCGGTCGTCTCAACGCGCTCGTCCGTGACAAGAAGCTGTCCCTTCGCAACGTCAAGGCCTTCGTTCTCGATGAGTGCGACAAGATGCTCGACCAGATCGGTACGTTTACGAATATACAAGTCGAAAATATCATCGCTAATATTGCTCAGACATGCGCCGTGATGTCCAGGAGATTTTCCGTGCCACCCCCGCCGACAAGCAGGTTATGATGTTCAGCGCCACTCTCTCCCAGGAAATCCGTCCCATTTGCAAGAAGTTCATGCGCAACCCTCTCGAGGTTTACGTCGATGACGACACTAAGCTCACCCTTCACGGATTGCAGCAGTACTACATTAAGCTGAGCGAACAGGAGAAGAACCGCAAGCTGAATGAGCTCCTCGACAACCTTGAGTTCAACCAGGTCATCATCTTCGTCAAGAGCACCCAGCGCGCCAACGAGCTTGACAAGCTGCTCCGCGAGTGCAACTTCCCCAGTATCGCTGTCCACTCCGGTGTCAGCCAGGAAGAGCGGTATGTTTATGCCTGTCCCGCTATCGCCGTGGCATATTGCTAACTTCCCCATAGTATCAAGCGCTACAAGGAGTTCAAGGAGTTCAACAAGCGTATCTGTGTCGCCACCGACGTCTTCGGCCGTGGTATCGATATCGAGCGTATCAACCTGGCCATCAACTACGATCTCCCCGCGGATGCCGATTCCTACCTCCACCGTGTTGGTCGTGCCGGTCGTTTCGGTACCAAGGGTCTTTCCATCTCCTTCGTCAGCAACGAGGATGACGAGAAGGTCCTCAAGGAGATCGAGAAGCGCTTCGAAGTTGCCCTCCCGTTGGTCCCCCAAAATCCCCAGGAATTTTATGAACAAGCACTCACCAACCACCAGTGAATACCCCGAGGAAGGTGTCGACTCCACCACCTACATGGCTTGAATGCCTGTTGAAAACTTTTCCAATTTTCGTTTCTCTTTTCAATCGTTACTGGCGCAATAGCTCGGGTTTTGATATCTTTTTTTTCGTGGGGCGCTCCCTCTACCCCGGCTGCAGAGTGAGGCAAACTCTGCCATGTATCTGAAGATAACACTGGAATCAAGAATGGGTTGACCCTGCACATGTTTTGTTCTTCCCATGATCGTGTAGAGTTGTGTCAGTCGGCAAGTCCGACATGAAGACAGAAAGACGTGTAAATCCAACCAGGTGATCAAGATCCTGCCAAGTTCCGACCCATTCAGAGTGGATAAACAGCATCTAATCTCCAAATCGATTATCGCCATCCCCATCTGCTCCGGGGCCCAATATGCGGAGGTCCACAAATGGCTACATACAGTACAGACCTTGGCTCTGGATTGCAGTCGTGCTCCAAAGCTGACTTGCAGAGCCCTACATGGCAATTGCCCAGATCCTTCACTCGATTTTTGTTTCAGATGCCGTAATCTGACTGATCCACCTTCAGAGGAACGAAGGACTGGATATGTATCTGGCATGATATGCATCTCATTTATGTTTGCGATATTCGCCGAATCAAAGTGAATCATGTCGGTCTGTTTCATATATTTGCATCTGTTCAATTTCTGCTTGTCAGCTGCTCAATTGACCCAGAGAAAGTTTCCCCTGCATGCTGCAGTAATGACAGCTGTCGAACTTATGGACACGGGATGGAAATTGGGATATGCTGATGATCATAGAATACGTCAATTGAATTGAATTCAAACCCAGTCAATCAATTCGATCACCCATGTTTATCCCCAATGTACAATGTATACAGTATATAATCTAGACAGGATTGTTACTATACAGCAACCTGGAAGTAACATCAATATATTCACCATAACCAAACCAACTGCCGGTAACTGATACAGTAAAGGCTTAAGCCACACCCAAACGAAACGGAGAAAAAGTGGTCCAAAGCACACACTAGAAGACGTTGAAAACCGCTGGTTGGCTGCCAGGTCCACCGGCCCGATCGACTCTCAGGCTTAGCGTCTATCAGCAAAACAAGGCACAAGGAGGCTAATCCTTGCCCCCAAACCTTGTCTCGCGTTTTCATGTGTCCACCAGGGGGGGGCCCTCTGTCTCGCTTCAGCGGAGATGAGTGGCTTTGTCTTGGTTTTGAATATGCGAGTACGAGAACGGCGTTCGCCGGCTTTTTTTCACTGCCACTGCCGAGACATGATGGTTACTTTCATTACATTATTTGTGGCTGCTTGACTTAGGCTGCCACTAGTTAGGCTTTTTTGGGCGCCGTTGTCAAACCCGCTGAGTCATTAAGTACAACGGCGAGAAATAGCGTGTGACCAGAGGTGATTCATGATTATGATAGGTCAATTACTCTGTACTATGGGCAAGTCTAGGAATTTTCTCTATGCATCCGCGAGTTTCCGGGTTTAGAGCTTGGGCCCCTGTGAAATTAACGGGTTTCAAGGTTAATTTATGGCAAACCGGTATTAATTTAATGACATCTGTGGCTCCTGAATCATAGTGCTATAACTCTCTAACTTGGACACTGTTTGCGGGCGCTGCAAACGTGGTTACCCCTGGCCACACATATATCTGTTTCCGGCCTATGCACATTACACTATACACATTATACATGTAGTGTACACAATGTACACTTTGTACAGTATTGTATTTGTGCTCCACAGCGAATCCTCCAGGTCTGGACTCATAAATCGAATCCACGTTCTAGCCCTTTCCACCTACACATGTACAATACTGTACATAAGTTAACGTTAACTGAGCATATTCCACGTTCAATACCATATATTATTGTAAATCCCCGATATCAAACCCCCGAGTCAAATACATCCCTTGATTAAACTGCAATCGGAACGTCGATCACTGTGGCATGCTGGGATTATCAACACCGCCCCCTTCACAGGGCCGATCCTGATCATCCCTTGGATCTCAGCTCCTCAGCCTCCATGCAGTTCTCATGCTGTGGTTGGGCCGAAATTAGTCTTCTTCTAACGGTATTGACAGAGTTAAAAGGACCGAACAAAAGTCCCTTGTCTTCGTGTTTGGTGTGACTACCCCGGCATTACTTCCAAGTCTACTAAGGTTCGAGAGAATGTCGGAGCGGAGAGGGAGAAGGAGAGGGAGAGGGAGAGGGCGAGGGGGTTGATTCCCCCCACTTGCTTCCCTGTTGTATGACAGTCTGGTTGTTAATTTTTTTGTCGATCAGGGATACAAACGTCGCCATGCTGGACTTTGTACTTTGGGATCTGTCGGGTGACGGGTATCAGGTACCTGTACCTGATTGTGGTTGATATAGTTCAAGTATGCCCGTGTTGAACTATATTGACATACTCTGTAAAGTGTTATGTACAGTACATTTACTGTACCAAGGTAGTATTCACTTGCAGCTCACTATTGAATTCAGCAAAACAAAGTGCCTAACAAGATTCTATGTGATTCGGCCGTGACTTGACAGGTCTGCATCTCTGCCACTAATCACGTAGATAGTGGGTTTTCAAGTGGATGTGGTGACGGAGGCCAGCACGCGGCCGATATCAAGTACGCGTCAATAGTAAATAAGTGTTAAGTGAGCTATTGTTACTTACACTGTTATATCTGAGTTATAGTCTATACAGTTGAAGTATAAAGGCGAAGCTTGCAGATCGCCGGTGTACTGTATTGTAAGTGGAGGGCGTATATCTGTGTACTGTATGAAT